GTCTGTAGTGGGGGTGTGGGGTGTGATAGGGGGTTAATGACTGTGGAAGGGAGTAAGATCTGCAAGTAGGGGGATAAGGGCTATAGTGGGAGGTATAGTGCTGTAGTGGGAGGTTCAGGGGCTGCATTGAGATGGATAAATGAGAGAGGGAGGTCTGAAGTGGCCTGGGTGCCTATAGTGTGCCTTTAACTAGTATGAGCGAAGAAAAAAACAGGAAGTAACAGGACCTGTTGTTGACTGACAGCTGAGCTGGTGTAGCAAGGTTAATTTATAACATTGACAATCCTTTTGCAATCTGCACAGTTTGTAATCTGAAAAAAAAAAAACACTCTTCGCACACAAAGTGCTTCAGCATTCTAAAAAGCTTTAGGTGTTTGAAGTTTTCCTTTAAATCGTTGTCTATCCTATATACCTTTGTGAATCACTTAATAAACCACCTGGAATTGTGGAGAATCGATAGGGAAACAGAAAATTCAAGAGAGAAAGGCCAAATATGGTAAAAAAAAAAGGTTGAAGAAATGTTACTATTTTAGCTATTTTGGCCTAGAATGTAAAAACCCCTTGTTGATTCTTATTTTAGTTCGTAAACCCATTAGACTGTAGCATTTGGCTTTTTTATTCACTGTTCATCTCAACAAATCATGAAAACCTTGCCCCGGGCGATGTTTGTTTTTGTATATATGGCATGCCTGGGTGAGAACTTTGAATCCACATATTTCTTCTGAAGAGGCATCGGTAATGTAAAAATTAGACAAACCAGACAAAAAAAATAGAGAAAAAACAAACAGAAAAGCCCAAGCAGAATGTAATGGTGTTATTATTATTATTGCAGAAAATGCCAAACGAGAAAGCACACGGCTGTTTTATTCTAAATCCAAATTATGCAGGATAAAGGCATAAGGCTTTCAGACAGGGGAGAACCATAACATTTTTTGTGCTGATCTCTGCACTTAATCATAAACTCTCAGACATTCTTTTCGATCCATGGATCAGCTATAAGACCTGGGGCCTGAGTAAAGACTGGAATTTTGTCTTCTTTGAATATTGCCAAGGACCTCACTAAGTCTAAAGGTCAGTTTAGATATGGACCACTTGCATACTGCTATCAGGACAAGAATGGTATATTCAATAGGCACCATAAATAAACCTGTCTCTGTACTTCCAGGATACCTGCAGCCCTATCCCGAGTCAGCAGTTATTGGTACTCATCCGCATCTGAGGATGAAACGCGTTGGATACGGATACTTTTGATACAGACTTTTATTCTGTTTTACATTTTGTTTTTAAAGGTCCTGTGGCGGAACCAGCCTCGCCACTGGGCATTGGAGAAGACTGATTGCCAGCCTTCTACCATGTGACTATGGCCCCTGGGATGTATTGCCTGCTCTCCTGTACTGCTGAGGATTGCTACCAACTAGGTGGATTTGGCTATGGAGCTTGTGGAGTGCCCTCTGTTGGTAGCAACAGTAATATGCACTACCTGAATAGCAAGACTGATAATTTGCATATTCAGGTAGATTTGCATATCACTAATTCTGCATGCAGGAGAGACATTTTGTGTTAATTATGGTCTTCCCCACCCATTAATAAATATGTAATTATATTATACTAAGTTACTCTATGTTGCCTGCTATTATTTGACTGTTTGTAATTTTATTGAGTATTCACAGCAATGTTAATGTAATGACCATATGGGCTAATCCCAAGTAAAATAAAGCTTTAGACAGATCTACTTCACTCTCAATTTGGAGTCCTGTCTCTTATTGGGGCAATCTGCTACAAGGGATTGCTATGCTCTGCATATTCCCTTGCTATAATCACTCCTAAGCTCTTTTAAGAGGTGCTTCCTGCTTTGCTCTGAAGTGCTTGGAATCCTCAAGAAGCGCTAGGAGCATCCATTTACGGAGGTGGTGCCAGGTGATCCGTTACAGGTCCATATATTATTTGGTTGATGTCTACTCACTACCACTCGTGGATGGCGGTTTGCTGCTAAAGACTTCTTAAATTACCACATTGGGTTGTGACATGCTTGCCACTTACTTATGTCTGTAAGTATATTCTAATGAATGTATTTACTAGTTTTTATCATACGTCACCATTGTGGCTATTTTTTACGTTCACAAGGGGGGTCATACTCCAGAGATCATCTATTTCCACATACCCAGAAGGGTGATGAGCCTGATTTTGTACTTGGTTTGTGAAAGTTCTGCCTACCTCTTTCCTTGATCCAGTTTTACATACTGAATTACGCTATGTGTATTTTTCTTTCTTATATTAGAGAAATTCTAAAAAGTTCTTTACTGGACATTGTTCCTTGATCTTGTCAGGTCATATTACACCAATTGTATATGTGATTGTGTATTCCTCACAATTTTTTTGTTTGCATATTATTGGTACTTGTTACCCAATAATTCAAATACTTTGTAGACTTATGGTGTCGTACATTTGTGAATACTTGGTACATTCCTATGCTGTACTTGGCTTACAACACATATAATTGAGTGAAAGGCTAATTATTCCTGTGCTAACAGTGAGAAGGAAAAAGGCAGAACACTTATGCCACACGCCTTTGTACACAGAGAAGAGGAAGACAGTCACCGCTCTTATACAATGATTTGGGAACTGAAACACACGTACAAGGTGCACATGCTTCTGAAAACCACAGCAACAAGATAGATGGTTACAGAGCACTCGAGCTGAATCCGTAGATTTAAAAGGATTCTCTGTGAAAAGAGCTGGTTTATTAGTAAAATTTTTTTAAAAAGTACAAAATATGGCAGATTATCACAAATTCAAAATGCAGTTATATGAGTTATATTAACAGCATAATTTCAAAATAAGTGAAGGGCAACAAATGGAAAAATAAATAAAGTTGTGAAAATAGTAGTTGTAGGCGTTTTGTGACACACTGTCTCAACCGTAGCAGCATTGCGTAGTTTTTGATGCAAAACATGTCCATAAACTTCAAGGAATCCATGTTTAAAATGGAATGAGGCAAAAATTTGATTCTTTGTTGAACTAATTTGCATATGCTTACCCAGAATCCCTTGTAGTAGTAACATCACTGCAAATTTGAGATTTCTGTGGGAAAAGCAAGTCTTATGGCTTGACTGGTGTTCAGTTCTGTGTTTAGCAATGTATTTGACTATGTATAAATATGCATAGTTATACAGCAATCCAATGAGCCTTCCTTGCTACGACTTGTGTGAAATTATGTCATCAGGAAAGGGTGTGTGGAAGGTAGAGATGACATCTGTAGAACAATACAGAAATATGATACTTGACAACATAAATTTTTCATGTCCTAATAAAATATGAAAAACTCATTATTTATTTTAGCAGATCCTGTAAGAGTGCATTTTACTTGTATTGTGATGGAATTTTGGTGAAATGTAAATTTAGTAGGCCGAGATTTCCACGTGGCATATGTAAGTACATGTGTATGTTGTATCAGTTAGTTAGTTACACATAGCTAAGATACTGTCAACAATGTACTGAGCATGTGCAGGAATGCAGGAACTGAAATCACATTTCTTTCTCCTTTGTTTCGGATGAGCCATCTGGTCTGCCCATATAAGGAAATCCAGATCCTGTCCATCGATAGGTTAAGGGTATGTGCGAGTGGAGCTATTAATGGGATTAATAGTACTCCATGTGTTCGGCCCTCAGACCTGTTTAGGAACGTTAGTCCATCTGAGACCCGATCGGTATGTTAATAAAGACCTTTTACTTCCTGAAGACCTGCCTCCGTTTCTCTGTGTCTGGCTTCGGCAAGTTTTTTCGGTTACAGTATACGCATGTCATTTTTCTCACACTCAATATCCTCACCATTTTATCCACAGTACAGTCAATGCTAATTTAAGAATTGCACGTGAAACAAAAGTTGCTCCTTCAGTAATTGATCTGTATTTTTTCCATTTTTTTCAGCCAAATTGTGTCCTAAAATTTGAAATTCAAGTTAAAATGCACTGTGAATTCCATACCATTCACACATTAGTGAATACATCTGTTACCAATAATCCTGTCAGTTTACAATTTATTGCTATTAGGTGTTTAGTGAATAAATCACACTACAGGCACACAACAGACACCACCATAACATGTGATAGGCCCACCCCCTTAGCTACTGCTCATTCTTCCACGTGACATTTCCTTTTTAGAACTACTCTAAGCACGTATCCTGCCGTTCACACTGATCTTCCAATAAAATAATAATAATAACAATAACAGCGCTGCGGAATCTGTGTGCGCTTTATAAATTGCAATAATAATAAATAAATATATATATATATATATATATTCATACATACACGTCCAGTATGAGCACGCTTTGCACCAGAGGTGTGTTTTCATTGCCTTTCTATGACGAGTTCTAGACTGTAAGCTTCTTTGAGCAGAGTCCTCATTAACATATTGTTCCTGTAACATTTTGTAATATTTTCATTTATTGTTAAACCTCCCCACTTATAACATTGTAAAGCGCTGGGGAATTTGTCGGCACTATATAATTGCGAATAATAATAACAATAATGATAGTAATAATAATATAATATAATTAATTGATATTATTGCTAGAAGGTTTTTTCCCCTTCTTTTAATGGAATGTAAAGCAGTAAATGAACAAATGATTATCCTTATTTATAGCCAGCTGTTTTATTTTAAATTTTTTTTAAAATATATTTCTATATTATTAGATGTGTTCCTTTGCAGTAGAAGCTTTACATTACCATACTTGTTTATTTAAACAGGGTGCTAACCTCAGTCCTTACTATCTCTGTAAAGGGTAATTGATAAATGACATAATAAGCTATTTTTTAAGTTGATGCCCATATCTGTTATTACTGTATTGCATAATATTTCACACCCTGCTTTCATAAAATCATTAAAAAAAAAAAAAAATACAAGTTAGTTCAGCCATAGTCTGGGCATTTATTCTGTAGCCAGTGTTGCAGTGGGACATGTGAAACGGTGCACCGGAAGTGAACATTACCATGGAAACCTGACGCCCGCTGTTGCTGCTGGTGGAGACCGGAAGTGAGCCGTTATTGGAGCTCCTTTCATTCTGTCCGAGCTGACACCATGAGCCCAGAGAGACTGTCCCAGCCCTGCCCGGAGTACCTGGGTGAGCACACTATGAATAATATGTGTTATTACAGACACAGTGTCTTATAAAGGGGTATTGTCTCCATCAGTGAGTAGTTATCTCTGGTACCCCAGCTCTTTGGGAGATATATTTATATGTATTTTAATTTCTAATATAAGACTATTTTCCCCTTTATTCTAAAGGCATTGGATGCTAAATGTTAATGTTCTATATTTTGCTTTATTATAAAGTTTCCCTCCCAACTCCTATTGCTGTGTTATATCTGTGTGTCTGACTGTGCGTGTCTTTTAGTGTGTGTCTGACTGTGCGTGTCTTTTAGTGTGTGTCTGACTGTGCGTGTCTTTTAGTGTGTGTCTGATTGTGTGCATGTCTGACTGTGTGCGTGCCTGACAGTGCGTGCCTGACTGTGTGTGTGTGTCTGACTGTGTGTGTGTGTCTGACTGTGTGTGTGTGTCTGACTGTGTGTGTGTGTCTGACTGTGTGTGTGTGTCTGACTGTGTGTGTGTGTCTGACTGTGTGTGTGTGTCTGACTGTGTGTGTGTGTCTGACTGTGTGTGTGTGCCTGACTGTGCGTGTGCCTGACTGTGCGGTGCCTGACTGTCGCGTGTGTCTGACTGTGCGTGTGTCTGACTGTGCGTGTGTCTGACTGTGTGTGTGTCTGACTGTGCGTGTCTTTTAGTGTGTGCCTGACTGTGTGCGTGTCTGACAGTGTGTGTGCTTGACTGTGTGTGTCTGACTGTGCGTGTGTCTGACAGAGTGTGTGTCTGACTGTGTGTTTGTGTGTGTCTGACTGTGCGTGTCTGTTAGTGTGTGCCTGACTGTGTGTGTCTGTTAGTGTGTGTCTGACTGTCTGTGTCTGACTGTGCGTGTCTGTTAGTGTGTGCCTGACTGTGCATGTCTGTTAGTGTGTGCCTGACTGTGCATGTCTGTTAGTGTGTGCCTGACTGTGCGTGTCTGTTAGTGTGTGTCTGGCTGTGTGTGTCTGTTAGTGTGTGTCTGGCTGTGTGTGTCTGTTAGTGTGTGTCTGACTGTGTGTGTGTTAGTGTGTGTCTGACTGTGCGTGTCTGTTAGTGTGTGCCTGACTGTTCGTGTCTGTTAGTGTGTGTCTGACTGTGCGTGTCTGTTAGTGTGTGCCTGACTGTTCGTGTCTGTTAGTGTGTGTCTGACTGTGTGTGTCTGTTAGTGTGTCTGACTGTGTGTGTCTGTTAGTGTGTGTCTGTTAGTGTGTGTCTGTTAGTGTGTGTCTGACAGTGTGTGTCTGACAGTGTGTGTCTGACTGTGTGTGCCTGACTGTGAGTGTGTGTGTGTCTGTTAGAGTGTGTGACTGTGTGTGTCTGACTGTGCGTGTCTGTTAGTGTGTGTCTGACTGTGCGTGTCTGACTGTGCGTGTCTGACTGTGCGTGTCTGTTAGTGTGTGTCTGACTGTGTGTGTCTGTTAGTGTGTGTCTGACTGTGCGTGTCTGTTAGTGTGTGTCTGGCAGTGTGTGTCTGGCAGTGTGTGCCTGACTGTGCGTGTCTGTTAGTGTGTGTCTGACTGTGTGTGTGTCTGTTAGTGCGTGTCTGACTGTGCATGTCTGACTGTGCGTGTCTGACTGTGTGTGTGTAGGGAGTGTGTGTGTGTCTGTTAGTGAGTGTGTGTTTCTGTTAGCTAGTGTATGCGTATCTGTCAGTGAATGTGTGTGTGTGTATTTAGAAGGCGGGGAAGGGTTGGGTGGGGGTGGCGTGTGCGGGGGGAAGAGGGGTGTCTGAGTTTTGTCCTGCCTAGGGCAGCAAGATACACCGCTGGTTATATGGTCCTATATCTGTGTTTTATTTAAATTCTGGGTTATTCACTAAAAATGGAAATTTGAGTTTTTTTTTTTTTTTTTTTTTTAATAATTCCAAGTGAATGTAAAATTTTAGGCAGGGGGTAATGCAGAGCTGACTTGGACCATTTTTCCATGTTGCTATTCTGACCTGAAACATTAAATTCGTTATGAATACATGATAATTCACACTTTAGTGAATAAATCTGTCAGCTTATTTTAAATGATTAATATATATTGTTGTATGTATAATGTAGAATAAATATTGGCTAATTGAAAATCGCTTTTATTCATTTATTTATTTTAATAATATTTTGGATTATGCACCGCAGCAGAGATATGGAAAAGATTGAACTTGATAGTTTTTTGAACAAAAAAAATACTATTGCTTTTCTACATATATATATATATATATATATATATATATATATATATATATATATATATATATTATTATTTTTATTTTTTTTGGGACAGCACATTTAATTAGCAGGCGTTTATTGTGAATGTTCTTATTCACATTTTAAATGTAATAATAAACTGTGTTTGTACTTCTAAAATACATTTACATACATATATGGGCACTCCTTCTAATTAGAAAATATGGATCCTCATTGCTGACTGCAATATAAAAGAAAACACTAATGCAGTCTTTATAGACAAACTTTGGAAGCAGAATTGTCTGTAGTGTGGAACTTAATGACTGTGAACATGGACCGCCTACCAAAAAAAATCCTTAAATAGTATTATATGTGTTGTTAAAGGGACACTCTACTCTAGGCATCAAAATAACTTCATCTTGATGAAGTGGTTTTAGTGCATTGACAAAGTCTGTTTTTTTAGACAATATAATACATTACGATTTCAGAGAATCTGTAATGTGTACATTAGTCTGATACTACACCTCTACTGGCTGCACGGCTCGCAACACTTAGAGACTCTTCCTCATGAATAATTAAGGAAATATGAAGGTCTTTTCATTTGGCATCATTTTGCACAGCATGATGACTCAAAACACTCTTAATGCTCCTCTGTGCAAATCGTCCAATTGGCAGAGCACAGTGATTGCTGCACAAGCATTGTCAGTCCCTAATTTGTCCTCTATGAGGAGTTGTGAATTGGGCAGATGTCATCAATTCTGAAGAATTTACAATAGACGGTACAGCTGCTGTGAGGACATCGACCATGAGTTTTATGGCATTTTTAAAATGTTCTCACTGGCAACACTCACTACTGAGTTCAAGTCTGACTCTGGAATCAACATCAGCACAAGGATCATTCATGAGCTTGTTTAAATGGAATTCCATCTCTGTGACACCACACAAATACCTAGAATCACCGTGAAAATGTCAAGGATTGGCTGAAATGAAAGAACGCTTATGTTCCATTTGGACTCTAAATCTATGGAACCAGACCATGCTACCTTCTTTACCAAACTTTGTGTTCTAAACTAAATATGCAGTGAAGCAGGAAGCGTTTTACGTGGTTCTGCCAAACACTGAACTGTAGTAAAATGCAAATCAAATTACAAAATTTAGGCAAAAATGTCAGAATTGGAGAATTTCTCCACTAGACTCAACCAACAAGACATAGCTGGACTTTTCTTTATTTTAGCTTATATGTAACAATGAACATTCTCGTTTCCTTATTAAGTTTTCACCTACAATTCTGTGTTTAGTGAACAAATACCAAAACATTCCAGTTAGCAGACAAGGTGGTGAAGTGCAATTCATTACTCTAAAACACCAAAAATAAAATTTTCATGTGCCGTTCCTCGATAGGTGCATGTTGAAGCGTATGGGTGACATAGACAATTCTGAGTTTGGGGACTTCTTTCCTGTGTCATGTTGACTGTGTGCATGTGAAGAAAGCATGATCCTTAGAAAGAAGCGACTGGCTTTAGAGTGCCCTGACCTCAAATTCAAGAGCACCTCTGACTGTGAACAAGGCTTAATTGCCTGACATCAATGCCTCATGTCACTGGTAGAATTTCCTAACTAGTGGAAAGCCTTGCCAAGATCATCTCCATTAATGCCCATGATGTTGAAGTGAACAGGTGTATATTTGTATGTAATATACACACCACTCTCAAATGCTCTTCAGATTCAAATCTGACAACTGTTGAATGAAACAGGGCTAGCTGAGGTCCCAAACACCGCCTGAATCTGTTAAAGGTCACAATCTTAGGGGACAGAAGGAAATCCAGTGAGATGTTTGGGTTTACTGAACCTTTCAATACAGAACAATCATTTCAGTTTTTATCCTTACAGTAATGTCACCCCATGACAATGGTTAGCACACACTCCAATCTCTTCTACTTTTTTTTTGAAGCAACATTTCTTGTATGAACTTTTGCAGATGAACAATGTACTTGTAATTGCAAAGCAAGATTTCTGTTGGGCTTCTCTTTAGCTGTCAGAGAAGTGACTCTTTTTAAAGCGTCACTGTCATGCCAAACTTACCCTTTTCCTGTATTTTCCTCTTCTCTTCCTCTCTCAGAATCTGTTCTTCTTTTCCTCTCTCAGAATCTGTTCTTCTTTTCTTCCTTTCTGATTGTCTTGTGTTTTAAAGAAAACAAAGTGGAGACTATGTTGTCTTGTATATTTTTCCTACGTGAGGAGGAGGAGCTTAAAGGGATTCTTTAGTGCCAGGGAAACAAACCCGTTTTCCAGGCACTGTAGAATCTTGGATCGCCCCCCTCCTTCCCGCCCCCCATCCCACGTCATTGAGGGGGTTTAGAATGCTTCAGACACCTGAATTCAATGTCCCTTGGTGCTGGGTCAGGCTCTGCCCACGCTCCTTCCATGCCGACATCTGTCGGAGGGGGAACCATAATACGCATGTGTGGCATTAGAGCAAAAAGTCATCTAGTCAAGATGCAGGAAGACCCTCTAGTGGCTGTCTGGTATAAAAACTGCAATAATTACTCTTGCAGGGTTAAGGGTGATGGCAGTTGGCACCCAGACAGCTTCAATGGGCTGAAGAGGTCTGGGTGCCTACAGTAACCCTTTAAGTCAGCTCCATTTCCTGTGTCAAAGAAAGTTAACCCTCCTCCTTGACACAAGAAATAGAGCTGACTTAAGCTCCTCCTATGGTCAAAGAAGGCCAACCGTAGGAAAAAATACACAAGACAAAGTAGAAACTGTTTTAAACAAATATAAATATGAGAAAATAGATGAGAAAAAGAGCAGATTCTGAGAGAGGAAGCTATGAGGAACTAATAGGAGAAAGGTAAGTTCGGTGTGACAGTTCCTATAAGACCTGTGATACGGGCAGGTTTTTGTAAACTGTTTTCTGCTTTCCATACAAAATACAGACTTGCTGTAAAACACTTGTTTGTGTTTTTATTTAGGTCAACGTGATATATGTGTGTGTGTGTGTATATATATATGTTTGAAAGAACTGACACACAGTTGCAATGACCTTAATGTGCTGGCAGAAGCCTGGCCCTGCTTGTAAAATTTGCAGCTCATCTGGGCCATGAATGGCCATTAAGGAAGCCATTCAGGAATGGTTTAAGGAACATTGCAAAAAAGTTCAAGGTGTTTCCTTGTCCTCGAAAATTCCACAGATCTCAATCCGGCTGAGCATCTATGGGATGTGTTGGAACAACAAATCCGATCCATGAAAGCCCCACCTTGCAACTTGCAGGACTTAAAGGATCTACTGCTAATGTCTTAGTGCCAGATACCACAGGACATGTTCAGAGGTCTTGTTGAGTCCATGTTTTGATGCATCAGTGCTGTTTTGACAGCACAAGGCCTATTTTCTTTCTTTGTATTGGTTGCAGTTAGTTTTGTCTGTTAGTGAGCTCTTAATCGTGGTTGATGGTGGTTCTGAGTTACATTAGCATTATATTGTCTTTGTATTTAGAAACATTTGTTTTGATATTTAATTTTTTTGTATCAATAGTTTCTAAATATTTTTTTTTTTAACTTTTGATATATTTGAGATCTTAGTTAAATATAATCTTATTGTATTGTCAATATTGTTACATCCAGCATTTTTTTTTTACAAAGCTTTAAACTAAAATATAAAATGATTCCATATTTGGGTTTGTTATTTATTTTAGTAATATATTTACCACTATTCAAACCATAAATGTATTTATTTATTTTTTAAAGATTTTTTTTTGTTTTACTAATATTTTAAGTTTCTACATGTATAATTGCATCTCACTTTAACAAATTGTTATCGTTATTACTTTATTTTATGTGCATCATTTGTTTTGTTTTTCTGCTGGGACGTCTTATAGATCTGGGGTTTGTAGGAAGCTCTAACTCCAGCAAGACTGAGCATGTAAACTGATGAAATTGTGAATGATCACAATTACCACAACTGTCAATTTCTCATCCTTCTTTAATTTCTCTGTCAGTATAATAGCTTACGTTGTTATAATTATTAAGAGATTTGGGGAAAATAGTTCTGTTTGTCATCTACAAATACTTATTATGTTGACTGGGAAAACCGCAGGTGGGTGGAGAGAAGCACAAGTTCTACCACCAGTAAAATAACAAAGAATATATATTCTTGGACACAAAATAAATCCAAGCCTGTTATCCCTGTGAGGTTTTAGAACAGGTATCCCATGGTAACCTTAAAGGAACACTCTAAGCACCGTAATCACTATAGCCCATTGTAGTGGTTACGGTGCTAGAAGACTACTGACGCCATCCAATGTAAAGCAGTCAGACTGTTTTTCAATGAATGACACTTACCTGGTAACCTGCTTTTCTTTCGGTCTTCATGGTGTTGCTAAACAGTTAAACTTTAACTGTAAGTTTTGGGCAAACGTTTCAAGTCATTGATTGGCTGAGAGCATCGGTGACACTGATAACAATTTTGCATAGCAAATTCCTCCATAGTCAGTTGAATTAGTATGGTGATTGAAACTCACAAAGTTTACAGTCATCCAAGCTAAACGTCTGGTTGAGTGGAGTGCCACCTAAATGACTATCTCTAAATAGGGTCGTATCACTCAAATGAACCCATCGCTTGAGCTGAATAGTTCAGGAATTACATTTTACACGATTCACAAACTTCTGTCCTCTTCAAATGAATACTGAAATAACTGTGCAAATAAAAGGAAAAGTAGTCATTAAAACTTTGTAAAAAAAAAAAGCCCTGTTCTTGTTCCCATTCCCATCCTGCATGTGGGAACGTGGCGATCGTGACCCTTTTACGCCTTTCCCAACGTGATAAGGAAATGGCCAAAGTCCCCATAATGCCCTTAGATGTTCCCTAGCAGCCTATGCTGTTGGAGGGAAATGAATGGAGCAAAAACTAGCAAGCCAATCACATTGGCTTCTAGCCATGCTGCAAGAGATGAACATTGCCATTGTTAAAGGTAAAGATCACATTGTGCAGTGCTGGTTTCTTTATTAGAACAAATACTAAATAAAACGAGAATTATCACAAATTATAGTGATGCAGAGTATAACCGTACAAAAGAATAATAATACATCTTAGAAAGTACAGGTGTCTATTGTGGGTACACCTCGCATACATGGTATTTCTCAGTGCGCTGATATTAATAGCTGTTTTAGTTCTCTGATTCTCTTGTAGAATGTAAAAATACCAGCTAAAAACCTGAATGTTTAAATGCAAAACGCGCATGAAGTAATGTTGCCATGGTAATCTGGGGCTTACTCATGCACTCTTGTGCGTAATCTCAGCTTCCATGAGTTACAGAGAACTTATTACAGTACACACAGATATAAATATATAAATACCAAGTCTTTCTGCCTTTTAATTACCATTATTTTTAAAGGGACACTGGAGGTGTTTATTTTTTTTTTTATTTGACTGCATTAACAAATATGCAAAAACAAATAAATTTGCATTTGCTGCAAATTCACAGACTGTACAGCTTCTGCATTGAGTAGTCTCCAAACCAAGAAGTTATTCAGTTAATTTAAAGCGGCACTATCACCCCCTACTGCAAAATGAATATTTCATACAAATTAAAAATCTTCATGCAATATTCTTGTTGACAGTTTTAGAATTTCACTGAAATCCTTAACCCGGTCAAAAGATATACTGGGTTGGGAGAGTGCAGAAGAGGATGGCAACACCCGCTAAGGACAGCTGCAGGTAAGTTAAACCCACCTTGCCTGCTCCTCCCAGACCCCCTGCGGCGATGTCACCGTCAGGAGTTTTTGCAAATTATGTAAAGTCCCCAGACGGTGACATTGCTGATAGTATACTATAAGCAGCGCATATGGGTACATAAAGGGGATTTGGGCGTTGTGGTTTAATTTCTGACTTTTTATTGTAGAAACCTAGCAGCTGGACTGCTAATTCCAGAAGTAATGGCATCATATAAAGCAGTAATTTTTGAGAAAAGGGAAAACATTGCCGGTTAAAAGGGAGGATTTGAAAGCTGGGATTACGGAACAACATTTTTATTTTTTTTAAATGCACACCTAACTGTAATTTACCATATACTACACACATAAATGCGTATATGTAGCAAATTAAAAGTAGGCAACTACGCAATAAAACGTCAAACTTTAAAATTCAATGACAGCGTCTCTTAAAGGGACAATGTACGATTCTACAATTGTGTGGTTTTAGTGGATGTGCCCAGGACACAATGACCGGACAGTGCAGCAGCAATGGCTCTAAATCCAAACTTCCGAACCACATAGAACAGTTAAAACAACCCGCTATATTGATTAATAGAGGTCAAATCACATTTTGCGATGCAGTAGAAGGGGAGGCTGAATGTGTTTCACTCTGCAAACAGCATTTTATCTGCAGCTCCCACCTGTTTCCAGAGTGAAATAATTCACTGCTGTGATTTTAACCGGATTTATCAATAAAGCTGATTGTTTTAACGCTTTAATTCCAGCTAGAAGTGTCTTTTTTTGAAAGAATTTTACATTTGGAGCGACTGGTGCTGCCGCTCGTGTCTAGTCTTTAGGTGTGGGGTGTATCCACTAGACATTAATGTTCCCTGGGGAACATAGCACAAACATGGGCATTTGAAATATAATCTTGCTATAAGCTTGAGGGCTATTTGCTTTGCAATTACAGTGCACAATTCTGCAATTCCCCTTACATTACTTCACAATCTAACAGGTTTTGCACTTAAAACTACCTGATGCATTCTCTTTTGTTCTTATTATATCCTTTAGATTGTAAGATCACAAGCCATCTTGCAGAGCACCAAGTATAAATGCTGGACTGTAGCATCATACACAGGGTCCTCTGTTCTGTTAAAGTATACTATCAGTGAAAGGAATACAAAGCTGTATTCCTGGCACTATAGCTCCCTCTGCCTCCCCCTACCCTCGCACCTCTCACTGACTTGAATAAAGGGTTAAAAACCCTTTATTTACCTACCTTACTCTAGCGCGGATGTCCCTCGGTGCTGGGTCACGGGTCTGCCTCCTCCGACATCCCCCGATGAGCGGGTGCAAGCGTGCATTAGACCTCCCCATGGGAAAGATTTGAATCATTGCTTTCCTATGTGGAAAAATCTGACGCTGGATGTCCTCATGAAGAGTAGTTACCGGGTCCGTTTGGATGCAGGAAGCACCTCCAGTGACTCTCTGGGAGACGGCCACTGGAGGCAGACTTAGTGCTGCAAAGTTCCAGAGAAACTGCAATCTTTACATTGCAGCACTAAGTCTACCTCCAGTACAATAGGAACACTGAACCCAGACCACTTCAATGAGCTAAAACGGTCTGGGTGCCTATACTTTCAGGACTTAAATACTGATAGGTCTAAACTGCAATACCGGTTTCCTACATTTTGTATTGAACTGTGCAATATGTCGTTTTTTTCTAAATACCAACTAACAACATCAATGAACCTGGACCACGAACAAGAAAATTATTCCCAAATGACTTGTTTTTAAATATCACATTGCGCATGTTTGGATATAATTAATGCAATTATAAGTGGATTACCCTTGTATAAATACACAATATATCGGTCAGTTAGAAAAGAAGAAACAAACATACTGGGAAATAAATAGAATATCTTTTAAAAGAGAAATGGTACACAAACCAAAACGGGTTAAATAAAATATATACGATGATTAAACCATGTGGATGATTGCAGTGAAGAAGGAAAAAGGAATAGTGTGCATTTGTAAATAACCATTTCTAAATGGATTTATGCCAATAGCATACCTCACCTGGCTGATGCACAAGGTGAGTCTTATCTGCTGTCAAATTCCATGTTCTCAATGTTACTAATGGTGGCTTAAATGGGGTGTGATAGGCATTTACACTCATCTATGTGATAGACCTATACTCAGTCATAGCCTCTCTGTATTGCTAATCTGACAAGTAGAAAGAGACTTATAACTGACGTATTTAGCATTCCAGACCACACAGTAATTTTCCAAATACAGTAATGCATCTCTTCTAAGTATTTGAGATAATACTTCGCCATTTAGGACGTTGCCTCAAAAGCTTGCATGTGCGTTGGGGCGGAAGTTATGAAATGTCTGTCTTTTTAAAATAATTATGGAGAGAATATATTGTGCACATTTCACGTAACTTTCTAAAGATATTTTGAACCAATTTCAGAATACCATTTTTTTTTTTTTGGTTGCATAAATTCTCAGATTAAACCAGGTAGTTATTTCTGGCTGAAAACTGGTCAATCGAAAAAGGAAAACCGTGTGTTTGTCTAACGAGAACAGTACTATGCATTGACACTACGTAAAAATACTCATTCATCCACTCTATGTCTGCAGTTCATTATACCCTTATACATGTGCATACATACTGACCCTATATACAGATTGCATTTTATGCATGCACACACACTCAAATTTACAAATGCATGCATGCACACTATACACGCATATATTCACAAACGTACATACACACACTCAGGAGGGATGAGGAAAGTATGGCGAAATAAGGGAAGAGACTGTTTCCATGACAGTGGTTGTTTAATGCCCTCCCTGTAGGTTACCTTCAAACTATTTGTGTTTCCTTAAAGTAGTTTTTCCCCCCAAACATGGCAACCTGACTGAAGGGGTGTACCCCACATCATTATTGGTGTACTGAATTCCACATTCTTGTTTGATATGGTTTAACTGCATTACCAATAATGTTTAACCAACGTCTGCTTAATTCAGAATGGAATTCTAGACGTCCATGTCTTATGTAATAAAACACGTCACATTTATTCTACCCCATAGAGTTAGATAAAACCATATGAAATCACACCAAACAGCACAAATACAGCTTAGAGCCAAAAAACAGATTAGGATTTTATCTAACCCTATGTGGTAATATAAATGTGACGTGTTTTATTACATACAACGTGGATGTCTATATATTCTGCTGTTTATACCCTGGGGTCAGACGTCTAAATCATGAGAACCCTTAAATGTAAATCTTCAATAAGCCGCTTTAATGTCCGGATGAAGCTATTCGTTTAATACGAGCGTGGTTTTTATTTTGTCTTAAAGCAGCACTGTCCATATTTTTTTTTCTTTCTATTTCCCTTTTCTTATGTTCCTTGTGTCTTAATAATAATCTGCATATCCTCCGTGTCCCTTCCGTTTTTTCTTTTTATAAATTACATTGGATCTCAGTACGATGTGCCACCATCTTGTTCTTCTCTTGATGATATTTCTGCAGTTTTCCCTACTGTGCGCATGTGTACAGAGAGATCGGTGCATTCCACCAATTCTGTTTGGTGGACAGCCAGGACAGTGGTGAATGAGATCACAGTGATTTGCCCTGCAATAAAGCCAGCATGGCCGCCATCAGGTCATGACAACTATGACGGTAAGGGAAGTGAGAGTGTGCTGTGGGCCCCCTCTGCAACAAACAGGTAGCCAGGGGCCCGCAGCACACTCTCACTTCCCTTGCCAGCAGCTCCCCTGTCTAAATCTCTCAAGCCCCACGGCCGTCCGAGCGTTGCCACTGGTTATGTAGGCCGTTAGAGTCAGAGACAGTATATATATTTGTATATATATATTACACAAATGTACAATCTGCATCCACCATACACAATACATCCATTACACACACACCGCATCCACTTTACACATGCACTCTGCATCCACTACACACATTCTACACCCACTATACACACACCACAATCAGTACACACACTGCATCCCTCTGGGTGGACTCGGAAGCAGGCCCCGGGGGGCCCAGACCTTGAGCTGTGTTAGGGGCCCCAAAATTTCTGATGGCGGCCCTGAGAGCCAGCATGGGGCAAACAGATGACGTTACTGCCCAGTGCACATGCTGAAGCAGTGCAGACCACTGTGATATATCATCTAGATATAACATTTTGGTCACTGACCAAATGAGATAAAAGGTGGATATGGGGAAATATCAGGTAGGCCGAAATATTTCACAATTTAAGAAAATGACACTTAATGATTGAAATTCTTGATTTTGTTTCCCCCTTCATGACAACTGTACTTTAAACTGCTTCAATTCGCAAAAATTTACAAAGATCATTCTCTACATAGGAAATCATTGTCTTACTTTTTTGTTATGTTTTTATTCATTTTTCAAGGTTAGAATAATACTTAAATGCATAATTGCGTTGACATCAAATGTTTTACAACATATTTGAACATAAGCCAAAAGTGACAGTCAAAAATACAGTGTGCTTATCGTTAGTGAAGAGGATACACTAGTACAAATTAAAACTACTATAGACAAGGCACCACTTAATATAATGGCTGGCTGTCCCCAATCAGGGTTCAGTATGTATATTTAATAAAGCACGAACAAACCGTATAAGATATGATATATATACATTTATAGTCATTGCGTCAAGTGTTTCATCGTAGTTGCCTTTGCCATTACACAACAGTAAGTGAAGCAATGTGTGTGTGAATTCTGTAATTAAATTAAACTAAAAAGAAACCGGGAGAGAAACAAAAAAAACGCCTGGGATGAGGAATGCGGGTGTGAGGAACTGACTCTGCTGGGTTTCGAACCCTGGTTTACATGGTGCTAAACCTTTTCCTTACCAGTACACCAGCCTGCCTTTTGCAAATTTACCTGAGATCTGATACTATTGCTTGTAGAGTCAAGGTTATCAGTGACAACTCACTTCAGCTGTGTCTGGTCAGGTGTCTGGTTCTTGGCCTATAAAAGCCACTTCCTGTCTCTGTACCTTTGCCAGATTATTGTGGTTCCTGTACTCTCTAATCAAGCGTGTTCCTGTTTCTCCTTCCTGTTGCTGAATTTGGACTGTTTTGACTTTGCTGCTTCTCCTTCCCACTGACCTCGGCTTGCCTCACTACGATTATCATCTTTCTGTTCCAGTCTCCCATCTCTGCTTAAGACCAGAAGGCCACTCAAGGCTCAGGGGCTCAACCACCTGGGTAACGAGTGGCTACCTCTGGCAGAAAACATTGCTGATCTGGCTACTGGACTCCAAAACTTTGTAACATCAATATCATTACAGAATAATCTGGCCCATTCATGGAGACCGTCGGATCAGATTCTGCATTGGCCCAGCAGGTTGCTTTTAATGCAAGAACTATGCAGACCCAGGCACAGACCATTCAAGTGCTGCAGGATCAGGTAGCTGAACTGCAAAATGAAGTTCGATCAATGCATAGTGAGCTTACCAGCTACAGGGCACATGATGTTGCGGCTGCTGCTACTACTACTGTTACACCTGCACAAGATGCCCGCTTGCCTCTACCAGAAAAATTTGGAGGAGACCGCAAAAAATTCAGGGGTTTCCTAAATCAATGCCGTTTGCATTTCATGATGTTACCTAACCGTTTTCCATCTGAAAGAGAGAAGGTGGGATTTATTTTTTCCCTCTTCAAAGATGAAGCCCTGGCCTGGGGCTCCCCTTTTCTGGAACAGGACAGTCCAATCTTGGGAAATTTAAAAGACTTTCTTGAGGCCATGTGCCTAGTTTTTGATGATCCCAATCGCTGTGCTACAGCAGAAGCCACTCTCCTTCATTTACATCAAGGGAGGCGCTCTGTGGCTGAATATGCTGCTGAATTCAGACAGTGGGTTACTGATACTACTTGGAACCAATCAGCCCAGAGGTTCCACTTCAGAAGGGGTCTCTCAGAAGCTATAAAAGATGAGCTAGCTCGTGTTGATCTTCCTGTTGAGTTTGATGCATTTGTGCGGTTGGCTATCCGTATTGATCGGAGACTTTCAGAAAGAAGATTGGAAAGACAGGGCTCTTTTAAACCAAGTGCTACTCCTACTTTCTATTCAAGAATTTCTACTCCGACCCCACAAACACCTACAGACTCTGAACCTGAGGCTATGCAGGTAGATCTAATAAGAGGGCCATTATCCAATGAAGAAAAACAGTGGCGACGCACTCACAACTTATGCCTGTATTGTGGTAGTGCAGGGCATTATGCCATCAATTGCCCTAACAAGTCTAAAAGAACAATAGCTATGACTGCTGAGGGTGCACAGATTCAACACCAATCCCAGATTTCAGACCAACTGGATTCTGTCACACAACCCTTGTTTTCTCTGGCTCAGGGTGAAGAAGGTATGATGACTCAACATCCTCATTTGGTGGTGCCTATCACTTTGCAATATGGTGATAATAAAATTTCAACTACAGCTATGATAGATTCCGGAGCAGGCGGAAACTTTATGGACATTAAATTTGCAGCAGGAAATAAAATTCAGTCTATCCCTAAATCTTCACCTGTGTTAATGGAAACAGTAGACGGTTCTCCACTTACGTCAGGCCCGGTTACACATGAGACTGTGCCCTTAAAATTGATTCTGGAAGTGAATCACCATGAGTCTATATCTTTCCACCTAATTTCCTCAACACAGTTTCCAGTGATTTTGGGTATACCCTGGCTTGCTCTGCATAACCCACAGATTGATTGGAAGACTAGAACTTTGTCCTTTCCTTCAGAACACTGCTTAATGAATTGTCAACCCTCTAAGGCGACACCTGTTACCACAACAATTAATGAAATGGTTGCTACAAACTTAACTAAGCTTCCGCTACAATATCGGGATTTTGCAGATGTCTGTGATAAGAAGAATGCTGATCAGCTTCCACCTCACAGGCCTTATGATTGCCCCATAGAGCTGCTACCTGGAGCTGCTATCCCATTTGGCCGTATATACTCCCTTTCTGAGCCTGAATTGAAAGCACTTCGTGAATACATACAAGAAAATCTTGCCAAAGGCTTTATTCGACCATCCACTTCTCCAGCAGGAGCTCCTATATTCTTTGTAGAAAAGAAAGATGGCAGTCTACGGCCATGTGTCGATTACAGGGACATTAATAAAATCACTGTTAAAAACCGTTATCCCTTGCCTCTCATTCCTGAACTTCTGGAGAGACTTCGTTCAGCTAAAATATTTACGAAGCTTGATCTACGGGGGGCATATAATCTGGTTCGCATAAGACCAAATGATGAATGGAAAACAGCTTTCAGAACCAGGTACGGACATTACGAATATCTAGTAATGCCATTTGGGCTTTGTAATGCCCCTGCAACTTTTCAGCATCTAATCAATGATGTACTACGGGATCTCCTGGATCAGTTTGTTGTGGCATATTTGGATGATATCCTGATATTTTCTGATAATCTTGAAAATCACAGAAAACAGGTCTGCATTGTTCTTGAGCGCCTTCGTACCCACCACCTATACATTAAACTGGAAAAATGTGAGTTTGAACAAACAGAAATTCAGTTCCTGGGGTATGTAATAACTCCTAAAGGTTTAAGTATGGACGCAAGTAAAATTAAAGCTGTGCTGGACTGGCCCATCCCCAAGAATGAAAAAGATATACAGAGATTTGTGGGGTTTGCCAATTTTTACAGGCGTTTCATTAAGAATTTCTCTGCCGTTATTACACCGATCACTGAACTTACACGTAAAGGGACTCCTTTTCAGTGGTCCAATAAGGCTGACACTGCATTTTCCAGATTAAAGACTCTGTTTACATCTGCCCCTATCTTGGTACATCCTCAGCCAGAATTGCCATTTACTGTAGAGGTAGATGCTTCTGATTCAGCTGTTGGGGCTATACTGTCTCAAAGGACTGGACCTAAGATGTTGTTACATCCATGTGCCTTCTATTCCCGCCAGATGTTACCAGCAGAAAGAAATTATGACATAGGGAATAAAGAACTTTTGGCTATAAAAGCTGCCTTCACCGAATGGAGACATCTCTTGGAGGGAGCCACCCATCCAATTACTGTCCTCACAGATCACAAAAATCTGGAATGTATCCAATCCGCTAAGAGACTGTCAGCCAGACAAGCACGCTGGTCCCTATTTTTCTCAAGGTTTAATTTTTTTATTTCATACCGCCCTGGTTCCAGAAATGGCAAGGCGGATGCCTTGTCTAGGATAGCTGACCCCCTCCATACTACAGTAACCAAGGCCACCATCTTGCCGGAGAGCAGATTTTTAGGAGTTACCTTTCCTTCTGATCTAATGTCTCGCATTAAAAAGGGCTACTCTAAAGATCCAGTTTTTCGTGATCCTCCTCGTGATCTTCATATGACCATGCTTAATGGGTTTTGGATTTTTCAACAACGTCTGTTTGTTCCAGAATCAGTGCGACTGGACGTTTTACGCCTCTACCATGACTCTAAACCAGCAGGTCATCCAGGAATCCGAAAGACACAAGAACTACTTACCCGATCCTTTTGGTGGCCTAAATATTATGAGGATGTTAAGAAGTATGTGTCATCTTGTGATGTATGTGCCAGACATAAGACTCCTCGCTCATCCCCTGTTGGCTTGCTTCAGCCTCTTCCGATTCCTCATCGTCCCTGGGGATCTATATCCATGGACTTTATTGTGGAACTACCTCCCTCTAAGGAACACACTACTATTCTTGTTGTTGTGGACCGGTTAACCAAGATGAGTCATTTCATACCAGCTCGTGGTCTCCCTTCAGCTAAACAGACTGCTGACCTTGTTATTCGGGAAATATTTCGCTTGCATGGAGTGCCTGATGAAGTAATTTCTGACAGGGGAGTGCAGTTTACATCTCATTTTTGGAAATATTTTTGTTCTATTCTAGGTATTAATGTAAATCTGTCTTCAGCTTTTCATCCACAAAGTAATGGACAGACTGAGCGAACCAACCAGACTTTAGAACAATATTTGCGGTGCTATATTAGTTACCTGCAGGATGACTGGCTGGATTTTCTACCCACGGCGGAGTTTGCCTATAACAATGCCCAACACTGCTCCACTTCTCTGAGCCCATTTTTTGCCAATTATGGTTACCATCCAACCTTTCTAGTGAGTCTCCCAATTACTACTCCCATTCCTGCAGTCACTGACCGGCTAACCGCCTTACGAGATTCCCAAGAACTGTTGAAGGAGACTCTTTCGGAGGCTCAGGAATGTTACAAAAGAGCTGCTGATAGGCACAGAAAGGAGGCCCCAGTTTATCATGTTGGTGACAAGGTTTGGCTGTCAACAAAGAATCTTAAGCTTAGGATTCCTTCTCATAAATTGGGTCAAAAGTTCATGGGACCTTTTAAGATAATCGCTCAGATCAATGCAGTCACCTTCCGTCTGCAACTTCCGGATTCCATGAAAATACATCCGGTGTTTCACGTGGCACTGCTTAAACCTTTTCATGAAAATACTTTCCCTGGTCGAGCCTTGCCTGCCCCACCACCAGTCCTCGTGGATGGTGAAGATGAATACGAGGTGGAAAAAATTCTTGACTCCAGGATCTTCCGCAACAAGCTTCAATATTTGGTTCATTGGAAAGGCTATGGTGAGGAGGATAGATCGTGGGAACCAGTGGACAATATTCATGCTCCTGATCTTCTTCAGTCTTTCCATGCACAGTACCCTGCTAAACCAGGAAATAGGGCATCCAGAGGCTGCGCCTGTAGAGGTGGAGGTAATGTGAGGAACTGACTCTGCTGGGTTTCGAACCCTGGTTTACATGGTGCTAAACCTTTTCCTTACCAGTACACCAGCCTGCCTTTTGCAAATTTACCTGAGATCTGATACTATTGCTTGTAGAGTCAAGGTTATCAGTGACAACTCACTTCAGCTGTGTCTGGTCAGGTGTCTGGTTCTTGGCCTATAAAAGCCACTTCCTGTCTCTGTACCTTTGCCAGATTATTGTGGTTCCTGTACTCTCTAATCCAGCGTGTTCCTGTTTCTCCTTCCTGTTGCTGAATTTGGACTGTTTTGACTTTGCTGCTTCTCCTTCCCACTGACCTCGGCTTGCCTCACTACGATTATCATCTTTCTGTTCCAGTCTCCCATCTCTGCTTAAGACCAGAAGGCCACTCAAGGCTCAGGGGCTCAACCACCTGGGTAACGAGTGGCTACCTCTGGCAGAAAACATTGCTGATCTGGCTACTGGACTCCAAAACTTTGTAACATCAATATCATTACAGCGGGCTTGCTAAAGCAAGTGTTGTACAAACAACATGGCAACATGTGTTGGTCTTACTGGGTCTAGGCAGGACCCCCCTTTAACCCAGGGTGTTTGGTAGTAGGGTTGCGTCTGCCTTGATGGCAAAAGTGGCCCATGGGGTCCACACTTGGAAAAATGTTGTGGAGTGGCACGTCATAGAGTACATTATCTGATTGTTCTCCATTTATCTGATCCGTTCGACCCTGGCGAACCATTCTCCAAGTGGAGGTGAGGTAGGCTATTTCCAATATTTGGGTATAAGTGCGTTCAGTAAATAGTATTCCAAGGTGGTCCTTATTTTTCTTATGTCAGAAAAAATAAATAAGGGACCCTAAGGTGAATTTTTATTTTTGAAAACAGAGAGGGAGGTGCAGATGTCCTTGGAGTGTGTATACATAACCATAAAAAAGAGGAGAAATAGAAAAACTGATAGTGAGGTTAAATAAAATTCTATGCACTCACACTTTGTAGGAGCCTTAGGTGCAGCTCCAATTTAGACGCTTGGGCGGAATAATCGCTGCCTAAGGATATGGTGGAGTACAGATTCCATAGGAGGTTCTTGTGGATGCAGCTTCTCTTGTAGATATGTAGGAAAAATCAGAGATATATATATAGTACAATATGCCAGACTCAATGTTAAAATATATAACTATAAAAGATGTGCACTCACGTGTACTGGAGCCTATAGAGTGGCTCCACAGGTATGGCGTGAAGTGGTATGATCCCCACTCTATGATATAGGTGCTGGTGGCATGGGCGTAGGAACCCCCCAAAATTTGGGGGGGGTAGCATTTTTACTCGCCGGGTATATTTTTATTCCGTAAACTAGGAGTTGTTTATCCCATTGTACAGCGCTACGGAATTTGCAGTCGCTATATTAAATGATTAAATAATAATATTAAAGGGTAACTACAGGGAAGGGGTTTTACTTACCCGGATACAGCGCCGGGATCCTCCTGATGCCGTGCCCCCTATTTCGTCAAAATGACGAAATAGGAGGGTGCGAGCAGGGAGCAATAAAACGCTTCTATTCAGAAGCGTCATTGCTCTCTGGTGCGCATGCGCAGCTTTGCCGCACATACGCAGATACTTCATAGGGCGGCATTCATGTCTCGACTAGGAAGCACCTCTAGTGGCCATCTGAGTGTCCACTAGAGGTATTCCTCATCAGTAATGTAAATACTGCCTTTTACGAAATGGCAGTGCTTACATTAAAAAGCCTGCAAAGACATGCTATAGACACCAGAACTACTACGTTTAGCTATTGTGGTTCTGGTGACTATAGTGTCCCTTGAATATAGAGAGGAAAAAAGAATCATCACAAATGTAAGAAATAAAATGTCTGTATCATTATTCTAAAAAATTATTTAAAAAAAAATAAAAAAATATGCACATTCCTAGCTTAATTTTTAGCACGACATGACACAAACATTTTGTACTTTGCAGATTACTTTTTATATTTTTTTATACATATACAGATTGTGTAATACTGCCCTTGACTTAGGGTGACCACATTTCTCAACTGCCATTCAGTGACACTGTCAGAAATGCATTCCATACATTTTACTACCCGTCTCTACCCCTTCCATTTATATTAGAACCCCACCTACCCCTTCCATGAATATTAGAACCACCCCTATCCCTCCCATGAATATTAGAACCACACCTAGCCCTTCCATGCACAAAAGAACCTACCCCTTTCCCCCTATCCTTATTAGTAGCCCCCCTAACCCTTTCCAATTATTTTTCTACCTCCCCCTCCCCCCATCCATATTAGTAGCCCCTCTAAACACTTCCAATTATTTTTCTACCTTTGTCCCCCCTTTTACCTGACATAGCAGGGGGACGTCTGGCAGGCGCAGTGTCAGACTGAGCGCCAGGTAGTCATGTGACACTTGGCCAGGGCCGGTGCAAGGATTTTTGCCGATTTCCCCCACCCTCCCCGGTTCCTACGCCCATGGCTGGTGGTCTCTCTCCGATTTATATAAGTAAAAGAGAAATTAAAACCACAATAGTGTAGATTGTAAAAAGGGATCAATAGAATGAAATAGATCAAAACTACTCACATTTGATAGAGCAAATAGGGATTGCTCTGTCCAACAGGGTTAGGTGGTATTATCCCCACCAAGGATATGGAGTACAGGAATCCAGCAGCAAACAGGTCCAATAAAAAAGTACTTTTATTGATAAAAAAACAATAAATGCTAAAAAGAAAAATAGGGTAAAAGAACTATATAGAACAATATTTAAATACACTTAACGTGTTTCACCATACAATGTCTTTCTCAAAAATGTTTACGGAAGGAAGGACCCCAGAGCTACTTTAAATAAGGGAGGTAAATTTAAAAATAAGGGCTGTGTGACGTCATAATTAATTAATGAATTAACATGAGATTTTTAGAAAAAAGTAAAAGAGCAAAGTATCTATATATATATATATATATATATATTTTTTTTTTAACCCCTTAAAGGGACACTGTAGTCACTATAAGCATTTCATCTCTTTGAATTGGTTATAGTGCCTGGAGTGCCCTGGCATTGTCCCTCCATTCAGTGTTGCACCATGTTCGTGCAGTAGGCCACAAAATAAGAGTCCCTGGCCACCCACAGTCCGGCCCCTTCAGTAAGTGTAGCTAAGGCAGAGATTACACACTTCCTTGTTGTCATACCCATTCATACCGTCAGTTGGAACTCTGACAGGCTAAAAGCAGTCAGCTGACACTCTCAGCCAATCACAGCTGCCCATTGCTGCTCAGGCTAATACTTCCTTATTAGCCAAAGCAGCACAGAGGGGATGGATTGCCTGGGACTCTTGTTTAGCATTAAAGCATTAAAACTTTAAAAACTGTTTAAGGCTGAAAGAAATGATGGTACCAGAGGACTCCAGACACTATAACCAGTTTAATGAGATGAAGCAGATACTGTGCCTACGGTGTCCCCTTAAGGACACATGACATGTGTGACATGTCATGATTCCCTTTTATTCCAGAAATTTGGTCCTTAAGGGGTTAAACTGCATATTTTTCTGGAACTACATTACCTACTCTACAGTGGAACATTTACAAGTGACACCATAGTCATTTATGAGTTTGGGGTACTATCCTGGAGAAATTGTATTTGGATTTATAGGACTTCCATTTGATTATCTGTTTTCTGTATACTATTTGACGGACTATATTCTAGTCTCATAGGAATGTTGACAGGCTGTATATATTTAGATTTTATATTTTGTAGCACTTTATGATTTTCTTATGCACTTGGAATTTGCACTTTAATATAGGTCAGGGGGTCAGCAACCTACGGCAAGTGTGCCATGCATGACACTCTAGGTGCTTTTAAACGGCACTCCCCCACACACAAACACATCCCCACAACACACTGACAATCCACATACGTGCACACAGCCCCACAAGCAGCCTGTCACATACAGTACCCTAAGCAACCCCACACATACACACATTGTGACAAATTACACAAGCAACCCCCATACACATGTAAATAAAAATTTCAGCGCTGAGTAGATAATCCCCTTAGAAATAAAAAAGGTGCATACATATGCAAAAAATGAAAAAATCAGGCAGAGAAAAGTGTCCAAAATATATAGTTCTGTAACAAAGTCCTATAGTGAGAAAGTCCAGATAACGTTGTGATATGTAGAAACTCAAAAGCATGTAGGAATACCTTGAGAAAAAAGAAACAAAAAAAGATACATAGCGTGATACTGTATCAAAATTTATTGCCCAGAATACAAATGGAAAAAATCCCCCCCAACTTCAAAACTCTTACATTAGATAAATTTTAGTACTCATCATAATAGAAGTAGCTGAAAAAGTTCTTTCAGAGCCGCTCGTATTTTTCCCCGGGGCAGCTCCTCTCCGGTGCACTCAGGAGGGCTGCCTGTGATGTCTTCTATGGAGGAACGCTAACTGAAAGTCCGGCTTCTGTAGATTACTAAAAAGTGTCTGCCGCAGATAAATCTTGCAGATAGACAGTAGTGGCACCCTATCAACGCGTTTCGCCCTGCTAACGAGGGCTTTTTCAAGATAGGTGCTCGGAGCATTATTCGGCAGTTTTATACTTGCTGGGTAAAACAAATTCAAATCTCTTAAGGGTATATACCCCTCTTAAAACACATGTAAAAAGAAAAACATAAAAAAAGCTGCAATTTGTATAAACAGGGACAAAATACTTCCCAACAATAGATATAAAATACTGCACATAAAACACAATATTGGCCTGATACAGTCTATATAAAAACTAAACTACTAAAAAAATAATAATGAATTTATACACAGATCCAAAACATAAAACAATCACTATAACAGTGATTGCTATATACATGTTTATACATCTCACTCCTGGATATCAATCTCCTAACTCTTATAATATCATGGGTATTACTTGATCATGATATGTAAATAATAATAATTACATTCTTCACAGATGACCACAGAATATATAAATGTATTAGTAGTTTTCATCAAGTTAGAAACCTAATAGCAGATAGTATCTCTAGAACTGTAAAAAGAAGAATGTACTAGCTGGTATAGACTTATAGCATAATAAACTATGTCTAATACAATAAAAACAAGATAAGGCATCTCATAATAGTATATGTTTCTATATTATAGGAACTCCTAACATATCAATCAAAAATTATATAATTCTCTATAAAATATATATATATAAAATTCTTAGTAATATCAGTACTTACAGCAATAGAACAATATAGATCTAGGATTCCCAACCATTTGGGCATATAAATTACTACCTTAATCTGGACACTAAAAAAATAGGGCAATTAACTAAATTTTGTATATATGATTTACAGCATGGGCCGGTATTAATGCTAATCCCATGCTATAGTATATTAGCTAGTTCCAGCTCTGCATTAAGACCCGAGGGGATCAGGGTCTTAAGTGTATAGATCCAAAACATCTCCCGGTATGTTAAGGTTTTACTCAACTCACCTCCTCTCCATGGTACTTCTACCCTTTCTATACCACAATATGAGAGAAGTGTAGGATCTCCATTATGGTGTGTTCTGAAATGATTGGAGAGGGAATGTTTCTCAAAGCCCCATACACAGCCCACTTTAACAGGGATCATATACAATACCACAAACTACTCATGAACGAATACTTTACAGTATAACAGCTCACACATGCACAGTACAACTGTACAAAGCAACTGCAGCACCCATGGATAACACAGGCAAAATACGGCAACATATTACACATGTCCATTTTAAAACAGAGGATCGACACGCCGAGAGACTTCAAAATCTTATTTTGGCACAATACTACTGAAAGGTTGCCTATCCCTGATATAGGTTATGCACTTTCACCCTTAGGGTACATAGTTATATATGTTTGATTATTCGCATGATCAGTTATATTTACTTGTAGACTTGACCGACGGTGGCAATGTTATGCGAATAAATTTATAAACTTTTTCTTTTCATATCTTTATTTTTTGGAGTGCAGTACAATTTGGTTATTTTTTTTTTAGTTAGTAATTGTCCGTCTAGAAAAAGAGGATTAAAACCTAGTTTAGAATAATGGCAAGAAAGAAAGAACATCTGGGGGAGTTAGTAGATTTGTGGTTAAATAGTTTAATAGTTTATAAAGGAGAATTGGTGCCAAACATATGTCAGGAAACGTGCTCACAAATGGTGTCCACAATTTGCCAGTCCCAATAAAATGTAATGAGGTACTCACACCAGCCAATACATTACATTTCTTGACATATATCACTCTGTGATTTATTGCTGTCCTTTGAAATCATTTAACCTATAATAAAAAGTAATCTTACCTTAAATGTCTCCTATATACATTCAATACATCATACATCACAAAGATATATTGCGTATTTAATGTAAAATATGGAGCTTTACTCACCTCTCCTCTTCATGTAACACCCACCCCCGGGCCGTCCGCCATTCCACTCCACCTTCTGTATACTTTGATTTGCCCTGCTTGTGTCAGTTTCCTACCCGCTTACCTCCCGCCAAAGCTCCAAGTTCCGCGATCCCCTCTTGCATTCCATCCGACCGAAAAAACTGCCGATGTCGGTAGACTGAATTCGGCACACATAAATGACGTCTGAGGTCAGATTAGGAAGGTCGAGTTCCTTCCACGAATAGTGGTCCATTCCAAATGACAAAGGACTAATCAGGTGTAAGTGATGCCTATATATATACCCATTCCTTGTTGCCCTGTTGTGGTTTCTTGATAGTCCAATAGCATGTTCCTCTTGTATTTATCCGTATATTGTTCTGGCTCTCGTCTACGTTTATCCTGTCCTCTGTTATCCATTGACCTCGGCTTGTTTAATTGTATTCTCTGATTTCTGTACTCTTTTGGCCCCGGCTTGCTATACTGACTCTGTTTGTTAGTTTAACCAGGCCATTATAAGGACCGGTATACAGACTTATTCCTTTAGTGATTCTGTCTGAGTTCAGGTTCCAGGATTCCTGACAGCTTGACTTGGGGACAAATCCCCAAACTTGGCAAACCCCCTCCGTGACGCCAGCACGCTGTCTTAGTTGCCACCAGGTGCGTGACTGAAGGACTGATGCTAAAGTTTCCATAACAACGGCAATGCATGCGTTGTGTTTGCAGTGCTCAGGAGAACAGAGGGACCTCATGTGGGAGGTCTGTTCTACTCTTTCTTGTCAGTCAATGCCTTTGACCGAGAGTTAGAAAAATGTCCGTTATTTCTTGTCATTTCCGGATCTGTCATGTTCAGGACCCTCCAGAACTCTGGGAGGTCCCCATTAGTTTGCAGCATCGTCATCTTCAAGCCCTTGAAAGCCAGTAGTTTAAATGGATGTCCCCAAGCAAATTGAATCCCCTTCATGCGAAGAGCGTCCGCAATAGGTTTCCACATTTGCCGCTTTTGCAACGTAGGGGGGGCCAAATCCAGGAACACTTGCAACTAGGTTCCGGCGTACGTGGCCTCCGAGCCGCGGCACTTACGAATGGTGGCATCAGCCGTGGAACAATAATAAAAATGGGCAATAACATCCCGAGGAACGCTACCCTGGGCACCCCTTGTCCACAGTGCCCTATGAGCACTCTCTATGGCCCACTGGTCATGGGTACATCAGGTAATAGGGGACGGAAGATCGTGGTCAGCAGGCTGGAAAGGCTACCCTCACCAGACGCCTTGGGGAGGCCCCGCACCCTCACATTAAATCTTCGGAACCTGTTGGATAGATCCTCCAGCAGTCCCTCCACAGCTTGGCGCAGAGACCGGAGATCTTCAGCGGAGTCTGCAACCGCGTTTTGGGCCTGCACCACTCGCTTTCCCCGGGATTCCAGTTCCGCTGCACAATTCCAGATTGCATGGATCTCGGCTTTCAGGGCTTGTGTGCCCTTTGCTATCTCCTCAGCTAAGAAGGTCTTGTTGGCCTGCATCTGGAGCAGGATGCGGGCAGTATCGTCCGAACAGGCCATCGAGGTGTCTGAGGCCTCCTCTCCGGGTCCTCCGCTCACAGACTTTTCCTGCCACCAGCTTGGGTCCGTTTGGGGCCCCTGCCCGTCTATGTAAAGATCGACGGTACCGTTGCGTCCCGTTGGGTTTGTTTCTTCCCACTAACTTTAATGCTTCTGGGAGTCTTACCCAATAAAAAGGTAATATATCTCAGGGAGTCTTGCAGTTTTCCGTGCGGTTTAGCAGCCCTTTCCTCAGGAGCTCTCGAACTATGCGACCATCGCTGTCTACGTCCAAGCCACCCCCCGGGATAACTATTCTCTAATTTACCAGGTGAAGGAGCATAGTAGTGTTGTATGCATTAGCCATCACTTCTTCTTTTAAACTTGTTTTTATGGTGTTGTAGTTATCCTCTTCTGGTCAATGGATGGGTCCAGGCATATGATTTATTGACAGCCCGGACACATCACCTGTTAAGGAGGAGTTAAACTGTTAAGTTTCTCTTCCAGCTCTTTTTTTTATAAAATATTTTAATATATTGCTATTTTGGATCCTGCGTACAGCTGCTTCCATTTTTGTCCGGTTCGTTAATGAGCACATTGCCAAGGCAGTGCAGCAGTTGCTATAGCAATGGCCTCATCCATAAAGCATCATTGTACTGTCATTCCGAGCCGCTGAGTGAGCGAAACATTGCTGCAGAGAAAGTTTGCCACTTACAGGCACCATTAAACAAATGTATTCCTATTTAAAAAACAACAATCTGGCTGTAATTTATTTTTTTCCTACATGAATGAAATGATAAAGAAACATGCTTTATATCTCAACTTTGTAATGTAGTAGCTTTGTCAAAATACATTGTTGTGGATATTTAAATAAGTTCACCTAATTACAGCAAAAATACCAGATGCTCCAAATAAGTTAACATGAAAGTCCATTGTGCTTCACTAATTAGAGAAGTGAAGCTTAACCTCCAGTCAGCCTTTCTTAATATTGTGCATGTCAGTCTATGTTTACAATGAAAATAAATGAATCTAATCTGTGGCTTGATTTGAAATTCATCAGCTGCTGTAGAAGCTCTTGTTCCCTGTTGCAGATTAACTCTTTGTACCCATCTGGAACTAGAGTAAAAATGTTAATGGGAGCTGGAGGTCGCTAGCACTGATTCGTTTGTTAAGTCTTCCTTACCAAATGCCATCCAAGGGTTAAAACGTGTGAAAATGCGCATTTCTTGTTTGTAAATGAGTTTGGATTGTTTTTTTCCGTTGTCTTTTCCTCTGTTATAATTGAAAGAGCTCTTTAAAAATATTTACATTGCTTGCTGCATCTTGGTATGCAAACAGTATTAATACGTGTAATCAAATTTTTTTCATTAAATATATCTGTTTCTCTATCAATATCTGTCTCTTCCATTGTCTGTCTCCTTACTTCTGTGTTTCTGTCTACCAATATCTTTGTCTCCCCCTTCTATTTCTCTGTCTCTCACTCATTCCTGCTGTCTGTCTCTTTCTCCCTATTTTTAGTATTTCTGGAGTTCTCGCCTGATGTAGACACATGTTATGTAACATGTTATGAGTCACATTTTAAAAGGCTTATTAAAGAGCCTCACGTTGTCTTTATTCATCCTCGGAGTTTAGAGTAACTCTGTTTTTATTCTTCTAAATGTGCTTTATGTGTGTGGTTTAATAGTTTGTCATGTTCCACGTCTACCTTAGTGGCTGTAAATATTCTGCAGTGTTTCTGCACCTCTCGTTACTGGAATACAAACATGATTTGGATACTAAACACAACCTGTTTCTGATCAGTCATTACTGTGGCAGTGCAATTGTTTTTTTTGCAGCCTGTATTAGAAATTACTCCATCTACATACACTATCTGCATTGTATACAAATACATTATTTCTGGAGAACAGATATTTATATCCTTATAGCAGCACTCTAAACACCATATACAATGCACATTCTTGTAGTAGTTATGGTGCTACAAGATTTGTGTGCCGTTCTCTCCTTTTCTCTCTGTTACACAGTCCACTTTTTTATGTTTTATATGCATTAAATTATTCTACATAAGTTTGTTTGAGGAGGGCTCTGATCAACGTATGTTCCACTAGGTCAAACTTGTTTTGTCCCAATTTCTCGTGTATTCTCTTTGCATACTATACAGCGCTGCCCAATATGTTGGTGCTTTTATAAATAAAAATAATTTTCAGAATACTGAAACACATCAGAGTCTGGAAAACCCCCAGTTGTTAGATGAATATCCAGAAGGTATAATCGAGCCAAAATTGAGCATTTCAGAGATGAGGGATGAGATCTCATCTTTGTAGTAAATTAGATTATATTAAGGTTTTGTTGGCAGTCAGTGAAGCTTTCCTAAATAGGAAATCTCAAGTTCTATGCCAGATGGTGCAGGTATGAGCTTGTAGTGGTTCAAATACACATTTAAGTAGAATATAAAATTGTAAGGAAGGGACCTGAAGAATATGATAATCACTTAGTAATGGAAAAGGGGGAGCAATAGGAAAGAGGGTGTTAAAAGGATAGGAACGCATGGGTGGTGGGCGTATGCAGTGGTTAGTTCATGGTGCTAAGTGTCTGTTGTTTCTTCCCTAGGGTACCCATAACATTATCATAAGTTCAGTCCTCTCATCTGATAACCAGGGGTCTTTGAAGTCTTCTGTCCATATTTGTGAGATTAAGCAGTATATTCTATCCAGACAGCAATATCTTTAATGGGACAGACAGATGTGCATTAGATCTTTTCATTAACTGAGACCCCCATGAGACAAAATCTATCCTGAAGACCTGCATTTAACTCTGAAGACCACTGACATTCTATTTTGCCATTGCCAACCAGCCGAGGCTGACCCTGTACGAACATGGAACATTTTCTTTGTTTAAAACAGTCTGTGTGAAGCCTAACTCTCACACCAAATCCGAAGGACTATCGTTGGAAATTGTAGTTTTGCAAAGATCGGTGGTATCAGGATAAGCAATCGCTAGAATAGCGTACCAGTTCGTCAAGACAAAGTGAGCCCCCAGAGCTGATTAACAATATTGCTTGCTTTATGCATTTTGAAAGAAAGAAAAATGTTTTCTGTAAATTTTCATCATACTTGTTGCATGCTTTTTATACACATCGTACAACACATTTTAGATTCATATACGCATTGCTGTCCCAAAATCCATATCAAAGCCAAATTCAACACCGAGGGATTTCTTTAACTTCAGTAACTATAAACACTCTTATCTGTGTGCCTTCATCAACTTTGTTCTTTGCTGAACATGTCTGAGGCAGGCCTTCTCCTTTAGAAGTTTCCCCAGACTAGTCCACTATCATTGGAATGGCTTTGAGCTTGAACCCTATTTGTCATCATTAAAGAACTTTATTATGATAACACACAGTTTAGTTCGATCTCTGTCATTCTCTTATGAAAACCCACCAGTAAAAGTTTACTTTGCATGAACACTGTACAAAAACACATGTTTGCCAAAAGATTTTTTTTTTCTTTTGATTTTTTTTTTCTTCTAAGATTTGTGGGTTTTTTGTTTTTTTTTCTTCTTCTTCAAAGCATCTCTTCACAAGCATAGAGAAGCCTGTCCCCAGCTGTCCTATTGTAAGGACTGAGTTCTTGTTAACACCATTATCTGACAGAGAGATTACAGGTAATTGTGATAAAGTAACAATACGCTGTTTCTGTAATCACAGTCTGAAGTCTGCGGGCTGCCCCAGGCGATCCTATCAAATGTACATTTAGTCTTGGATCCATGTCTGCTCACTCTGATCTTAAAAGCTACTACACCTGGGGCTTGGGGTTTAGTAGTAACAGAATGCAGGTACATAATGGCGAGGAATCTGATTGGCTGCCAGAAATCTTGTGTATGTAATACCTGTTCTTCAGATCTGTATTAAGAATGCTAAGCAAATAAAAGGGGAACTCATGTTCCCTTCAGGGCTACAGGCTACATGTGCGTCTTTCCCTGAGTCAGTAAAGGACAAACTGCCGTGTTTGATCTAAGACAAAAAAAAAGAAAGATAAAGGAATGACTATTCTATATTTGTACAATTTTCTTTTCCCCAGATTTTGAGGAATGCCTATCATGTTCTTGCTTTGTGTTTGGGATCGATGGTTTCTATGACATAATCCAAAATAAACACCATTCATCGAATCTGTGATATCTCTTCTTCATTCTGAAAGATCCGTGATGACCATGACCAGAATGTGTTTATATATCTGTTTTGGAGACGTTCATCCAGACTGGTCATATGTGGCTACCACCTCTCTTCCATGTGGCCATCATGACTTTCCTTATGGATTCAAAAAACAGCCTTCACACACCTCCATGAGGACCGTAATGAATTACTCCTAGAGGAGCAGTGTGGGATGTCAGTGTGCAATATAGTGTGCGGTGCTGACGATGTAGAACTGCTGACAGATTATAATTTTTAATTTAATTTGGTTTTATTCCACAATTTTGCAATGTCATTACATAGGTCACGTCAAGGAATGTACATATTGTAAAATCTGGTGTCAATATAGTTATACAATCAACAGTTGGTCTCGACACAGCGAGGTATATAACGTAGTGAGAGCGAGTGAATGAGTGGTGTATAACTAGAAGTGATGGGTAGTACTGTCTGTTATTATCATGTAAATGTATTCTCATATTTTCCCCCGTGCCATAGCATGCAACAACAATGACATATTAAATGTATACATTTAAGACACATAAAAACCGTAACTTAAAGGCATACATGGGTTAACATAAAGGGGGGGATGGGGAAAAGCCTGTATCTGTCTAGCGGTCATGGCTAAATTCAATCATTGCGGGATTAACCCCGGTGTGACTGTTGCCTATCGTGGGGTCTGAGACTGCACATTCATCAGGGCAGTCCACTATCTCTGTAGAGGGTATGTGTAGGGAACAAGGTGCAGATATATTTATGCTGGGTACCAGCACTACAGGAGCCTCTAGTACAGGGTTAGGCAACCTTCGGCGCCCCAGATGTTTTGGGCTACACCTCCCATGATGCTTTGCCAGCATTATTGGTGTAAGAGCATTAAGGGGGATGTAGTCCACAACATCTGGAGTGCCAAAGGTTGCCTATCCCTGCTCTAGTGCATCAGGTAAGTAATCATTTATCAGGTAATCGGATTCTATAAGGGGTTCATCGATGCTCTCTTACGGTGTCTTAGAGCCAATGGTTGCATGTGTAGCCCAATACTGCATCCACGGGAGCCAGGTGTCTAAGTAGGTATGCTTCCTACCTCGGGTTTCCCAATCCAGATCTTCTAGGGTGCCTGTGTTTTCCACTCTCTCAATCCATTGGTTTATGGTAGGGATATGTGGGGATCTCCAGTGTACCGGTATTAGGGCATTTGCTTCCCCCAGAAGCAACCACAAGAGTGTTTGCCTATGTCTGTCTGGGAACGTGGTAGGCCAGCCTAATAATACATGGGATAGGGTTAGTGCTGCTGGGAGTGGTATGGACTTTGTCTATAATTGCTATAACCTGGGTGCAGTATGTCTGGAAATGTGTTCTATATTACCCTCTGCCTCCCCACACCTCCAGCATTCGTTACTGAGTGAGGGCTTAATAGCATGTAGGTGTACTGGGGTCCTATACCATCTGGCCACTCGTTTGTGCTGACAGATTTAATGTAATCTGAGTATACTAATATCTGAGTATGCCAAACGTTGTACAGGAACTGTTGAAATTTTAACTCCCATGATGCAAAGGTTTCAGTTAAAATAACAAAAACAAAACAAAATTTGTCTTAGAAACATTATTTATTTATACAATATTTTACCAGAAATTATACAAACATGTCCACAAAACATGAGGTTTGTAGTTCAACAACAATTGTAGGATTGTCACCTTCTCATTTAGATTTTAATATTCTAGAATTTAAGAAAGAGATTCTGTATAATATAAACATGGAACAAATTTTTTTTTAAATTGGTGTTGCTGTGTTATGTTTTGCCAAGAAAGACAAGTTTGCATTTAAATTCCTTTTTTCCCCCTCTTTGTATATTAGTACATGCAGTATTTGGTAACCTTTTTATTTTTTTTTACCAAGGGCTAAGTCACATTGTCATATCAGTATGCCTTTTGTTTGTCAAGTTTGCGGTATGCTTTTGTTCTTTGTAAACATCAGATTTTTAAAAAGAAAGGTCTCCATCCCTCCCCCCTGCTTCTTTGTCCTTCCAAAAATTTGTCTCTCTCTGTGGGGCTACCTAAAACAAAAAAACTGAGCAAGTTAATAATAAAAAAAACTATTCCTTAAAGCACGAATCAATATTTTCCTGTCTGTCCATTTTTTTTTTTCTTCTTGTGGCCAACAAAGAATCCTGGGAAGATGTAGCTTCACAACAGTGGATAGCTACCTGTTGGAATTGCTGTTTACTTGGGCAATGTGCACCAACCCACGCAGGGTCTGCCACCACCTGAATAATGCTGCCGGTTTAATCAGGTCATGTTTGCATATTTCACTAGAAATGAAGTATTTCTTTTTGCATTGTTTTGGTTGCTCATTCCTCTTGCCCCCCAGACTAGGGCTGTACCCGTTTCCTGCCAGCTCTGCACATGTGAACACGGAGCCTGAGAATCAAAGCGCTTGCGAGCAAGACTTTTACACTTGTAAAGTCCGGGAATATACAGTGCCAGCCTATTAATGCCTTTGAAGGGAGCAGAGGGGGGAAAAAAGGTTCCCTTAGTGTGGATTGTGAGGCGACAGAGCGTCTCAATACTTGGCTAGAAGAAAAGCCCCTCATTCTTCTGTGGCTGAAATAAGATGAACTCCTATAGAGGAGGTGTACCAGTGAAAGGGGGGCTAGCTCAACCCTCGTGGAGAAAATAACCCATTGGCCGTGGTCCCTTTCCTAATCAAACATGCTTCACACGGATGCATCTTGAAGAGCTCCTCTGACACTTATTTATTCTGGAAATGAAGGGCAGCAATTAGTCTTTACCAACCTTCAGTGGCACTGCCCCCAGGCCTATTGAGCATTGCTTGTATCACACTGCAGTTCTTTGGGAAGAACACTATGTCCAAAGATTTCTTTTTTTCCAGTTTCTAGAATCATTGCGGCTGCTTTTTATTGGATAAACTTTGTAACCATTTGACTCCCTATTTCCCACTCAGATCTGTCCAATACTTCCAAAATAGTGTTTTTATTAACGAACTGTCGCATTCTATTGATACAGAGCATTTCTGAAACTTGCTGAAATGTATTTACTTTTATTTTGTTTATTTTTTTGTGGTTGCGTTTTGTGCTTTTATTAGCCATTTTTATTCTCTTTTCTGTTTATTTTGGTCTAAACAAAATTCACCATGGTTTCATGATTGCCTTATGAGGCACAGAAAGGCATTTGGTAAAGATCTTTGCATAATGCCTTTGACCTTTTACACATTCTTGAGTTTCTAAATTATGATAAGTATATGGATTTATGTTTATGATGTACCCAAAATAGCAGATCTCACTAACTGCTTCAGGAAGAGGAGATTTATTATTCAGGGTGGGTTTGATTTAATGAAGTCAATTTAAATCCTGATTTAAATCTCTAGCCAGTAAGACTTGATTTAAAATCATGCTTATTTATTTTTATTATTTTAAACGTAAAGACTCAATCTAATTATAATTTTAATATTTTAAACCAGATGAAGATTTCATATTTAGAATGATAACGTTTCAGATTAGTTAAACCGTTAAATCAGAACTGACCTTTTTTTAAATTTTTTTTATAACCCATTAGAAATACATAGCTAATGAAATTAAAGAGAGAAAATCTGTTTCATTTTCTTTCTCATCTGTAGTGTGAACTTGGTTCTCTCATAATATAATCGGTTAAAGGAACACTATAGTCACCTAAATTACTTTAGCTAAATAAAGCAGTTTTAGTGTATAGATCATTCCACTGCAATTTCACTGCTCAATTCACTGTCATTTAGAAGTTAAATCACTTTGTTTCTGTTTATGCAGCCCTAGCCACACCTCCCCTGGCTATAATTGACAGAGCCTGCATGAAAACAAAAACTGGTTTCGCTTTCAAACAGATGTAATTTACCTTAAATAATTGTATCTCAATCTCTAAATTGAACTTTAATCACATACATGAGGCTCTTGCATGGTCTAGCAAGCTATTAACATAGCAGGGGATAAGAAAATCTTAATTAAACAGAACTTGCAATAAAGAAAGCCTAAATAGGGCTCTCTTTACAGGAAGTGTTTATGGAAGGCTGTGCAAGTCACATGCAGGGAGGTGTGACTAGGGTTCATAAACAAAGGGATTTAACTCCTAAATGGCAGAGGATTGAGCAGTGAGGCTGCAGGGGCTTGTTCTATACACCAAAACTGCTTCATTAAGCTAACGTTGTTCAGGTGACTATAGTGTCCCTTTAATGCAATAGAAGAGATTTTTAACCAAGTATTATTTACCGATTTTATTGTATGGCCTATATATGTAAACTATATGAAATGTATTAACAATAGAGTGGAAAGTTGAGAGAGCCCTTGCGCATAATTTGGGGAGCATAGGGGCATACCACTGTAACAAACTTAACTACCAGTAAACTTATAAACATTTTTCTAACTAGGTTGGCCAGCATTAATGGTAAAGATAGCATTTCTTACTGATCATTGGCGCTCTCCCAAGTAAAAAAAAAAAAAAAGTATCTTATTTCAACAATTAAAAGGAAATTGTCCCAAATTTTTTGTATTTTTTTTATTTTATTATTATTTAAAGGAATGCTCCAGGCACCATCATAATGTTGAATGGAATGCCTGAGCCCTCAAAGCTTTCTCCAGATTTGCTAGCTAGCTACAGTTACAAATCTTACATTTACAAACCTTTTGGAAGTTAAAACATATTGCCATTGATCTGTCATGATAGATTAACAGTGTGAGAATATGTCCTTACTCAAAGGCAGTACACATGATGTTATTCTTAAAAAACTTCAGCTATTATCTGAACCAGGTTCCAATTTCAAACAATCACAGGTGTGTGTGTGATATCAAGCCCTTGCACTGTTTTTGAGATTTTTCTCAGTTCCCTGTGTGGTTAGCCTCTTATCTTTTAAACCAGAGTCTGATAGCTCTCTCTATTGATGCTGGCTCCCGGTTCTCTGTTTCAGAGACCAAATGGTAGAACTGCAAAGATTGTGGAAGACAGAGATGCATTGTGGCTCTATTTCTAAGAGTAATTAGCACGTTCACGTGAGGAGCACTGGCCATTTACTTTTGTAATAAATCATGTTTTAAACAGATTATTCATATGCTGGCCGATCTTAGGCACTTACCTAACGTATTTTTTTAGAAGTTAGTAGAGAGAAAGATTTCAACCCACCATCTTTCATGTTTTGATTGTGCTTTCTGATCAAACCAGAGCTTCTTAATGCTAGAAATTCTTGGGTGGCAGGCAGTGTTAATTTTGGCAGCAAATTTCAATTTCGTTTTAGTCATAGTCTTTTGACTAAAAAGCCGTTTTAGTTGTATTTTGGTCATTCAAATTGTTTTAGTTTCATTTTAGTCGACTAAATCTCCAGTATATTTTAGTCGACTAAATCTCTAGTAGATTTTAGTCAACACGACTAAAATCTAAATAAAGCCTCTAGCTGTCTCTTCCGCCCCTTCCCCAGCCCCTCTGTGTCTCTTTGTGTCCTCCCAGCCCCTCTAGGTGTCTCTCTTCCAAGCCTCTATCTGTCTCTTCCGCCCCATCCCCAGCCCCTCTGTGTCTCTTTGTGTCCTCCCAGCCCCTCTAGGTGTCTCTCTCCCAAGCACTGGTCTGTCTCTTTTGCCCCTCTGTGCAGTGTTAATTTTGGTGGACTATTACTAAAACTACATTTCCATTTACTGTTAGTCAGTCTTTTTTATTTGTTTTGAATTTTTTATTTTTGTAGTGCATAGATGTGACACAAACAGGTGAGAGGTGCCCCAAAGGCAGTCCTCCAGCTTTTCCCACGCGGAACATGTGGGGCACAAGAGTAACATGCACAATTTTACATTTTAAACAGGTTTAAGCACACGAATACCATAGTAGATTGTAAATATGGTCTAAGAGTATAAGCAGTTTCAGGATTGTAGTTTCGACTGAACGTATACACCTATACCACATACATGCTTGGTCAGAGCTTGAGTTAGGTTAGTTTCTCACGATTAATACGGGCATACATCTACAGGTATACATCGTTAGTCAGGTAGACAGGCTATTGCTATTGATCTAACGGTATGGTCTTAAGTAGCTTAGCAGACTATTATGTTAGTGTAGCTATGTCTGTAGAATGATATTGCACCACACTCAACATGCATTATATGTTATATGTTTTCCATGGCCTATTGGCTCTTTGTTATGCTATCTGCATCTATCAAGGGTTAAGCAGACATATATAGCACTGTGCATGAAATTAAGACATAAGGATACTATCTGAGCCTGGTGGGATCAGTGTTATGAGAGGTGTGTTTTGAGAAGCAGAGAGGAGCTTAACCGGGGCAGCAGAAAACATGGAAATGCTTCATTTTCAACATTCAGGAGTACGTTGATACTTGTACATTTTTATAATTAGTCTGCATTTTAACTAGCTTAGCCACACTTTAGCATTGGTAAGTATAAAACGAAGTTATGTTGATCAGGCAAAATAGAGCGTATAACGCTATACCTAAGACTGCATGGGCATTATAGTGGGTTAGGGTTAGTTACGTAGGTAGGTGTGGTTGTGTCTCTGAGTGTCCAGCTAATTAAGTCCTGTACGGAAGACAGACTGAGTGTTGGGGCTGGAATGGCTGCTGATCTCAGCTGATGCCTCTGGTATATCTCTCTGGGTAGATTGTGCTGTAGCACGGCACTGGATTTCCCCAGTTGGTGTACCTCCATGCTCGGACCATGAGGGTCTGTGTCTGTACTGATGTGGTATACCACATGGTGCCCTTCTTCATTATGCGTCGGGAAAACTGTGTCATAGCTGCTTGTCTGTCGTTCATTGGGAGTCGGGTGCTTGCTCTGTTTGTATCTCATGCCCTGCTTCGGTCGCCCTTGAGCAGAGACTCAACGTTTTGGGGGTGGGAATCCTCCCCTGCCCCGGAGCTGTGGGAGAGCTGGTGCTTGTAGGCCACGAGCCTGGGAGCCTACAAGGCCCAGGGTCGCCCCTTGCGGGGTGGTGCGGTGAGTATCATTCAGTCGCTGGCATGGTCGCTGTGCTGCTCTCCGCCAGTGTGGCCGGGACCTCCGGGTCATACCCTTCGTTGCTCTCAGCCCGGGAGGGCTCCGGACGTGTGGAGCTGGAGTGTGGTTCATAGAGTTGCCCTGGTGGGTGTCCCCGTTCCTCCGCCTCTCTTCGGCTCCCATCCTCATGGCCTTTTGGGCGTGTGAGGTTGCTGGCTGCATGCAGGCCTCTAGTTTTGCCCAAAAGCAATTGAAGATTCTGTCGATAGAGTTTCTCGTGCAATCTTTAGTTGCTGCTGTAGCAGTTTGGTGCCATCGCTTGTCCGACACTTGCGTGTCAGGATGCTTCACCATCTTGGGGGCCCCCCACCTCCATTTTGTGTAGGGAGATCAGTGCGCCTGTCTCTCGGTGCAGAGGCCGGAACACCTCGCCCAGTGGAAACCGAGATATCCCCCGTCGGTCCATGGGGGGGTGAGTTTGTTCCTCACTCTTAATGCGGTTGGCATCTGGCGGGATGGCGGCCGTTCCGAACCCCGTGCCTCCGCTAGGCCTCACGTTGCCGCTGCGGTTCCTGGTCAAGTACGGCGCCAAGGATGGTACCGACAGGTCCGTGGGAACTTCCTCCATGTACTGAGCCCAATTGTGGTTAGTTTCCATCAGTTAGATTTGTGTTATACGCAGTTTTCGGGCTCTCTCCGCAGGAGCTCACACAACGTGCGACTTGTCAGTTAGCTGGTTCGGCTCTGCCCCCCTTATTTGCTCGTTAGTCAGTCTTTTGACTAAAATGCCATATTGGTTTTAGTTGTATTTTAGTCATCTGAAGTGTTTTGGTTTAATCAACTAAAATTGTTAGTTGACAACATAACGACAACATGGTGGCAGTGCTATGGGCTCAGTGAGTTTGGACATGTAAACATGCAGTGGTGCTAATGGTGTGTAACTCAGTGGTGGATGAAACTTGCCTCTTCCAAAACACGCTATACACCAGGAACAACATAACTAACCATTCCTCAAAACTAGTAGTATTGCAAGTTTCCTCCCTTTCTGCACTGTTGAGGTCCAAAATGGCGCCAATAAGCCGCCATCTCCAACCGCGTGCTCGGAGGCCAGTGACATCACCTCTTTATTGGTGGGATCACTTGCACCAGCTACTGATATCTCAATGAAAAACATCTTTCGTTAAGATAGCCATAGATATAAGAACAGATATTCGGGCCATCAAAGATAGCACAGCTCATCTGGAAGAAAAGGCATTGGAGCTAATAGAGGCCCACAATTCCCTCATAGGCGCCTTTACTGCCATGGAAAATAAAATACACTAGAAGAGAAGATAGAGGACCATAAAGGCTGGGACTGGTGCAATTATAATTGCACATATTAATTATATGCGAATACGTGTTATAAAGCTGCAAGATCTCGCTGACTTTGGCAAGCAAATGTTTCACAGTTTGGTTCCGGACCTGCCAGAACGAGCCTTATTGTTGCTGGACCCCACTCCCTAATGGCCCAAGCCTAAAACGCTTACAGACACAGTCCCATGGGACATCATTACAAAGGTACATTAATTTACTGCCAAAGAAAAGTGATGCTGGTCTCTAGGGCCTGAGTACCACAAGAACACCATGCTGATATTCAACTGTTCGTTGACCTTTCCTCCCTTATCATGCTAAAACGAAAGGCATTCACTCCAATAAATGGGGATTCCCTGTCAAGCTTATTGAAAAGAGCGACTCCAATAAAAACATTATGTCCCTAGAGAAACACCTAAAACGGTTTCTCCACTGGAACTTTGCTGTCAGTGAGGCCCCTCCATTAGCTTCCTCTCCACGAGTCCCAAGTGACTGGCAGAAAGTTGCGTCTTCCAAGTGAACTTGGCCTGATTGAAAGCAGGGTACGGATGTATGGAAGTGCAGTACATATTTTAACGGTTCGTGGGTAGGCCCTGGCCGGATGGAGGTTCATATTAACAGGTTTTTAGTTTTTACGGCCTGCTTGGGCCTTATTTGGTAAGCTTAAAACTGGCCTACAGTTTCAAATAAGGTACAGTCACCATAGTGCCTAAAGGCTGTGGCTCCACAAGGCACGTTTTTCCACCTGTCACCTTAAAGGAAGTTCCCATTTAAACCACCAATCCGTTACTATGTGCACCATGGTCTAATGATCCTAAATGCTTTAATGTATATAGTTGGTTAGTTTTAGAGGGGTTCGGGGGTGGAGGAGGGGAGACAAAGAGACACAGAGGGGCGAAAGTGACAGAGGCTTTAACTAAACCCATTCGATTTTAGTCATGTTGACTTAAATCTACTGGAGGTTTAGTAGACTAAAACTAAACCAATTCAGATGTCTAAAATACGACTAAAACTGCCTTTTTAGTCAAAAGATTGACGAAAACTAAATTGTAATTTACCGCCAACATTAACACGGGTTGTGTTTTAGTTTTCTTCCTTTTTTTCCCCTTTCCTTTGTTATGTATTATGTACACCTAACATGGCTCCGTCTGTGCAGAATACATAATACGTTGTATCCTCTGTATGTTATATCATAAAAATCAATATACAGATAATAAAAAATAATAAAAACTTAGAAATTCTTCCAGTGACATTTGATGTGTGGGGGGAGAAGTGACCTTTTGTGTACACTTTTGGAATTTGTGAGTGTGAAAGACAACACCTCTCTCATATATTCAGCCTCCATTTACAATCTAACGTTTCGAGTGCGATGGAAAATATTTTCTACATGCATCATATGTTCTCCTTTTTTCAAAGATATTACAGAGATCATGTTCTAGGTAATGTTACACATTTATTTTTGGACATATACAGAAAAAGTAAACCTTGACAGGGCAGTGTAAGTACCATAACCACTTCAGAAGCATTACGTGTAATGTTGCCATCCCATGGTTTTGTCAAATCATTTCGTATATGCTGTTAGTGGGTTACCATTGCCTTCCAGGTTGGAGATAATCAAACTTTATAAGGTGGAATTGTAGTTTCTGTGTTATCAATATGGCTTATGGGTGCTGAGAATAGCTTCTTCTTTTGCCACACTTTTCCCTATATGGTTTGCCAAACATTTCTAAGACAGCACCAATGCACTGTAAAAATGACATTGAGCAGTACTGGTGCTTAGAGTGCCCTTTAAGCAGTAGTTGCAATTGTTTATTTAACTATGTAGACCTTTTTAGGAACTTATCTCAGATTAGGCATTTTCTGGGAGGCTTGCAGAGTAGTTTAGGATAGGAATTAAAATTTCCACTAGCCACTGGTGAGTGAAAATTTAGCCAGGTTGAGTAGAATTTTACCCTTGGTCAGTATGCCATGGACCCCTCAGGCTTGCAGAGGTGAGTAAGTTTAAGACTTGACTAGTGGCGACAGACTTTAATTTTAAGCCCATCTGTAGGTGATGGTTGCTTGCTTCAGTTCCACATTAAGACCTAAGATGTTCAGTTATGGTCACAATTGAAGAAAATGTGGAGCTTTGGTAGTGCGTGAGGCTTTCCGGTGAGTTCCCCACCCTCCCAAGCCCTGTGATAAACATGAAGCATGGTTTTCTGGGTAACCAACATCTGACCAACTCCCGGTGAAGATCTCTCACTTTCCCTTGGAAGTGAATAGCCGGAGGAGAGGATTTCTGTTTTTTTTTTTTTTTGTATGTGTGATGAATTCTTGTTCCTTCCTTGCCTGGAGTGTCTCTTTAACTCTTTAAGTAATGTAAAGACTCCCTAAAAGAGAATCGTGAGAACAAGAGGTCATGCTGTGAACTAAAAGGGTGGGTAACCTAAGGTGAACATTAGGCAATCCACTGTCAGAGAAAAGATGATGATGTATGATGTGAGCTTACAATGCATAAGGTAGACCCATGGCAGGTCCTGATCTGTAAATTCAAATCTGCATTACTCCTTTCAGATATACCTTGGTATACTGAACCTGGCTGTCTCCATAGCCTTTCGCAAGATTAATGCTATTATAATCCTTGTACTTTTTATTTGTTCCATTATTGACTGGTACAAAGGAATCATACAGTTAAGCCCTATTAGTTTCGGAATCTAAAGCATTTTAGCAAGCCGAAGTACTTTAGGGGTTTGAAGTGTATGTTTCGTCACCTCTTTTTGATGCATATTGTACACAATTTTTACCAGAGCTATTATTCTTATGCCCTTGTTCAAGAATACTTGTAAGTACATACTTAAGCTCCACACTCACCGTTCTGTTTGTATTCTGTTTTGCAACTTACTTTCAATAAACTCTTATTGACAACAAACCGGTATTATTAACCCTGGGATTTTATGAAAATGGAAGCCGTGGCTAGAGGACTAGCCGTGTCACAAGCCATATGGTTTCACTTCTATAACATTTTAATTTGTTCCTCATTTTTTTTTTTTCCTGAACAAGTTAAGGGCCATCTGTCCAGTAAGGGCAGGTCAGGCATGTCCCAAGGCGGTGCTTTTAACATCTCTGCAGTGTTTTGTATTCTTAATTTAGTCTGTTTATTTCCAGGTCGTGTGTGTTCTAAAATAGGCCTGTGTCAGGCAGGGTTCCGGGCAGCATGTGTGCGACAGCCGTGCATTCCACAGATCACAGGTCAGCAGTCGCAGTCCGGCCTCCAGTGGGCCAGCATGCAGGGCAGTGCAGTGTAGGGACAAGCAGGACTGGAGGGCTGTTCCATTGGAGACCTATAGCTGGGGGGGGTCACGTCCTATTACATGAAACCCCCTATAAGAGAGGATTTGTTCTTAACTTTCAAAAGATCAGTTTTCCCATAGATGAAAGCATTGGTAGCACTTTGAAGTTTATTATGTTATCTAAGTAGGGAAATATTCCGAGTATAGATGCATTTTCCATTTATGGTAATTTTTGTACCGGAATGGACAACTTGCAGTGAGCCTGTCAGCGTTCAAACTAATACCAAGAAAATTCTAAGCCAGTGATGGCTAAACTTTTCACTGTAGGTATTTGTGGACACAGTATAAGGAACAAGGTGACCCATTAAATCTCTCCGCTTTACAGGTTCATATAGACCGTAGTGTAATTTGAACTCGGAATAAACAAGTCTTGGATCAGGCGTGGGTAGGTTTATCTGTTGTTTAAACTACAACTCCCATAATGCTTTGCTGGACTAAACGCTGGGGATCCCTGTCTTGCTTGGGTGGCTATTATTATTATTATTATAATATTTATAGAGCGCCGTCAAATTCCGCAGCGCTTTACAATGGGTGGACGAACAGACATGTAGTTGTAACCAGACAAGTTGGACACACAGGAACAGAGAGGTTGAGGGCCCTGCTCAATGAGCTTACATGCTAGAGGGAGTGGGGTAAAATGACACAAAAAGGTAAGGATAGTATTCGACTAGTGACAGAGGAATCAGTCAGGAGCTATTAACAGTTTAATTGATACGCTTTCATGAAGAAGTGGGTCTTTAACGATTTTTTGAAGGAGTGGAAACTGGGTGAGCATCTAACGGAAGAGGGAAGCGAGTTTCACAGGAACGGTGCAGCCCTCGAGAAATCTTTAAGGCGAGCATCAGAGGTGGGAGTACGGACAGAAGATAGACGTAAGTCTTCAGCAGATCGTAAGGGCCTAGACGGGACATAGTGAGAGTATAAGGGAGGATAGATAGGTGGGAGCAGCATTATGTAGAGATCTGAAAGCAAGAACCAGAATTTTAAATTGAGCTCTATATTTTAAAGGAAGCCAATGTAGGGACTGACAGAAGGGTGAGGCATGGTATGTGCGGAGGACAGGAAGATAAGCCTCATCGCTGCATTCATTATGGACTGTAACGGTGCAAGTTGGGAGCACGTAAGACCACTGAGAAGCGGATTACAGTAGTCAAGGCGAGAAAGGACAGTGGAATGGACCAACATCTTAGTCGCATCTGGTGGAAATGACAGTATTTGGCGATAGATTGAACATGAGGCTTGAAGGCGAGGTCGGAGTCAAAGAGAACATCTAGGCAGTGAGCCTGCACCGTTGACTTGGAGGGAGACAGACACAGGAGTAACAACACTTTAGGGAGGAAAGACCAGAATTTCAGTTTTGGTCAAGTTTAGTTTAAGGAAGTGGGTAGCCATCCAGTTAGAAACAGCAGATAGGCAGTCAGAGACACTAGTCAAGAGGGACGGGGAGAGATCAGAAGAGGACAGGTAGATTTGCGTGTCATCTGCATAGAAATGATATTGGAAGCCAAAGGAGCTAATGAGTTTACCAAGAGAGGCAGTATAGATGGAGAACAGTAGGGGACCAAGGACTGAACCTTGGGGGACACCAACAGAGAGGAGTTGGGGAGAAGAAGCAGAGCCAGAGAAAGAAACACTGAAAGAGCGCTGGGAGAAGTAGGAGGAGCACCAGGAGAGAGCAATATCTTGTAGACTGAAATTGCGGAGGATAAGAAGAAGCTGTTGATGAGCAACAGTGTCAAAAGCCGCAGACAGGTCAAGGAGAATTAGGATAGAGTAGTGACCACGAGATTTTGCAGCGGTTAGATCATTGGATACTTTGGTCAGTGCCGTTTCCACGGAGTGCTTAGCGTGGAAACCAGACTGAAGCGGGTCTAGCAGAGAGTTGGACTCGAGGAAGTCTGTCAATCTCGCATACACAATTCTTTCAAGGATGCAAAAGGCAGTAGTGAGATAGGACGATAGTTGGATGGGGAGTTAGGGTCAAGATTGGGCTTCTTTAGAATTGGAGTTACAGTTGCATGTTTGAAGGGCAATGGAAATATACCAGAGGAAAGAGAGAGATTGAGAATTTTAGTGAGAGGTGGAGAAAGAGAAGAAGACAGAGTACGGATGAGATATGAGGGAATTGGATCTAGGGAGCAGGTGGTAGGGCTGGAGGACTGGAGCAGAGCAGAAACCTCTTCCAATGTAGCGGGTGCGAATGAACATAGAGCAGCAGAGGGAGTGAAGTTAGGGGAAGTATTGTAAGGGGAAGAAGAAAGATGAGAGATCTCTTCTCTGATTGTAGAGATCTTGTCAGTGAAGTGAGTTGCAAAGTCTGAGGCGGTCAAGTTAGTAGGTGGAGGAGGAACAGCAGGGCGAAGAAGAGAGTTAAATGTGTGAAATAGTCGTTTGGGTTCGCGGGAGAGTGTGGTTATGAGGGTATTGAAGTAATTAACTTTTGCAGAGGAAAGAGCCAAGCTGTATGAGCTCAGCATAAATTTATAGTTGAGAAAGTCAGATGCACAATGTGACTTTCTCCAACAGCGTTCAGCAGTTCTGGAGCATTTTTGGAGGTATCGAGTGAGCTTGGTGTGCCAGGGTTATTATGACCCAGCTCCTACACAAGCAGAATAACAAATAAAAATCCTCTTTTACTAGATATAAAAACACAGGCAATCTGAAAGCACCTTCGTAATACATGCCACAAAATCTCACATGATCAATAAAGCAATAACAGTATTACTGGGAAACTTGCTACAAAAACAAAAAAGACAGGGATAAGAGCAAACACAATATAATGCACAATCCAGATACTAGGACAATCCTGGTACGATCCACCTTACCATGAAGTGAAAACCAATGATAGCGCATAGAATCACTAGTACCTTTTATGATTTCTACAACATTCATTGTCCAGTATGCAGAAAGCAGGGGATATAACCCCTTACGGAGTGCAAACAGTAGGACCCTCCTTGCTTCTAATAGTGAAAGCAACCTGGTGTTATAGGCCCAAACCCGACCACGTATCTAGTCTGTCCACTATACAGTTGATCCTCAACAACAGAAGTTCAAAATGATTGTCACGTGAGATCAGCGTGTCTGCGTGCTGATACTCCTTTGCTCAATACATATTTTCATTCCAAAACTACCTTGGTTGCAAGCTGATTTAAAAAGAAAAAAAAGAAGCTAAATATAATATGCTAAATGAGATTGGATTTATTAGCAGTCCACAGCATCACTTATTAAGGTTAACTGTTGTCTGCGCCAACAAGGAATGGTCATTGGGTAGAATATGGCAGAAGGCCCTATGTGTCTAAAATGGTTGTGAGATGGATGTCCGCCTTTGTGATCATGGACTAAAAAGATCTTTGAGAAACGTGCATGTTTCTTTATTTAATTATTTGTCCCTTTAGTGACACTTTGCAGTAACGGAATGCATTGAAAGACCAATAGAATAATCCTGTTTTCAATGCTATAGCCTTGATATTGTTAGGAATGGTTGTTTTTAGACGGACACTTAAAGAGAGTTGTTAAAGAAATGGAAATGAAGAATTATGTCTTGGACCAGTCTCAAGGGGCGTATTGCAGGAAGTCATTTTACAATAATAGTTGTCTAGTAATAGATTTCTTGGATTAGAAAACCTGGCTTCAATTTTGCAACTTAGTTGACTGCACGCTGCAACTTGATGTCTAGTAAATACACTTTTTTTTTTTTCTGTGTTTATAGCATAGTCATGCCAATTGGATCATATAGGTCCTCCTGGAACGTTTCCCTTTTACAACCGTGGTCATATAGAAATCTCCAACTACACTGGCAGTGCTGGCCATGTCCATATGCTTAAAAATATGTTTCAGGAGGTTTTAAATAGAACTTTGAAGACTCCAGTGTGATGTCCATCATTTGTGAAATAAAGCCTGTCTCCTAAGATAACACTTACTTTAATAAAAGGACAGTTTGTATGTGCACTGTGCCGTAGAACCGTGCAGGAAATGTATTGTTCATTCAGAATTATGCCGGGCTTGGTATGCCAGTCCCGACACTGTGCAGCTGGAAACACCTGTTCCAGATCTATTACCAGCAGTAAAATCACCAGAGCGTGTACGACACAGCAAGGGAGGTTACTGAAGTCAACAGTAATTTTAAAAAATAAGGATACTTCCTTGTCATCCCAGCTGTCAAAATGTGACATTGTAAGCTTTAATTACTTTTTTTTGTGTGTGTTTCTAAACTTGTATTTGTAAATATATCAATTTTTAAATCTTTTTGACAATCTTTATTAAAGGGGCTTTATAGTTGTATTCCTGACACCATTGGTCTAAATAGCAGTTAGACCTTTCCCGTAGGAAAGCATTGGGAAGCTATCGCGCATGTGCAGCAAAATACCGTGCTGCACCAGCCTCCTTGGATCGGATTTGTTGTTCCTGGACATACCACAGATACTCAATCAGATTGAGATCTGTAAAATTTGGAGGCCAAGGCCACATGAACTCTTTGCCATGTTCCTCAATCCATTCCAGAATAATTTTTGCAGGGTGGCACAGTGCATTATCCTGATGAAAGAGACCACTGCCATCATGGAACACAATTGCCATGAGTGTGGTGTGCATGGTTTGCAACAATCTCTAGGTATGTGGTACATGTCAAAGTAACATCCACCTGAATGCCAGGACCCATAGCTAAGATAATAGAACTGCCTCCACCAGCCTGCCTTCTTTCCATAGTGTATCTTGCTGCCATCTCTTCCCCAGGTAAACGCCACACTTGCACCTGACCATCCATCTGTTATAAAAGAAAACATGATTGATCAGACCAGGTAACCAGGTAAGTTTTGACACTCTCCTCCCCATAGACGGTGTACTGTGTGTACTGACATCTTTCTATCATGGCCAGCATTAAAGGACCACTATAGGCACCCAGTGGTCTGGGTGCCAGGTCCATCTAGGGTTAACCATTTGTTCTATAAACATAGCAGTTTCTGAGAAACTGCTATGTTTACCTATGGGTTAATCCAGCCTCTAGTGGCTGTCTCATTGACAGCCGCTACAGGTGCTTCCGCGCTTCTCACTGTGATTTTCACAGTGAGACGACGCCAGCATCCATAGGAAAGCACGGCTCCTTCCACGCATGCGCATTCAGTCGATGACGGCGATATGGAGGAAGAGGGGGCACCCTCTCGGCACTATAGTTATAGTGGTCCTTTAAGTGTCTCAGTAATTTGAGCTACAGTAGCTCATCCGTGATTGGACCTTACGGGCTAGCCTTCGCACTGCAAATGCATCAGTGAGTTTTGAGCGCCCATGACCCTGAGGCCAATTCACAGGTTGTTCTTCCTCGCACCACTTTTAGTAGGTACTAGCCACTGCATCCCAGGAACACCCCACAAGACTTGCCATTTTGGAAATGCTCTGAACTAGTCGTCAAGGCATCACCATTTGGCCCTTGTCAAAGTCACTCGGATCTTTTTGCTTGCCCCTTTTTTCTCCTTCCAACACATGAAATTTAAGAACTGACTGTTCAATTGCAGCCTTGACAGGTGCCATTGTAACGATCTAATCAATGTTGTTCACTTCACCTGTCAGTGGTTTTAATGTTGCGGCTGATCAGTTTATGATGATTAGAAAATACTTTTTATAGCCATATTTAAGTTAATACTGGTTCTCCTTGTACATGCTTTGTTCTTTAACACCGTTTAAGACTTTTGGCTGTCAATAGGGGGGAGCCCTATCTAACAGGATATCTTATAGAGAAAATAAAGAGATGTATTGAAGGGAAATGTGAGGAGGTAAAATCATTGCCCCGAGGCATTACTTCCTTTGCCCTGTGCATGGAACTATGTGTAGGCAAAGGATTGAGTTTCACAGGAAGGTCACAGTGGAATCAGTCTTCTGGCCGAGCCGCTGAGATTGAAATCTCTATGCTTTGTGAGCAGGCAATCACTGCTACCATTCCCATATTATAATGATGAGCACATCTTAAGGACTTATTTACTAAATTGGGAGGGAATTGCAAAATTTATGGGATAAAATAACTTACCTGGAGAATTATTCAAATACACTCATTGTGGCCTAAATTCCGCAACTCCGCAAATCCCTCGTTTGTGAAAAAAGAGATCACTTTATATCAAGTTATAATTTAGCCTAAACTAGCTGTATGGAAGATATCTTTCTAGCTCTATTCCGGCAAGTAGTAGATGTTGTTATTATTAAAATTATTTATAAAGCGCCAACAAGTTCCCGTAGCGCTGTACAATGGGTGGACTAACAGACAAGTATTTGTAACCAGACAAATGGACGCACAGGAACAGAGGGATTGAGGGCCCTGCTCAATGATCTTACATACTAGAGGGAGTGGGGTAATGTGACACAAAAGGTAAGAGTAGGGTAGAAAAGTAGGTAATTTGTAGGTATGTTGTTAAAGGGACACTATAGTCACCCACACCACTTCAGCTCAATGAAATGGTCTGGATGCCAGGTCCCTCAGGTTTTAACCCTTCAGATGCAAACATAGCATAGCACTAGAGGCGCATCTGCGACGCTGGAGGCATATGATGCCTCCATCACGCAGAGCGTCCATAGGAAAGCATTGAGAAATGCTTTCCTATAGACACTTTGAATGCGCGTGCGGCACTGTCGCGCATGCGCATTCGGCTCCGCTGACGGCGGGGGAGGAGATGTCACCAGCGGTGAGGGAGCCCTGCGCTGGAATAAGGTAAGCTGCTGAATGGGTTTTAACCCACGGGAGGGGGACCCTGTGGGTGGTGGCACCCCCAGGAAACTATAGTGTCAGGAAAACCGCTATGTTTTCCTGACACTATAGTGATCCTTTAACCTCTTAAGGACACACGACATGTGTGACATGTCATGATTCCCTTTTATTCCAGAAGTTTGGTCCTTAAGGGGTTAACAAGGTGCTAGTCTGCAGTGTGTCTTTTGCCTGCAATGGAGAGTTAAAGAAACATGTATTCCTTACCCTATAGTGTTAAAACCACCATCTAGCCCCTTTGCCCCCCCTAAATATAGAAAAATCTTGCCTTTATTGCAATCTGCTGCTGGCTCTGCCACTAATCTGCCTCCTTGGCTGACATCATCAGAAGTTGTGTTCTGAGTCAATCATAATGCTTTCACATTGGATTGGCTGGGACTGTCAAGGAGGCAAAGAGCTAGCATAAGCCAAACACAGCCCTGGCCAATCAACATCTCCTCATAGAGATACTTTGAATCAAGGCATCTCTGTGAGGAAAGTTCAGTATCACCATGCAGAGGGTTGAGACACTGAATGTCAGTCACATTGTGCAGCACTGCCCCAGGAAGCACCTCTAGCAGCTATCTGAGGAGTGGCCAGTGGAGTTATCCCTATACTGTAATGTAAACACTGCATTTCCTCTGAGAAGACAGTGTTTACAGCAAGAATCCTGAAGGAAATGATTATACTCACCAGAACAAATACAGTAAGCTGTAGTTGTTCTCGTGGTTATAGTGTCCCTTTAAAGATATGTCAGTTTTTAAGTGAATTCACACATATTTGCTTACACATAAGGTGCTAGCAGGGCTGGTGCAAGGATTTTTGCCGCCCTAGGCAAAAGTAAAGTTTGCCGCCCCACCCTCATGTGACATCACAATGCTCCACCCATATGATCTGCCATGTTAACTTACGCCAGTGCAGCAGTGACGCCGTGTTTACATTATAAGGCATGCAGGGACAGGCTATAGACACCAGAACAACTACATTAAGCTGCAGTGGTTCTGGGGACTATAGTGTTTCTTTGTGAGGTAAATTAGAGCTTAGTGCCACGAATAATATGCTAGATTGCCTACTTACAACCAGATGAGGATGATGATGGGCTCTAGCTGCAGTCTGGCTCCACTGGTCTGGTGTAGAACAGGCTCTCTGGAGGCTGTTTGTAACTGTGGTCACAAAAATCAATGTTCTGGGAGAACGGGAAGCAGCTCCATTTTTTGGGGGGCCCTTTACACAGCTCAAGGTCTGGGTCCCAGGGTCCACCTTCATGTTCCACCAATGAGTTTGTTCACAGGGGGTGGAGTGTGTAGGGGATGTCCTGATATGTGTGTAAGGAATGCATTGTGTGAATCTGTGTTTGTATGTGTAAGGGCTGCAAGGTGTGTTTCTGTGTATGTACAGGATGCAGTGTGTGCGTGTGTAAGGGGTGCATTAAGTGTGTGTAAGGAATGCATTGTGTGTAAGGGTTGCATTGTTTGTGTGTGTGTGTGTGTGTCTGTGTGTGTAATGCATTGTGTGTTTTTCTGTGTGCAAGGGGTGCATTGCATGTGTGTGTGATGGATGTCAATCTCTCCCCCCATCCCTTGTCACTCTCTCTCCCCCCCCACTCTCCCCCTCCCCTGTCACTCTCACCCCCCGTCAATTTCTTCTCCCCCCCACAATTTCTTCTCCCCCCGTCAATTTCTTCTCTCCCCCACCAATTTCTTTCCTCCCCCTCTCTCTTCTCCCCCCTACCATTCTCTTCTCCCTCCCCTACCAATTTTTTCTCCCTCCCCTGCCATTCTTCTCCACCCCCCTCCCCTGCCAATTTCTTTTCTCCTCCCTCCCCCTGCCAATTCTTTCTCCCTCCCTCCCCCCAGCATTTCTCCTCCCCCCTCCCCTCTGCCATTTCTTTCTCCTCCCCCTCCCCTACCAATTTCTCTTCTCCCTTCTCTTCTCTCACCTCCTACCAATTTCTTTCTTTCTCCCCCTCCCCTACCAATTTCTTCTTCTCCCCCCTCCCCTACCAATTTCTCCCCCTCCCCCACCTTTGTTGTAGCGTGGCTGAGGCAAGCTCTGTATCATGGTCCTCAGTGTGTACTTCCTGTTAGTCCGGCCAGGTACAGGAGACAGATGCTTCCTGTACCCGCGGACCATAGAGGGCTCGGCCACGCTACAGTGAGGGAGTGACAGGAGGGAGCGCTGAGCGCTTCCCTCCTGTCAGCCCCTCTCCTCATGCTGCGCCCGGGTGGTGCGGTCCGCACTCATGGACGCACCAGCCCGGGCAAAGCTGCAGCCGTCTGAGGCTGTCTACAGAGCGCTTGGGCGGCTGCAGCATGAGGGGGGCCGGCGCTCCTGGCGGCGCCCCTTCCCAAGGGGCAACCTAGGTGGCTGCCTAGTCCGCCTAACAGGTAGCGCCGGCCCTGGGTGCTAGCCCTCAGGGATCTTCATGCACGTTTAGTTTGGAATCTTTATATTAACTTGCTATTTCTCCAGCACAATGTGTAAAATAGATTAACTAAAGTGAAATTTTGCACCTGCTCACATCTATTGGTACACTGTTGCTACTTGATTATGTCAGAGGCTGATGCAGAATAGTTTTCTTTTTGTTTATAAGCATAACAGATATCCTATTCTTTCGATCTTATCACCCCTGAGTGATTGTATTTATTTATTAAGCACCTCTATGCTCTGTGGCTGAACAGTCAGGCATGAAATGCTGATGGAATTGGGACTGTACACATTCAAACAAAAGTCTACAAAGGGGATGAGGGCTCTTCTCATAAGAGCTTACAGTAAAGGGATTTTGAAGGTGTTGATACAGGTGTGAGTGCCTTATGATGTGGCAATGCTAACAAAGTGAAACCTTGAGTGTTTTTGGATGGAGCCTTAAATATCGTTAGGAATACATATCTACATTCCTAATGCTATAGTCTTTATTCCCCTAGTTGGTTTTAGGTCCCCTGTAAGCACTTTAAAAAGGAAAATAAATAATTGTATTCACCTTCTTGCCTGTGCCCCTCGGCGTTGTGGCAGACTCGTCCTCACATGATGTCATTCTGGAGCCGTGCCTACAGGATGACAGTCCAATCTAGTGCTCGTTATAGTCTCTTGATTCTTCAGAGCCCAAACTTTATGTTACTGCCCAATCACAGACTGCCCAATGCAATGTGGCTGTCCAATCACAGACTTCCCAATGCAGCTCAATGAGAAGTCTTTGCAAGGCAGGTGCTCTGGGCAATTGTTTGCCTCTGAGCTAATCAACCAGGAAGTAACAGGACCGGTTGTTGACTGACAGCCAGGGGGGTGTGACAAGGTTAATTTATAACAAGGCTTGGCAAATTTGCTTTGCGTGTAAGAGCCAGCTAAAAAAGTTAGGAGCCAGATTTTTCTAAAACTTACATAGCTTTATATTCAACAACAAAAATACAATTATTAAAGAGACAGCTTAATGTAGTGGTTCTGAGGTCTATAGCCTGTCCCTGCAGGCTTTTCAATGTAAACACTGACTTTTCAGAGAAAAAGCCGTGTTTACATTGCTTCCTAGTGACACCTCTAGTGACCGTCACTCAGATGGTCAGTAGAGGAGCTTCCTGTGTCAGTGCTGCACAGTGTGCAGCACCTACATTCAGTGTCTCCAGGCTCTGCATGGAGGCGCTGGATGTTCTCCATAGAGATGCATTGATTCAATGCATCTCTATGAGGTGATGTTGATTGGTGCAGCATTTTGCAGCCAATTCTATGGGAAAACACTGGATTGGCTGAGATCATCAAGCCCGGGGGAGACCTGCATGGCATGGGAAAAAAAGGTGAGTGAAAAAAAACATTCCCTTGCGAATAGAAAGGGTTTGGTAACCTAAACACACAGACCATGACAGACAGACATACCACGACAAACACACACGTATATACCATGAGAGATACATACACACACACGCATACCATGAGACACAGACACACACACACTATGACAGACACACACACACACGTATACCATGACAGACAGACACACATGGGGCAGGGGAGCAGTGCAGCGAGTACCAGAAGGGGTTTTTAACCCCTTATGCACCAAGGGAGAGTCTATAGGGAGCTATAGTGTTCCTTTAATGAAAATGGACAGAAGACTTTAAATTTCACTTTCTTTGTAGAGGTGGCGGGCAACAAGGATATAATTTTGTCCATATTGTCCTCATTGTTGCCTAGAAAAACCATGAATTGATACAGTAAGAATGGAATTTTGGTCAGATTTAATGCTGTTGAAGCCCTCCCTGCATGGTCCTAGTGCCTGCTGCACAGTGCAAGCACATCTAATGTGATCATGCTGTGCTGCCCATTGGAGGACACTACACAATTAGTTGGAACCTTATAAATAATAGTAATAACACACACATAGATAGCCATAACCAGTTGGTTCACTGCTGATTAATCTCTTTTCAGTGATTAAAGAATATTGAAAGATTTGATGTTTTCTGTGAGGTTCTTTTATAGTTGTGGTTAAAAGTACGTGCTTATTTATTTATTTTCCTACTTACTTTTAGGGAATGACTTCGCTGGGCGCTAGAAATAAAACGCTAATACATGTTTTCCCCTCTTCCAGTGACTGCATTTGATTAAGTAGCAACGCTTGCATTACATACTTGGTTGGCTTCAGTAATCAAAAACATGCAAAACAAGCATCGGAGCTCAAGAAAATCTGTAGGTCACTTAGCTCGGTAATTGATGCTTGACTTTGCCTCTCAGCACAGGTGGTTGTGAATTACTGGGAGGTGTGCTTGTGTGCAAGTGGCTCTGGAGGGCAAGAACAGGCAACCTCTGACAGTTTCACCCCTGTGGTTCATGATCTCATGGTGCATTGCCGTCCACTTCAATTTATGAAGTTAGTTCCCTCACTTCCTCCTGTCTTCTAACTTTTCTGCTATGGGACTTAAATTTACTGTAATTCATTCTGTGATTGTGTTATGTTAATAATAGTTTTGACTACTTCTAATACAGCACTAACATGCCATTTAAAGAAACAGTGGGACCCCATATCCCCTAGCTTGTACGCTCATTTGAGCAGGTCCCTCAACCTCCTCTATTCCTGTGTGTCCAGCTAGTCTGATTACAAATACTTGTCTGTTAGTCAACCTATTGTACAGCGCTGCAGAATTTGTTGGCGCTTTATAAATAATAATAAAAACAACTTTACCTCTATGAATTCAACATAGGGCCACTGTCACACTTATAGGGGTTGAACCATTTTCAAAAAATAGACCATGGCAATACGTGACATGATAAAATAAACATTCTGGCCTGACTACAACCCCAATAACTTCTTTATCTTTATGAAATTGTTATGGTGGCTGGAGTTATAGGTGATTATCAGTGTTTTTATTCAGTGGTGTAATTTCTTGAGATGTTGGTTATCCTTGAAAGAAAAATTCCAAGTACCATAACCACTAAAGCGGTTTCAATGATTTGACGTCTTACCTTTGATCCATGTGTCCCCTCTCCCCACCTCCACTGCAATCTTCAGCTCTCTGTCTGAGCTAAGCGTAGCAATGTCAGGTTTGGCTCATTGATTAAAAGTGGTCAGCTGATGCTCTTAGCCAGTGAGCTAGCCCTCCACTGCAAAGTTTAGTTATTAAAGCTGCTAAGCATGAGCTGACGGCTGTAGTGTATGAAATGAGCGGCGCCCTGCAGACCTTAGGTAAGAAATGAAATCATTGATGGGGGGAAACAGTGGCTATAGTGCGTGGAGTGTTATTTTAAAGCATCGTTTGCTCTGTTTACGGATCACATATATAGATGGAATATAAAGACTGAGTAGATAGATAATTTTATGAAGAAAGTACTTGTATTGGGGTTTTCTGATGGGAAGAACAATGACGATTGGACTTTGAGTAGTGGAATACATCAATGCTATAATGACCTGTAAGTAAGGCACGTGAAACCATTAAAAAGTACCAAAATGTGACAATTTAATTTAACTGTCATGTATGGGAATTTTAAAAAAAGTTTGCTAAAACTGGGCTTTAAAGTAGCTCCACCTACAAGCCCTGTCAGTCAGAGGGCGGTGAATTACACTTTCATACAAACCACTGAAATTATTGCTGACGTGGAGGGACCTGCAGGCGCTGCTTCCCGGGAGAATGCCCCAGTCTCTTTTTAATAATTGGTGCTGATCATCACATAGACAGAGAAGAATACCATATTTCGAAAAATACTTGCAACGTGTATTATAATTATTATTTGTATACCATACTTAATTTTATAGGGTTAGCATTAATAGTAATTCTGAGTTACTTTGCTACAGACCACCTTGCAATAACGTGATTGTACCTTATTTACTTGTTTATTGGCCTCACGTTGTACGTTATTCTCTTATTCCACAGCCCAGAGACATGTCTTAACCTACATTGAGGATGCCCTGGCTCAACTTTTGGAGAACAAAGACGACTTGGAGCAGGGAAGCATCCCAAGGTTCTTCTCAGAGTAGTGAGTATCTACACGCTAGGGGAGCCAAAGCCAATTTTTAAGTGTGAGCATTTTAATTAAGATTGCTTATTAACTACTTTCTTCCTTAGAACAAATTTCACAGGCCGTTTTTGAAACAAATCGAGAAGAATTATGTAAAATTCATTACTCATTACAGGTTCTCATGACTCTGTATGATTACTCAGATCATTCATGTAATAATTTTTGTACTACTCATTTTCTCCTTGTATTCACCTCTTCTACCCCACTGCACCCAGTTAATTTCCATTCCCATCCTGTCTGCTGCTCCATTACCTCCTTCCATAATGGTAGTCCTTGTATTCTTTCTTTCCCATTGCTGTTTGCTCAGCTTCCTATGCCTCCCAGGGTCTACTCTCCCCCTTCTGAAGAGCCCATTTCTTTGACAGCAGGATTCCAGGTCACTTGTTTGATGTCCCCGCTTACATGAATTTCACCTTGAGGGCATTGGAAGCATTTAATGATGTGTTGTTTGTTACACGAATTGAAAAAGCTCCCTTTTGTTCTACTATGATTTTAAATATTAAGAGGAGGAGTCAAAGTTCTCTTTTTAGAACTTTGGATCCTAGGCTACAATTTAGACTGTGATGTGTTTTGAATATGAAGGACTTTGTCTTGTAGTCAAGGCTGATGTGTTGAGGCGCTAACAGGTTTCGTTGAAGGAAACAGAATGCATGGATTGCAAAGCATGGCTCCTGATAGCTTAGATGGAGAAAGATACCCGAAACAAAACAGAATTGATCAGAAAGTTAATAAACATAGAATGAAACACCGAAAGAACAGGACAAATTAAGAACTCAACCTGGCAGATGTACTTGTAACTAGAGGTTCACAAACATGGCAATATCAAAGACATGGCAGGAACAAAGGCTAGTTAAGCACTCCACCTGGTCTAGCCAAGAGGATGATTAAATCTGACCTCAATTTAGTCTGGAACATGTAGATGCTAAAGTTGAGTAGAGTGTCTTCAAGAAAAAATAATGGAGCTATCATGTAGCTTTGGATCATACAAAACGAATTGTGCAAAGGTGGAGGAGGCAAGGTGGAATGGAAATGAGCAATTGTTGGGGCAAACTAAAGCAATAATCTAGAATGGGCTGCAGCTTAATGACTTATTACTGAATAAAGGCCAGCTGTCGGAGAGGAAGTCTCCATGCCACAGCCAAACTAGTGGTTCAAGGAGATACTGCAAGGGTGGACTGTGGAGGCTAAAGTGATGTTGTTGGATAGAATCTCAGAAACAAACAGGAAAAAATAACAAAATACAGAATATTACATTGGTAGTGAATAAAGGCCAGCTGTCGGAGAGGAAGTCTCCATGCCACAGCCAAACTAGTGGTTCAAGGAGATACTGCAAGGGTGGACTGTGGAGGCTCAAGTGATGTTGTTGGATAGAATCTCAGAAACAAACAGGAAAAAATAATAAATACAGAATATTACATTGGTAGTGGAGAAAGGCAAATTATTTGCAGATGGTAAAATATCAGAATTGTTATATGTGTACACAGTATGTGCATCTGTGAGGTTGCATGCAAAGCATTGTGGGTTCCTACGCATGTTGTTTAGGGGACGTTACCACCAGTGCCATGTTTTGCTCTTTTGCTGCTATGTTGTTGTCAGAGTGGTAATGGCTGAAGTGATTCATTTTAAGGTTATGCACTAATTAGAATTTGGCGACTGACGTTTTTAAATCCGATATGATAAAGTGGCACTGTCTAATATTGTTCATAACTGATGCATTATAATGTTTGTACGGAAATTTCATTGCCCTTCAGGCTCATTTTTTGGGGGTTTAAAACCAAGGAATTCTATCCGCAGAGTTCCCGCCGTGCTGGTTATTGGCAGTCTATGCTACAACTTAACATTGTACTTGGTGGTATCTCGTGGGAGTATGGTTTACTGAGATCAATGCTAAATGTGTGTGGGAGATGTTGTTTGAAACTGAACTCTAGAACCTCCTGATGATCGTTTTTTTTAATTTTTAAATGTAGAATTTTCCATCCCAGCAGCGTTTGCTTTTCTGAAAGTCTTCAGATTGCAGCAGTTTGTCCACCCAAGAAGATTGACACTTCACGATCAAGAGAATGTTCTCCACAATTCACGCAAAGCTGCTTCCTGTCTGAGTCCAGCCTCACATGGGCAAGGTTAGCCAAGCCATATTCCTCAGTCAGCATGAGATGCAGAAAGATACTTGAGTATCTTGCTGAAGACTAGAATTTACACATTCAAAAAGGTCTCCCAATGTGACCTGTACTTGCTGTGCTACAGTGAAGAACACTTTCCCTATGCTTGTTTTCACAGAGATTAGAAAGGAATAATTATTCACGAGAATTTATTGCACATGATGGAACCTTTTGAAATACCCTCACTATTAGTGTGCATTCTGTACATTAGGTTCTGTAGGTAAATGGCACACAGTCCACCAAGACATATCCCTTGTATATACGTTTTTTGCTTTCATTGGATTTGCAAAATAAAATTTAGTCCATAATGCTTGACTTACCTTCATTTCTACTCTAGGAATGATTAGCAGCTTGTAGAGGCGTGCACCAATTTAATGCCTGCAATGTGCTATGTTTCGTCGTTTAAAAGATCTTACCATTCTTCTAGTCAGTGAAATTACATCTCTCATAACGCTATTCACATTACAGGAGTTGAAGCAGATTGCTGTAATACGTTTTTAAATACTTTTTTTTAGATGTGATTTAACTGTATTTACTGTATGTGGGCCTTATGTTTAAATGCAGAAATTTTTGAGGGTGTTTGAGCCTTTTTTCAAAACATGTTTTTGTTAGAACTACTGAGTAACGCCCCCCCCCCCTGGCATAAAAGGGGTTAAACGCCGTTTAGAGGATATTCCCCTTCCAGATATACAGGCAGCTACTGTAGACACCAATCCACCGAACCGGAGAAGCATATGAATGCCGGAAACAGCCGAACCAGAACCATACAAATGCTGTAAACAGCCGAATAGGAAAAACCAAACAAATAGGTTTACACTCCTAGCAGTCTAACTGGAACAGCATACAATAAATCCCCCCAAGAAAGAGACAAGGCTCACTTTTGAGGGACAAGCAGGAACAGACAGAGCTGTGGTTTTATTGTTCTTATATACACATTCTTACAAATTTGTACCACCCACAGGGTTTTGTAAAACAACCAATAAACACGTACAATACACTCAGACACTCCCACACAAAATCCTCCCCTCTGCCTGTGATACAATTACCTTACACAATGGGTAATGTAATTATCACAGGCAGAGAAATACAGTTTTTCCACATTATTCATAACTTTAAAAGTATGCATCACATTCACTTACATTTTCAGAATCAGCATACTCCAAATACAAACATATGTCAAAATCATCCAAATTGGTTCAAAAGATAGATCAAAGTCCTTTATGACCAAATGATGCATGGCTTTTCTGCCCAAAACCAGTTCCACAGAGTCTTCTATCCTGGAGATAATTGAGAAGTAATCCGACTGTCTCTGCCCCCTGTAACTCAGCCTGCCGCTGGGGAATGGAGACTGGGCTCCCAATTCCCTGCAGGACCGGTGGAGAGTCCTCGGTCCCATCTCCACCAGCCACCTGGGGTCCTTCCCAGTAAATCTCCACAATATCTTCCCAGCTGAATGGGTCTGGATCTGGGGCTGTCACCTTGCTGTCCTGCTGAGCCTTCCCAATGGAGTGGAAGAGATCTCGGTAGTCCTGCTCCAGTTCCCACTCCAGGGTTGCTAGGTGAGCCAGGTCTTGCTCTACCTCATGGGGGTCATCCCAGTCATGCCTAGCCTCCCTCTCGTAGAAAATGTCCTGAAGTCTGGTCTGCGCAGGGCTCCCGAAGTCAGGCTCTGCAAAGGACTCCCATAACATGCCAGGACCATCAAACTCCTCTCCCTCTGGCTTGTCATGCTCGGCTGTCCAGGGTATATACTGTGCCATATACCACCAGAGCGCCTGGCAGGCATCCTCCAGCATTGCTCTTGCCATACCCGGTGCTCTAGTTCCTTCACCCATTCCTCCAGGGGCTGCTCTCCCTGGAAGGGCATCCGCAGGGCCACTTGCTTCTGCAACCGCTGCTCTTCACTGGGGAGACTCTCACCCCGCTGGTATTGTACATTATCCAGGGCCTGGTACCAGATGCCTTTCCTTAATGCATCCCGGCCATCCAGGTCCTCCTCCTCGTATAACACTGCTGGTTCCATTCTGTTGCTTTTAGGGTCGCTGTACTGGGACATGCGTTGCCCCCAACTTGTAAATCCACGGAATGGTCTCTCCTGTAGCTGTCCTTCTGGCTGTGGGAACGATCCCACCCCTGCCACCAATTGTAACGGCACCCCGGGCATAAAAGGGGTTAAACGCAGTTTAGAGGATATTCCTCTTCCAGATATATAGGCAACTACTGTAGACACTAATCCATCGACCCGGAGAAGCATATGAATGCCGTAAACAGCCGTACCGGAACCATGCGAATGCTGTAAACAGCCGAATAGGAAAAAACATACGAATAGGTTTACACAACAGACAGAGCTGTGGGTTTATTGTTCTTATATACACATTCTTACACATTAGTACCACCCACAGGGTTTTGAAAAACAACCACGTACAATATACTCAGACACTCCCACATAAAATTCTCCCCTCTGCCTGTGATACAATTACCTTACACAATGGGTAATGTAATTATCACAGGCGGAGAAATACAGTTTTTCCACATTATTCATAACTTTAAAAGTATGCATCACATTCACATAAAACTTACATTTTCATAAAACTTACATACAAACATATGTCAAAATCATCCAAATTGGTCCATTGGCTCAAAAGATAGATCAAAGTCCTTTGTGACCAAATGAAGCATGGCTTTTCTGCCCAAAACCAGTTCCACAGAGTCTTCTATCCTGGAGATAATTGAGAAGTAATCCAATTATCTCCAATGACAGAGGCAAAACTCCATTAGCCACATGGTAGCAAAATACAGTATAATACAGTAAAATACACAAGGTTACATTTATTACATAAAATACAGACATGCAACATATCCCCAGATAGCTTAGGTCTGAGCGCACATTATTACTGAATGGCGCTCAGACCACACACATACAGTTCAATTGCCATGGAGCCAAAAAGTCTTTTATTACACGAATAGGCCCATGGCATAGCTATCTGGGTTAAATGAGTTCATTCAGTAAATCCGAGAATCTACCGAACACCAGGGCAGAAATACATGAATAGACCTTTCTGCATAGGAAAATAAAGTATTTAAATGCCGGTCCATAGTCAAAAGGCAGAAGGCAGGCAACCAGGCTCCTCCAATGCACAGTGGCGAGATTGGTCTCGTCACATACTGTATATGAGAGAAATTGTTTTTTTGTTGCTTCCCCACTCATTTTTCAGACCCTGTGTGAAATGTTGCAAGAATAGGGATATGTGATGGTGTCTAAAGAATTAAATTCCTCCAATATGTCTATAACGGATGATCACATAAATGAAAAATGAATTTACATAATTACCTTTCTGAACAGTCTGTACACAAAACAATTGCTGTTTTATTGTGTTTTGTGCTAGCTGTGCATCCTATTTTTCAAATACATGCTGTGCTAATATATTATTAACAAAAAATTCTTGGCAGTGAAGGAGTTAAGGTTAAGTGGCATATTTCGCTGGCATCACCATTTTTAACTTCATGCTAGTGTGATCTATCCTGTATATTTAGCATCAGCATATCCATATGGCCCTACTGTTATTGACAGAGTATTACATATTGTAGGAGGAATCTTAAAGCATTGATGGTAATGATGTAATGCATTTCCATTGTGTGTTTAGGACTTAAATGCAGAGACAGAATTTTGGGCATTTAAAATAATATATATATTTTTTTTTACACAAACAAGATACTAATTGGGAAGCAATACAAAATGTGTGATGAGGCACTGACCAGATGCAATGGAACAATGATCAAGAGCCCACAGTTGGCCAATAGGTGGTGACCTTTGAAATCCTGGAGGCCAAAACTTTAGTGAACTGTAGACCAATATAGACATACATGGAAATTTGCCTCTCCTCCTGCCAGGTTCTAAATATGGCAACTCCTGTTTGGAAAGAAGAGATTTGGATTTTTTATCCTGTGACTACCAGGGACCTTAAAATGGGGAAGAAAAAGGCAGAGACATTCAAGCAGAACTGCAACTGGTGTTGTTAGAACTTACTGATTGTTTAAAATATAGGCATATATTTACTGTAATAGAGAGAATCTCCAGTCTGTAGGTTGTTCAATAACATGTCCTTGTGTGACATATCAGAAGTTACAGAAGGATCTGTAGTCTGGCTGAAGGAACTGGGTGATAAATATGGACTCATCCTTTATACAGAAATAACCGGTGGCTTGGAAACTTACAAATGGTCCATTTTCCGCACTAAGCCACTGTGCATCAAGCGCAATGTGACCTTACATCCACCAAGCTCAATGTGACCTTACATCCACCAAGCTCAATGTAACCTTACATCCACCAAATTCAATGTACCTTACATCTACCAAGCTCAATATAACCTTACATCCGTGAAACTCAATGTAACCTTACATCTGTGAAACTCAAAGTAACCTTACATCCGTAAACCTACATCCGTCAAACTCAGTGTAACCTTACATCTACCAAGCTCAATGTAACCTTACATCTACCAAGCTCAATGTAACCTTACATCCACCATACTCAATGTAACCCTACATCCACCAAACTCAATGTAACCTTACATCCACCATACTCAATGTAACCTTACATCCACCAAACTCAATGTAACCTTACATCCACCAAACTCAATGTAACCTTACATCCACCAAACTCAATGTAACCTTACATCCGCCATACTCAATGTAACCTTACATCCACCAAACTCAATGTAACCTTACATCCACCAAACTCAATGTAACCTTACATCCACCAAACTCAATGTAACCTTACATCCACCATACTCAATGTAACCTTACATCCACCAAACTCAATGTAACCTTACATCCGCCAAACTCAATGTAACCTTACATCCACCATACTCAATGTAACCTTACATCCACCATACTCAATGTAACCTTACATCCACCAAACTCAATGTAACCTTACATCCACCAAACTCAATGTAACCTTACATCCACCTAATTTGACTTAAACAGATTGCAATGAACCTTAAAAAATGAGCTGTACTTGTCGGCTTTGAAATGTATCCCATAAGTGTTAACACAGCTAATTGTGGTCTATTGCAGTAACTAAACAAATGATTAACAACCTGTTGTCAGACAGGTACATACCTAAATCTTGACTTAACTGGAAATTAGATCCTCTGGTCTCAAGTATCATTAATGTCTGTCTTATTAGGTGCTCGTAAATCATACATTCTCACACCTGTTCCTCCTTTGTGTTCTCTCGCACTTTTCATTTTCATTCTTTGCTCATTCACATCCATGTCACTTACTAACACTAGTTGTGATTGCTTTCAAGTAATGTATGTCTGTGGTATGAAGAAAATACAGTATATAAGTTTGATTTATCATTTATTACTTGAGTTCCTGACCATTTTTCTTTGTTTTCCGAAAAGCAAAACTGTTGGATGTTAAAAGTAAAACTTTGGGGCCTTTTTTTTTTTTTTTAAGAGGAATTCTGGGCATCATTCTAGAGGCAAAGTTGTCACCATGTAAAAAGAGGAAGGACTCTGCCAATTTGCCCCAGTACTCTGCGGATACATTCACAATTCTGGGAGCATTTTGTAAATCATTAAAACAAATGTTAATTGCACACATCGTGTTTGGAATATTTGCTCTTTCAGTTTTTGTATACTTGTGTACTTATAGAGTATTTTTAAGCTGAATTGGACATGTTTTTCATATGTCCAATATGATACGGTATTATTTTGGAGATTTCATTGTTTTTGTGATTGGTATTATCTGAAAATGTCTCTTTGAGTTTAAAAAGCTGTTCATTATTTTGGCGTTTGTGTTTTTGTTTTTTTTATCTACAAGAAAGGCACTGTGACGGAGCTCAGCACTCAGCTTGAGTGTCTGCATCAAGGGTCCCTCCCTTTCAGCACTCGATACCTGGAGCGACATTATAATATACCCTAAAACATACAACACTACACAAATAACCCCTACATGTCGTATATCCTTGGCTACCTTCTTTGCCTCCTTCACTCAAAAAAGCACTGTTGCCGCACTCACTGTTGAATCTCCACCCGGTTATAGTCTTGGCTAGAGTGAACGAAAGGCTCAGTCACCGGTGGGTTGGAGTGAGGCCGATCTTCGGGGCTGTGTCTGTTGAAGGACAGGGGGAAAACCAACCAGAGAGTGTGACTTTAGCTCTTAATTCAGAAATTCGGGTAAATGTTTCTGCATATTGGCATAATTGCTGTTCTGTCATACGCACCTGTAGTGGTTATGGTGTTATGAGTACCTCTTTCATTGTTTAATAAAAACATAGCTCTTAAAATCTGATCTCAATAGCCACAGACAGACTAGATCTGCTTCAGCACAGGTGTGTCATTTTTGTTGAGATAAGGAATAGTACACAAGGTAGCGTGTTTTACTTTAGGAAATTACACCAATCCTATCTTGCTCTCACTAGTGACCACTTCAACCCTGGCCCTCTTAAACCCTCTCCTTCCGTTCTAATATCTTTCCATTCACCTGAACACTCTTGACCTGGGTGCAACCTTCTCCACTGAGCTGCAGTATCTGCTTGAACACATCTTATTGGCTTTATCTATAAAGCTTTGAGTGCTTATCAGCAAGGGCACTGCAAGGGAGGGCGGCAGTTAGAGCAGGTGCCTTTCTTAAAAATCAGAACTGATTTATAATTCTGTCCCAAGGCTATATAAACCGTATCTGTTACACTAATTAAACCGCTCTCTTTTAGGTGTGCCAGCAGAGCATTCCAGTGTCAGAAGTATCCGTTTTGTGCAGATAACCGTGGGTATATTTCCTACTTGGATCACAGTTTATGAACTACCTGATTAACTCACAAAATGGAAATAAATAGACCATGCTGTTTCTGTTCTCTTGTCTGTTGCAGCTGCTATCTGAAATGGTATCTCCTCCTAGTTGTGTGCCATCTTGGCAGTTCAAGGTAGCATTCCACTTTGAGAAGCCTATAGCTGCTTCTATTGCCTTACCCCATATTGCTATTTCACATTCAGTCTAATTTTCTATTTCTGCCGGTTGTTGCAATACCTTCTCAAGACACTACATTAGCTGTTGCACTATTTTGCAGTCCAAATGGAGGCGCGTATACTGTCTGCTCGGTTATATTTAGCGGCTATATCCCATTAGAACACAGCCATTCCTCTGTACATTGCTAGGTCATTGTCAGCTTATGGGGTAATGTACTCTGACTGCTCTCCCTATTTCTAGCTCCCTGTATTACCCCACACAGTATTTTAGTTCTCTTGCTGTCATACACTCAGGTCAATGTCTGATAAATGGAGAAGCGAGACTAGAACTGGTGAAAGCATGGTTGACCTCACCTATGATCTGATTTGCCTGTGGTTACACGTTGCCATCAGTGAAGACCCATAGGCTGTAAGATCCCAAGAACTCTACTGGGGTTCAACGGTGGTTGTTCCAGGTGAAGAACCAGCCAATATAGTCCTCGTGCCAAGCATGTTCTTGGAGACCCTGTGTATTCGTTGTGCCTCCAGCCCTGCTGTTTCCATTTCCTCTTTTCACTCTTGTTTACCTTCATTACCTAACTGCTTTCTTTCTGCTTTGCTTCAGGTGCCACCAGTTATTTTGCACATCTGAATTCATGAAGCAGCTATAGTTTAATAAGTGGTTTTTGTTCTGTTTACTCTCAGTGCACACAGTTCCTATCTTCATCACCAAAATATTTTCACATTTGTCATGTCCAACAAAGTTAAACATCCAGGAACATGGAATAGGAACTAGCAGAAGGGAACAAGTTACTGAATACGTCAGTTTTCAGTAATATAGACTCTTTGTTGTCTTCTTTCTCTTTCAGAAACATACACAGTCTACATGTTGCTCCATGAGCAATATTTAAGTTCATCGTTCCCTCCAAGCAAAGCTATGTACTATGCCTTCTTTCCCCTCCATGCAGAGCCTTGTGCTGCCTCGTTTCAAAGCCTTATACTCCCTTCTTTAACCCATGCATAACCGTGCATTCCCTGCAGAGCCTTGTGTTCCCTTTCCCTGCAGAGCCTTGCACCATGCCCTCTCTTTGCAGAGCCTTGCGCTACACCCTCTCTTTGCTGAGCCTTTCGCTACTCCCTCTTTGCGGAGCCTTGCGCTACACGCTCTCTTTGCGGAGCTCTTTGCACTATGCCTCACCGTTGCGCAACCTAACGCGGAAGCCATGCCCTCACTTTGCACAGTCTTGATCTACGCTCTCACTTTGCGCAGCCTTGCACCACACCTTGGCTTTGCGGAGCCTTGAGCTACGCTCTCTCTTTGCGCAGCCTTGCACTATGCCCTCTCTTTGCACAGCCTTGCCCTGTCTTCTCCTTTCTTTGAAGAGCCTTGCCCTGTCTTCTCCTTTCTTTACAGAGCCTTGTCCTGTCTTCTCCTCTCTTTGCAGAGCCTTGTCCTGTCTTCTCCTCTCTTTGCAGAGCCTTGTCCTGTCTTCTCCTCTCTTTGCAGAGCCTTGTCATGTCTTCTCTCTTTGCAGAGCCTTGTCCTGTCTTCTCCTTTCTTTACAGAGCCTTGTCCTGTCTTCTCCTCTCTTTGCAGAGCCTTGTCCTGTCTTCTCCTCTCTTTGCAGAGCCTTGTCCTGTCTTCTCCTCTCTTTGCAGAGCCTTGTCCTGTCTTCTCCTCTCTTTGCAGAGCCTTGTCCTGTCTTCTCTCTTTGCAGAGCCTTGTCCTGTCTTCTCCTTTCTTTGCAGAGCCTTGTCCTGTCTTCTCCTCTCTTTGCAGAGCCTCGTCCTGTCTTCTCCTCTCTTTGCAGATCCTTGTCCTGTCTTCTCCTCTCTTTGCAGAGCCTCGTCCTGTCTTCTCCTCTCTTTGCAGAGCCTTGTCCAGTCTTTTCCTCTTTGCAGAGCCTTGTCCTGTCTTCTCCTCTCTTTGCAGAGCCTTGTCCTGTCTTTTCCTCTTTGCAGAGATTTGTCATGTCTTCACTCTCTTTGCAGAGCCTTGTCCTGTCTTCTCATCTCTTTGCAGAGCCTTGTCCTGTCTTCTCATCTCTTTGCAGAGCCTTGTCCTGTCTTCTCCTTTCTTTGCAGAATCCTGTGCTTCCTCAATTTCTCCATGTTGCACCTAGCAATTCCCCACTTTCATAATATACTGAATGATATATGAATTTGTAAAATGGCATTTGATTAGAAATCTACTTTACAATAGTTTATTTAAAAAATAAAATACAATATTTAGTTTTCCTTACTTGAGTTGATTCAAACAAATACATTGTTTGTTAATTGCCCTGATATGTGTTGCTTAATGATGTCCCTTAAACATGGAATCACAACCTGATAAGAAGCCGTGAGATGGACTGTCCCTGCCAAACCCATAGTCACAGTGCCCAGAGTGTCCCCCTCTCTAACCTACCCATCCATTCTTCTTCCTCCCCGATCATCTTGCTTCCTACTAGCGAGCAGCTCTTGTTTCCTCATAAAGTGTTGCCCGGCAGGGAAAAGTGCCCAGTGCATGACACAATGGGAGGTTGAGTTACTGCACACCCTGCTGTGCCGCTCTGATCAAAGAGACAGTCTCTTGTTTCCAAACTTCTTTTTTTTCTCCTTTTTATAGCTTTGCCCTGCTATTTGACAGCAGTCCCTGTAGGTAGAAGAGCAAAACACAGTGTTAACTTACTGACCTCCCCAAGCCAAAAAAACAAAAGCAAAACAAGGGATTTGGAAAACAAAGAACGTAATAATTCCTTTGCTGCCAGAGGAGTTGGACGCACATTGCAAAGCTCCACAGGCCGTGATGGACATAGAGCGGTTAAACTTTGTGATGTCCAAACATTGTTCTGATCAGCCCAGGCATTTCTATAGCACCCTGATGTGTGTATTTGTGTGTCTCTCGGCAGACCCAGCATTTATTCACACACGTCAATAGCGACCCTACCACTGATTAACGGAGTCCGTCTTTTGTCCGTGGCCTGTGGAAATTCACTTCCACAGTTCTAGAAAATATAAAAACTACGTAAACAAACATGTCAGATGATACCAGCAGAGATTTTCTTTGTTGTTTGTTATTGCTACATATAAACATTTCAGATTATACCAGCACAGATTCTTTTTGTTGTTTACTATAGCTATATACACACAATTACAATAATTCTGCAAGGTAACTAGACCAAGGCATGGAAACTTGTGTAGACTCGAGTGAAAAGAGGGAATAATCTGTTTCCCCTTTAATTTATATAATCTGTTTGAAGTCTTCACATATGTGACCGGAATGAGAGGTAGCTCAGTTAGTTAGTGCACCAATTGGAGAACTAGTTTGCATTGCTGTGCTGCTAGTATTCTGTGATCGTGACTCTGATCCATTTATTCCACAATTCTAGTGCTCATTATCTATACATTTATTATTCTGAGGTGGATAAACAGGTATCATTAAAGGAATACTCCAGTGAATATATAAACAATTTAGTTAATATATCCTTAATAAAAACATACATAAGTTTTATGTCTGTATTATTTATTTATTTTTTGTATTATGCCTAAAATCAGCTTGCAAAAGCTGCAGAAATCGTGTCTGCAGCCTTTATAAGCCCTCGCCCCCTTTTTAAATTGAGCGCTTTTATAAATGCCATAAATGTGACCGTCTCCCGCACATAGAGCCCTTCAGCAAGTGTGATTGAAGGACATTTACTAAACAAGCAAATCTTTCCAATCGCACTTGCTAACCTCTCCATTTTTTTGGTCTTTTTGGCCTCTTCTTGGCTGCACGTTTTATTGTCCCAAACGCTAGTGCATTTTATGTTTGTATTTTGCCCCATTACTTTATTTTGTGTGTATTTTTTCCAATCTTTCCTCTTACTGCTTCCCTTCTCTCTGCCCCTTGTGCTGTTTCTTTTTTTGTTAACACTGACAGACAGTGGGACAAAGGCTGAACTGGCGGTGTTATAAGTGGAAAGGTGTACTGTTCTTGTGAGCAGTTCATCATCTCTGGCACTGAAAGAGTTAAGTGGGAGAGCAAAGTTTTAGCCTGTCTCCCCTAAACATAGAAAGTTGCTTTAATGGTGATATTAAGAATAACGTGATTGTGTTGAATACTTTGCCTTGTTACAAATATCTTTTTTGTAAATTCAGTTTTTAGAAAAATGTTTCTCTTTCTTACTGGTTGGGCCATATATATATATATATATTTAAACTGCCACTCCTTGTGATTGCGCCCCAAACCCCTAACAATATTATTATTATTTTGATGCAAATAAAATGGTAGAAAACACTCCAAGAGACCCACATTTTGGTGCATGTGGATCAAGTTTGATGGCTTGAGAAAGACACATCTTTGTGCCAAAATGTTTCCTTTTTTATAATTATTATTATTGTTTGTTTTTTAAACTACCCTCAGACAGCATTACCCATCTGCCAGTGTTTTGTGGTGTAATCCCTGTTAATTCTCTTTTTTTACCCTCCTGTCAGAATGTTTTGACACACACGCCTAGGTTAAACACAGAGAGAAAAAGACATACAGCCTCCAGATGCATAATTACTAACAAACCAAAACATATAAATATGCAGATCTTTACATCTGCTCAAAGTCTTTCATATGAGCTTCAGAGCTACTTATGGGATCATTAGGTGTGGGTTCTCCCAAGGTAGATACCAAGCAGGAGGGTAGCCAGATCGTTAAAGGAAGTGGTAAAAGTTCTGGAAAAAAGGATACTGAAGGGTTACAATGAGCGACAGCAGATTGCTTCCACAGAGGACTCATTTCGGTGAAAATGTCAGGATCTATCTGGTCCCACACCAGAGATATTCATGACAAAAGTTAGAGGAAATGTGGGGGGAACAAGTGCCTATGTAGGTATCCCCTAAATTATCATGACTGAGATATGAACACTTTCCATTGTATATTGACTATAAAATGAACCTTGATAATTACGTTAGGACTTAAAGGGACACTATAGGCACCCAAAGTACTTCATCTCAGTGAAGTAGTCCGGGTGCACTGTCCCTGTCCCCCTTAGTCCTGCAACAGAGTCCTCACTCTCTGCATGAGGACAACCAGCATCAGAGAAAAACCCATAGGAAAGCATTGAAGCATTGCTTTCCTACGGCCACTATAAATGTGAGGTTACTGCAGTTCCCAACAATACAAAAATCAGAGACGGTTCCTATTGTGCTGCATGCAGCTCCAAGCAGGATATATCAATGCAAAAAATAGAGAAAATATGAGGGCAGTGCTTGTGCCCACCAAGTGCTACAAGAACATGTCATTGAAGAACAACAAATACAATAGCAAACGTTTCTGGTTATCCCCTTTCTCAAATCGGGTTTGGGAGAACGTTTGCTATTGTCTTTGTTGTCTTTCAAAAAAAATTTTGTTGTAGCGCTTGGTGCGCACACCTAAAATTTGTAGCGCTGCCCTCATCTTTATTTTAATTTTGCATTGCTTTCCTATGTGGAAGGCCTAATGTGCGCATTAAGTCCCCTCATTATATGACATCAGAGGAGGCTGACCACGACCATGTGAACTTAGTACTGGATTAATTAACCCTTTACAACACTTGGGTGATGGGACGCAGGGGTTGAGAAACATAGTGTAAGGAATATATCTTTGTATTATTAACTCTAAAGTATTCTAAAGTTTAAAGATCAAGATTGTGCAAAATTTTATATATATATATATGTATAGGTATAACTTGGAGGAAAGACGAGATGGGGGGATATGATAGAAACATTTAAATACATAAAGGGAATCAACACAGTAAAGGAGGAGACTATATTTAAAAGAAGAAAAACTACCACAACAAGAGGACATAGTCTTAAATTAGAGGGACAAAGGTTTAAAAATAATATCAGGAAGTATTACTTTACTGAGAGGGTAGTGGATGCATGGAATAGCCTTCCAGCTGAAGTGGTAGAGGTTAACACAGTAAAGGAGTTTAAGCATGCGTGGGATAGGCATAAGGCTATCCTAACTATAAGATAAGGCCAGGGACTAATGAAAGTATTTAGAAAATTGGGCAGACTAGATGGGCTGAATGGTTCTTATCTGCCGTCACATTCTATGTTTCTATACATGTACCTTGTAATGCGCTCTACGGATACGTTTTTCATCCAATGAACTAGAATCATTCTGAGCTGAAAAAAAAAAAAAGTGGCGATGCAATACCAATGCATAGAGATAGCCACTAAAAGAAAATAAATAGTCAAGTAACCTATGTTGAACCAAATGAGATTTTAACTTTAGTTTTACATTTTGTAACTCCTGGTGCTATAACTGATTTCTTTTGAAAACCTCAATACTTGTAAATCGGTTTTAACCACGTGTTAAATGAACAATTTAGCGTTTGGAATACAAACATGTATTCCTAACGGTATAGTGTCCTAGCCTAGATTTAGATCCAACCCCTCCTCCTGTTAACCTGAAAAAGGCCACTGCACCCAGACCACTTTACTGAGACCATCTTGAGCGGTCCTGTAATCCATATTTCTATTTCCCTGCCTGGTGGAATTCACGTTATTCTTTTCTGTATGCTTTATACCCAGCACAGCGGTTCTGTTCATCCTAGAGGGGAATTGATGGCCAGGACATTCCCAATTTCTGTTACGAGAATCGGTTAAGACTTGTTGTCTTGGCACAGAAGCAGAACTCAAAAAGGAGTTTGAGTAGGGGTGGATCCTGGCTTTCTACAACCTTTTTGTGATATGTGTCTACAGGTTCCTGTGATTGCTTAAATGTTTCTTCTGCTTTGGCACAGCGCCTGTCGCTAATTTCAAAACTACAGCAGACAAAGGACTTTATTGAAAAGTGTACCTGTGCCACTAGGATCAAGCAACTGCAAGGAGTAGTGGGAAAAATAGTTGTTTTTTACAGTGTTCTGATCACAGATACTGACTTAAAGAGACACTATAGGCACCCAGACCACTCCATCTCATTGAGGTGGTCTGGGTGTGGTGTCCCTGTCCCATTAATCCTGCAATTTAAAACATTGTGTTTAAAACATTGCAATTAAAGAGAAATTTTCATGTTTACATTGCAGAGTTAAGACTGCCTCTTGTGGCTGTCTCTCAGACTTCCTGATTTTTAACTCCGTGAAATTATGCTGGACTTCATCATTCTTTGCATGAGGACAAACAGCGTCTTCAAAATCCCCTTTCGAAAAGCATCGTTCAGTGCTTTTCTATGGGAAAGGCTTAATGCACATGCAACGTTTATATTATCTTATCCCCCATTGATGTTGGAGGAAGCAGAAAGAAGAAAGTGTAAAATTGGGGAGGGGGCGGGGGGGTTGGTTTTTTTTTCCAACCCTTTCCACCTTTGGAGGAAGGGGGTAAACAATAGTCTTATGGCTGAGGGATACTATAGCGTTAGGAATACACTTTCCTTTACTGCCCCCTGCAGTAGTAAAGAGTATGTTCATGAATTCTTATTCAACTAATTCTAATTGATACCCTTCGGCTTTGGAGGTGGTCCATTTTTTTTCTCGAACTCTTTTCTCTCCTACCCTCTTGTTGTCTACCCCTTCAAGTCAGTTTCCTTCCCTCTTCTTCATGATTTTTAACATCTGTGTCAAAGTATTCCCTCATTCACTACTCTTAACGTGTGTTGATTGTAAGCGAGACTGATTGTACCTGTATATCTGTCTATACATTTCATGGATACCCTGTGTGACAGGAGAGATGGGGTTGTATTCTCACTTCCTCTCACATGTATGGTACAAACTAGACACAGCCAGATCTCATGTGCAGTCCTATGTTGTCTAACTACCAGAGTGGTCATCTGTGCCATGAAGGGAGACTGCTGTTAAATTGTGCCGAATATTTGAGTAGCACTATAGCATAAATAATTTGTTGGCCCACCTTGTGTCAATTACGCTTCCCTCAACTCACCACCACAACAATCAAAAATAAATAAATAAATTTAAAAATAGTTTAATGCTGAATGGTAAGGCAGAGTCAGGGGACTCTAGACACTATAACCACTATAATAAGATGAAGCTGTTATGTGCATACAGTGTCTCTTTAAGTGGTTGCTCTATGGAGATCTGCTACAGAGCCTTAGGACCTCTTGGTGACTGCTATCACTTGGACTCAATTAGCTAAAAGAGTCTTTTTAAAGTTGGTGAAGGAGCTGGTAGAGCGGATGATAACTGCTTGGAAGAAGGAATAGACAGAGAGAGTGATACTTGCTTGGAAGAAATAGCAAACAGATTGGGTGAAACCATTGGACAAAGAGAACAATATCTGCCAGTCAACTGGCTAGGAGGTAAGACCTTACCTTGAAGAATTGCAATGGTGGTCTCTGGTGATAAGGAATAAAGGACTAAGGATATAGCAGGACCTGTCTGGATCCTGAGCTGGGTAACTGTTACTTCTATTTCTGCTACAATTACGTTATTACAATTAGTGTTTGCAAAATCATTTCTGAAATGGAAAGTTTGCTGATTTTGTGTTGCTAAGTAACCGTAATTATCAGGTGATTATAACTTCTGAAAGGGTGTTTTTCTGGACAAAATACCCTGAACGTCTCACCTAATTTAAAATGGTTTCACTGGTGTAATTTTTTCCCATGGAAATCGAAATTAGTTTTGCATTAAACATGTTGTAATGGGATCTTTGGCATGACTACACACACAACTTTCGGCACCATGTAATCCATTGGTAACATAACCGGAACAAATAAGGATGGTCAGACTGCAATGTTCTGAACGGTGTAAAGATCAGACTAACACACTTTTTTCGTCTTTTTCTCCTCCTGTAAGACATATATACTTGTTGTATACACAGCAACACTGAGTGATTTTCTTGGGACAAAAGACCACAGAGTAGGAATGTTTGATGTCTGTTTATAAATGTGTTGTGTTTGTTGTGTGTGTACAAACGAAGAGTACTTGTTGGAGCTTTATAATTCATCACTGCCTTATTAAAGCAGCTCTGTCACCTATCAGAAATAAATATTTCTAAAAGATCAAATCTCTATGAAATACTCAGATTGACTGTGTTGGAAACTCACTGAAATTCTAACCCAGTCAAAAGAGATATACAGTATCTCACAAAAGTAAGTACACCCCTCACATGTTTGTAAATATTTTATTATATCTTTCCATGTGACAACACTGAAGAAGTGACACTCTGCTACAATGTAAAAATAATGGTGGCCACACAAATTATTGACACTTTGGGCCCAATTTGGACATTTTCACTTAGGGGTGTACTCACTTTTGTTGCCAACGGTTTAGACATTAATGGCTGTGTGTTGAGTTATTTTGAGGGGACAGCAAATTTACACTGTTATACACGCTGTACATTTACTACTTTACATTGTAACAGTGTCATTTATTCAGTGTTGTCACATGAAAAGATATAATAAACTATTTACAAAAATGTTAGGGGTGTACTCACTTTTGTGAGATACTGTATATACTGCGGCAATGTAGGGATTACTTTGTCTAAGTGTTTTTCCTCTGCTTGACAAAAAGGTGGAGCTACTTCTGGCAAGCTTTTCATATCTCCCAGCCGTCACTAGTGACGTTTGTAGGGGGAAGAGAAAAAAAGCTTTTTCTATGAAGGACTGCTAGACCCTTCATAGACTTCAATGCTTTACTCTTTCGTACGCACGCCTGACGTTGGCTCCTGGCAGCTGAAGGACAGGTTCAGGTAGGTAAATTTCACCTTTCCATGCATCCCATGGCCACTAGACCCGAGCGACAATGTCATCCCTGGGCGTGTTTGCAAATTATGCAAAGAACCCAGACGGTGACAAAGTTGTTCAAAGTTAATTACTCAAGTCAAATTTCAGATGATGAGTTTTTCAGTCACTTTAATCACTTTTCATTATGTGTTTATGTCCGGTTTTCTGAGGTCCACATTACACTTTATTGGATATAAGTTGTGCAGAGTGCATTTAGTTTCAAAAGTTTGAGATCGTTACGAGCCTTCTACCGTTTAAAAAGAAAGACTTATACAACGCAAAAACTCTCAAAGCACGCTTGATTGCATTAATTGTAAACGAGAATGAAATTTCTGCTGTTTGAGGCTTTTATAACAAGTGCATCAACAAGGTTTTCTCATCTGCTTCTGGTGTCCTTTGATACCATAGCAAAAAGAAGACTTCATGGTGGAAAAACTCAAATTTGTGAGTAGTTTTGGAAGGGTGAATTGCTACTGATCGTCCTTCAAAATGGTCACGCAATCCACTTACATGACACTTCCAGTGCTCTCAGGGGTGATCCTGGTTTCATCTCATCATTACCATCTGAACATCCTTATTTCATCTATGTTATGTCATCCGTGGAGTTACAGTACAGAATGTCTTCATAGATTGCATTCCATGACAATGTATCTAATGCCATCTGCATTCCAATTTAGTAAAATGTCTGTAACTTTTGCAAGAGAGCGTAGCATTCCCTTAGAGGTTGTATTGGTGGAAGTTAAGTAAACAGGCCCCAGCATTACAGTGGATGTTTGTCCTTATCATAACATCTTCTATTTGTCTTCTTTATTCTCTACAGTTTTACAAGTGTTTCCCGAGGGACTCATGTCCTCTTCAGAGAGTTCGACTTTGTTCAGATCACCCCACACAACAGAGTCTCTTTCCTGCGGCTTTTCTGGAAATGCTTCAGGACCATTGCTAGGAATGGAGGTGAGAGCTGAGAGGGGACCTTCTCCTCCCCCAAATGCCTAAACCATGTGTCAAGCACACAGTTGATGTGGGTAACGTAAAATCTCTCAGGGACAATCGTAAACTTGAGATCAAATGGGGCAAAAAAAAATACTTTGAAAACACTTTTCATAATGTTAATAAGGTGTTAAATAGCCGTTATTTTTGGGAACGTTAATCGCGTTTGCTGTTTTCTTTACAAATCCCCTTTAATTTGAGCATCAGTTATTGCTTGTAAACAGGGAAAGTCTTTCATGAGCCATGTGTCTTCTTAACCGTCAAGTTAATATTTATCAAGTTTAGCCCTAACTTGCCATCTGTATATGTGTGTTTGTTCTTTTTTTTTTTTTTTTCGTTTGGCACCCTTCGTTTTGGTATGCATTTAGTTTTCATACTCTTCTCCCCCCAACCCCCCCCCCCTTCAAAGAAAGAAAAATAACCTTTCAGCTGACTCGTTTGAACAAACAGTTGAATGCAGTTTATATTGCAAAATTCCCCTATAATTGGGATGTTCTATCTGCCACGCTCTGACTTGTAGCTGAGAAAATAATGTTCCTAATAGGTATGCGAACATGTTAGTGCATTAGATTTGTTGCAGTTGCAATATAGGAAGTGCAAACATGATTGTAGTAAAGTTGTTCAACACGTGTACATTGTTTAAGGGATGAAAGGCATCACCAAATCAAGATGAAGTGCATAATCAAGCCAAAACAACACAAAGAAATGCTAATAGCTTACCATTCAGTTATTCTGCACTCGGTTCTCAAACTAATGCTAGCTCAAAGAGAACCTTTAGAAATCGCATATTGGGTTTGATTCCACCCAGGACAGTCGGTTACTGAAATGCCTGGCAGGTCCATCCTCCTTTGCTGATCTCACTCCACTTTGCCGTAGATGGACGGAGGATGGGCTGGAGGTAGGACATTGACGGCATGGACTGAGAACCGTTCTCGCTTTGGTTGTCTGGCACAAGCATGCTTTGTGTGCTGGTGTCAGATCCCATATTTGCACAGAATTCACATTAGCCAGCCCTGAGCTTTTGTTCTGAGCTGGTTAATGACGCCCCAATGACATGGCTGGCGGTGAAAATACACCTCCCGCAGCAGAGGGTTTAAACTCCGTTTGTGCAGCATTTCTCTGAAACACTACACATAAATACTCCAGTACATTCCAAAATTTTGAAAGTGCATTTGAGAAACAAAACATTCAAACTAATTTTTGCTATTCTTTGTTTTTCTTGTTTACCCTTATCTATGACTTTCTAGTCTATGTTGAAGTTGTATAATTACCAATCTCTGCTTTTGGAGATATGAATATCCTGCTCATCAGTACTGAGCTCCCAGAATGCTTGTGACATGACTGTTTCCTCTCACAATTGTGACCATTATAGTTGAAGAAACACTGTAAACATGTATTCCTGACCCTATAGTGTTAACATCACTCTTTAGGCCTCCCTGACCCATGCCTGCCACTTAAATACATCTAATTTGTTTTGGGTGGGGGGGAAAGACTGCACTTTAATTTGGGAAAATCAGCCATATAAAAGTGTACTGAATATTTTGCAACATTAATAAATATATTGCTACATTAAAAATGTTGATACTTCTCAAAACAGAAATTCCCGCCTCCTTGGCTGAGATCATAAGAATTGACGATCTCTGCAAATCACAATACTTTCCCATAGGAAAGCATTGGATTGGCTGAGATTGTCAGTTCTGATGATCTCAGCCAAGGAGACGGGAATTTCTGTTTTGAGAAGTATCAACATTTTTAATGTAGCAATATATTTATTAATGTTGCAAAATATTCAGTACACTTTTATATGGCTGATTTTCCCAAATTAAAGTGCAGTCTTTCCCCCCCCCCCCCAAAAACAAATTAGATGTATTTTAAGTAAATAATGGGGTTTCTCCTATTACAGCAGTTACTGATGAGCTGTATTTTGGGAGAGAAAGCATTTCCGAGCCTTCGACAGCTGCACTGGTTTATTTGCTGGTGTGTTCATAATGTATAGTCACTTGTGCTTTTTTTGTCAGGGAAAGTGTAAAAATAACTGCTTTCCTGTCAATGTGTTTTATTACATGTCTGCGTATACCTCCATTCCAGTCATGTTTTCCGTTTTAAGCAGTAGTTTCCTGTCCAGGTATAACCGTGCCCTTGGGGCCATGGAGAGAGATAATGCGCCATATTTACTCCCTTCACAGTGGAATGCTGGGAATTATTTGGCAAATGTAATATTCTGATTGGCTACTGTTGTCACTTGCGCTCTGCAGCCTTATTTTTTTTATCAGGAGCCATCACTGAGGATTTTAAATGGTGATGCGATTCTTGCTGCGTCCGTGCTGAAATGCAAACATATCCTCGAGGCGTTGTTACATGTGACCTTACTATATCTTAGATGGAAATGACAATTATCTGTTTGATTAATTTCCCAGCATCTGAGAATGCCAAAAAGTTACTGACTGCTCTGTTTTGCTGGTTGGTTCCTTAATGTCATCATGAATAAAGTACCACTTGGGATTAGTGTTGAAACCAACCATCACTAGACTAGCATCGCAAGTGTGTACACAAATTAGCTTTACCTGTCTGGCATCATAAGGATACTGGACTATTTACGCCTGAGTAGTGTTTCTATGTAAAATTCACACTCTCTGGGCAGAAAGGTATATTAAAGAGTGCAAGCTGCATACATTTATCAAGTGCTCTTCTTTCTGACCCAGAAAAAATCCTAACCTAAAACTATTTTCCCCACTTTAAAACGACATATTATCCTTCTGTTGAAGTGACAGCCATACTAATAAATACTTAAAGCCAAGTACCTTTCAACATTTCAGAAGTGAAGATAAATAGAGAAAAAATAAAATTGTGGCTTTTTTTTTTTTTTTGTAAATCAAACTTTATTTTTTCTTCTTTCTTTTGGAAGTCTTGCGTTTCAAAGGTTTTGTTTCTTGTCACATTAAGTCACAGACATCCATCATTTGATCGCTGCATACCAGGCAGGTCTCTTATGGCAGAAGCTTTTATTAAATCCTGCCTGCACAGGTATTTTGTTACAAGGCTGATTGCAATCGTGCAATGTGTATCCTAGCTGTTTTCGGTGCATGTCACGAATATTAGACTCGTTCTGCCCCCCTGTGCTCTGTCACGAACCTTCTTGTCTTAGGTACCATTACATTCTCCATTGATTGATCATGGCCTTTCACGTCCTCCCACAGAGGCCCTTTCAACAGTTCAACTGCTACTTACATGTGTACAAAATAAGGAATTGGCAAGGTGCACGTGGCTGATAAAAATGCTCACCTGTCTCTGTTTACACTGAAATGCAGACTACCAAGATTAAGCCCTTATGTAAAACACATGTTATCCCAGCAAAGGTGCTGAGATCATTTATCATGTTTGCAGGATGACAGAACCGAAATAGTTTCAGCGCTTGTTTTTGAAGTACAAACACATCTGGTGGAATTCAGATAATTTCAATGTCATTTTAAGATAGCAGTCAATCCGCCTGTAAGTTGTCTGTCACCTTTTGCTTCATATTTTTAATTTTAGCTTCTGTCTTGTGCTAAGCATTTTTTGCTAGAAGTGTTTAATGTTAAGCTTGGGGCAATGTCCTCATTTCCTTTTACATTATTATGTAAAATGCTAACTATAACTGTCACTACAGATGTCACATTTACAGTGCTGAGTGTTATGTTTTCTCAGTCGATTACATCTTAATGTATTAAATCCATAAAGTCTATGAGCGGTGTTACATTTTAGTAAACATACCATATGGACTATGTTAAACCCTCTGCTCTAGTGGTGGGGAGGGTATCCCTCTCTTCCATCAATTCTCATTTACATAATACTTCCTGTGCTGTGATATGTCTCTCGGTTTTTCTATCATCTGAACTTTTTACATCTCCCTCACTTATTATCATGACGTGTTCCCTCAAAATTATTTATTTAAATCAGTCTGCTAACCCCTAGCGTCCTTTGCTTCCCTGTCTGGAATTAAGCCAATACATTTTTTTTCTTCAACCACTGTCAAATAAAATGGATTTTTGTGAACCAATCATAAAGGTGGCACTTGAATAACATTTGGCCTTTGGTACCCAATCGGGCTTCCTAAAATTGCTGACTTCTCTCCTACCTGCTCTCCTTAAATAGCCTATTCTAGTTTGGTGAATGTCCACAAAATCTTAATACAGTCCTTTGAATGTCTATTAGTAATATGTCCATATAAGCAAAGATGCATACAATACATTATAAAAACCAAATCACAATCAAAATTGTAATCAAGATATAAAACAAAAATACATACTATCCTTAAACCTTTATTTATCTCATACGTTTCACCTAACACAATCCAGCATTCATAACATATTGTGGGAAACCCTACACACTATAAAACTGGAAAGTTGTGATAAAATTGTATAAAATTAGGTTTATTTAAAGGTACACTATAGTCACTAAAACAACTTTAGTTTAATGAAGCAGTTTTGGTGTATAGATCATGCTTCTGCAGTCTGACTGCTGAATTCTCTGCAATTTAGGAGTTAAATCACTTTGTTTAAGCAGCCCTGGCCACATCTCCCTGCATGTGACTTACACGGCCTTCCTAAACACTTCCTGTAAAGAGTCATTTACTGTTTACACTTCCTTTATTGCAAATTCTGTTTAATTTATAATTTCTTCTATCCTGCTCTGTTAGTAGCTTGCTAGACCCTGCAGGGGCTCCCTGTAAGTAATTGAAGTTTAATTTACAGAGCAGGAGATAAAGTTTAAAGTAAGTTACATCTGGTTGGAAATTAAACCATTGTTTTTATGCTGCCTGTGTCAGTTACAGCCAAGGGGAGGTGTGGCTAAGGCTGCATAAACAGAAACAAACGTGATTTAACTCCTAAATGACAATGAATTGAGCAGTGAGACTGCAAGGGCATGATCTATTCACCAAAACTGCTTCATTCAGCTAAAGTTGTTTTGGTGACCATATTGTCCCTTTAATTATAATTTTTATATTGGCACATTTTATCCTAATTTTTTTTTTATAATCAGTTTTTATTAAGGTGTGAACAAGATAATGCTTAGGCTTGCAGGCCAACATAGTATAGGTACATAATTTAAGTACAGTATTTATCAAAATAGGAACTATAGTCAGATTCATTTTACATTGGATATCATATTTCAGTTAGAACAGTGGTCCTTTTCATAAATTGCAATGCTGCACATTTTATCCTAATAACTTAAAACCAATTACATATATTAGTTAAAAGATTGTCTAGTTGATATTAATTAAAATGTACCATATTGGGCTTTCTAAAAAACACTTGAAATTTTTTTAAACCAATCTAAAAGTAATCTTAAAAAGAAGATTATTTACTAAACCAATTTAAGTGGATGTTTATGAATTACCATTCATATATTGAAAAAGTCGAAAGGATTTTTTTCGTTTATCTTTTTCTCCCAATTACAAACATGTATGACTTACTTATCCCATTGGACTGTTTTTTTGGAGTATGTATGTATCGTGTATAAATAATTAGTTTATGGTAATACAATCCAGGCATTGTGGTTAATGGAAACAAACTCTGTCCATTGTGCGGAATGCTGTTCTGATAGCACCCCAAAGGGTCCATTACATGTTGGGTGTCTGCACACATGTTGTAGGGTTGGATGCCGATTGCTGTACAGGAACAGAGAACAGGGAGGTAATGAGGAAGGAGCTAAACAGATGGGCACAGCAGGCTGTTGTGGCTGGAACAGCTGTCTCCAGTTTAACTTTGTCATTTTATGCTTCCTTCTGGGTAGATCAGAGCTCCTTAGGCAGTCTGTGCTCGGTTTTGTGTTGGGGAATTAAAGGCTTGGCCTTCTCTTCTGTGAAGATGACTGTCCCCTTTGGCCTCCCACTTGTTTATTTTTCTTCTATTTCTGCTGCTGGAATGGCAAATTAGCAAAGGAGTGAGTGTTGAGTTTATTTATCATGGGATAGATCCTGGTCACGCAGTGACAGTCTTGCTCAGATCTCCCAAAAACCTTTATAAATAACCCCTGAGCCACAGGGGAACTTAACTGACCAACAGTTTGCAAACATGAAAGGAGAGGTTGTTTGGTCGGATGTAACCATGCTTTACTGTTATGTTATTCTGTAGCTCACTTGAGCATTTCATTCTGAAGACGCCATGCACCCATGGTTATATGTCAATCTAGTCTGCTTTTGGGAGGTCTGGTAAAAAATTAAGCAGGATCCCAAATCCATGTCATCACATAAACAGGTTTAAGGATGGACTACAATCACTCAGTAAAGGACACCAGTCCACGTTTTAACATCACGTGGTCTTCTTATTAAGACTTCATCACATTACTGAATTGGGAAGAGACGTATGCAGAATAAATGGGTTCTTGGTAATGGGGTGCATTAAATATGAATTCTAACATTTCTAATGTTAACCACTTCGAGAACATTCTAAAACACAATCCGCTCCTTTAAAAACGTGCTAAATCCCTATGATAAACAAAGTCATGTAAGTTGGATTCCAATACTGGTTTGTGTGCCGATGCTTACTATATTAACCCCTTAAGGACACATGACATGTGTGACATGTCATGATTCCCTTTTATTCCAGAAGTTTGGTCCTCAAGGGGTTAAATAAGAAATAATAAAATATATATATTTTATATTATGTCAATCGTTATTATTATTGGACTTCCTTTACAGTGAGGGCAAACACAAGTGCCATCTGCAGAGGCTTAGTGAATTGGACATTTAAGCAGCAGCTAAACCCAACAAACTAGTAGTTCGGCTGAAAAGCTTGCAATCTTTTCAATCCTCGTAACTTTTAAATTGTCATGCACAGAACCTGCTTCATGCAATGGATAGTGTGGAACTGACATAGTATTTGTTTCTTTTGTGTTAATACGCCTAATAACTTCTATAAAGTTGTATGTGGTTTTTTTTTTTTTTCTGTTGATGGACTGACAATTCTATGATCCCAAGCCAGGATTCTTGTTTTCGAAGGCACGAGTTTGCCTCCAATGGTTTTGAACTGATTACCCTCTACCAGCTCTGCTAGGAAGAGACTCGACGAATCCCACGGAGTCTACCAAATGTTGTTAGAAGACGGCTAGTGGTTAGTCCTCTGTCCTGTTTTGAAATGCCGTGGCCTGCTGCCAAGCTTTCCGTGGACCACTCCCAAGAGTGCTGTGGCAGAGAGAACCAAGTAGTAGAGTAAACCACTGAGCAAATTATAATGTGCAATAGATATTTATATACACAAAAAACAACACAAGTTCAGCTTTTTGGCTCCCCTTTCCCATTCACCTTCAAATAAGACATTTTTAGTGGCCAGACCTCTTTTCCATACTAATCCTGAACTCCTTCTACACACACAATGCATAGGCAGTAAACCAGAAAAACGTATCAAAATATAGAATTCTTTGTATGTGTATGAACAAATGTGCATCTGCAGGCCTGACAGCATAGCTGACTTAGAGAGTTTTTCCAATTTGACTATTTTGACCTTAAATTAGAAATTCACTTTGAATCCTCTCTTTAGTAAATAACACTGAATATGATTATTCACGAAAGTGAGAATTCGGCCACTATGAAGGTCAGAGTAGCTGAACTGCTAAAAATCTATCAGCTATTTTTATTTTATTTTGGCTACTCTGGCATTAAATGCACTGGGAATTCTCACTTTTGTAAATAACCCTGCTAGAATACAAAGATCTCGCACAAATGCCAAAAATGTTGAAGATGGTTGATTTGTTAAGGTTAATCACCAAAGTCTGAATTGCCAGGAATTCAAAGTAAATTGCACATTTAGAAATGGAAAAATTGTCAGCTGTGTCTGCAGTTCACCTATGTTGGGTTGCACTTTGAAATTTGAATTGTTTAGTTCTCAAGAATTCAAACTTTAATGAATAATCTGGTTCAGGGGTAGGCAACCTTTGGCACTCCAGATGTTGTGTACTACTTCTCCCAGAATGCTCTTCTAGCCATGTTGATGCCAAAGCATCATGGGAGATGTAGTCTACAACATCTGGAGTGCCTAAAGTTGCCTATCTCTGATTCTGGTTTATGTTTGATACCAAGGACTTATAAAGGTTTATTCAGTAATCTAGGTTTTGTGGAAAAATAACAAGGGGGTTGTAGAACAAAGGGATTGTACATTTGAAGCCAAAATAGTTAGAGCGTTAGAACAATGGGAATTTCCTTGTTAGGCACCCAGATCATTTCAGCTCATCAAAGTGATCTTGGTACAGTGTCTATATTGCACTTAGTGTTCCTAATAAATATATCATTGGGGTTTCTTAAAATGATATAACTGGTGTAGCTACTTTGATTATGCCATACTGATATTGTTAGATGTCAAATAGCTTTAGTTATTGTGTTCCATAATGAGCCTGGAAATAACTAGTGAAATCTCTGCCTGTTCACTCCCCAGACCTCCTGACGGTGAAGGAGTACCATAGTTTGCTGCAGATGCTGTGCCCAGACTTTCCCATGGATATGACTCAGAAAGCTGCCAGGTGGGTGTTATTCAAAACACTCTGCGCTATGTTAGCTCTTACATGAACACAGCATAATGTGCATACCAAGGTGGGCAACAGGTAGCTCTCAAGATGGTGTTGAGCTAAAAGTCCCACCATTTTCTATCATCCTTGGTTAGCCTACTCCTGGCTAAGGATCATGGGGGCTGTAGTTCAGGAACATCTTGAGAACCATCTGTTGATTTTCCTGGTTTTAGAATGCACACCTTCCACGTTCTTCTCACATACCATGACAGAGATCCTTTTTATTTCTTTTTTTTGTTTTTTTTTTTTGTTAGATTGTGTGATGGGTGGAGCAGAGGGGGATAACTGAATTTGTTTTATGCTTTGTACAGAACTTCAAACAGGTCTGAGAAGAGCTTTTGCAAAAAATACATGAAAGAGATGGTAGGATCATGTTGTGAAGTGTGTGAGTGGCGTGTGTGTTTAAGATGACAAAGAGTCTAACATCTGTACCCTCGAGAACCCTTACCCAATTATCTTTTGGCTGGAAGCGAAACTAATTTGGATACCTAATTTGAAGAAAATCCTATTGGAAAACCTGTTAAATTAAATTATAATCATCAATACTGTACTCCTTTGGAGTTATTTTGCACATTAGTCATACCTATTGCATTATGGGTAAACACTACAGATTTCCATTTTGTAGGCTAGCAGTTCTTTATTTCACATTCTAGTTACTTTGCCCTTTCTTGGCACTACCAAGGTTATAGCTTTTATAATGAGAGTTCTCCCTACAAAATTCACTTTTAAAAAAATGACTAACCTGGATATATTATAATTGTATTGTTAATAATACGCACAAAAATAGGTGTGACGAAGTTTTTATTGAAGTATTTTTGAGGTTTTAAATGTGTTATCCTTGTATTAGTCTTTTTAGGGCCATAATGGATCGTATGATGCTCCTTATGTTACATTAAAAAAAAGCTCCATGATGACAAAATAAATCAAGTGTGCAGTTGGTTAAGGAAAGGTTTTAAAAACAACAACTCCTTTACGTAGTTGCAAATAAAATTCAGGAGGTCGCAAAGTTCAGACATAACTGTATAAATGGGCAATACATTAAAGAAACATATCATTTATAATTTTTTCCGGACATGCTTTAGCTTTTTCACGTTTGACTCTGAGTCTGCCCTCGTTGTTGTCTCTTGCCAGGATTGTCCTGATGGACGATGCAATGGACTGTCTGATGTCATTTTCCGACTTCATCTATGCATGCCAGATTCAGTTTTATTACTCCGGTGAGTGACATGCAAACCCACATGGGACTCATCTTTTACCTGTATGTCTGTAAGTTAATCCCCATGCCAGTTCAGGACAGTCTGACACTCTGTCTAGAACAATCATTGTGATAAATAGAATGAGCACATTCGCTGCTAATTTATTTCAAGGGGCTTCAACTTTATTCATGGTTGTATAATTTTTAAAAAAATTTTTTTTTTACAGAATTCTTGGAAAGCGCCGCTGCTCTTTATCAGGATCTGCTCACCGGCAAAAATGCAAACACAGTCATAGTCCCAACATCACGTTCTGCAGTCTCCCGACTGCGCCAGCCATCCAATGAAAGCAGCTCCCCTGATGGTGTGGAGGCTGCTCAGTTTTACCAGTGCCTGGAAAGTCTGTGTGAGAAATACAAGCACAAGTAAGCATACCCCTCATGATCTCTGCTGTCTTAAAGGAAATTACATTTTGTTGAAGCAATTTAGTAGATACACCCCAAAGAAAACTTGTATGTATATAAAAAATAACTGACAATGAAAACAATGATGGCTTTCCTATGCTTCTCAATAGGCTGTGATACTCAGCGGGGCTAAGGGAAACTAAAAAAAACACCTAGTTATAAAAATGCTAATTTCTACTGAAATTGGCACTTTTATAAACTGTCACAAATGTGACAGACTAGCTACAGCACTGGATGTCTGGATGTACCTTTATATGCTCTATGCTCAGGGAATCTCATTAAAAAACTTTTAGCAGTGCAGCAGTGGTAAACTATACATGTACAATTTGTCTAAATAATTATTAGTAGAGTTCCAGGATTTCTGAATTTCGCCAACGCTTCCTAGAAGAGACCATATGTAGTTCTTGGCGTTTATTATATCCCTATCGTACCGCATAGCCCTTCACTGAGAGGTGGATAACGAAGGAAAACTTACGTATCTGTGCCTGCAGGCTTGAGATGTGTAAATCACCTCCATTTATATCACCATCTTCAATGCTGGTGGTCCATGTTAAGTCTGTATCTATGCTCTAGGGTCTTACGTAAAGATCTCTTTATCTCCCTCTGCCTTTGTATGGACTGCAGGCTATAGTCATCCAGCTCACAAGGATTCCTGCGGTCAGCGCTGTATAAACTGGCAGCTTTACGTCAAGAACAAAAACAATTACACCATCTATAAAACATATTACAAACATCTGCTTAGCAGGAGACTGCAGCCTTCACAGTTCTAGGTCCAGGGTGATGGGGGAGGACACAGAGGGGATTTCATCCACCACTGGTGTTCTTTTTGAATTCTACCTCACTTGTCCCTCAAAATATGACTTTTTCTTCACCTCTTCCTTGTGGTCTAGGTTTATTGAGAGAGGATAAACGGAAATGGTTAATAAATATACATTGTGTTATTTTATGTATATATTTGTGTTCGGGGCAACATTGACTATGATGTGAAGTAAGATTGTTGTTAGCAAACCTGTGATAGGAAAAAGTCGGTTGAGGTGTGCCAAAACCGACGTATGCTTTAGGCCAGTAAATAAAGTTGGCCTACGTTAGAAGAGTATGATGAATAAAGGGAGTGGAGGGCGGGGCAGCAGCTCGTCAGACCAATCACGGTAGGGTAGGGACAGGGGGAGTGCCTTTTAAAGCCCCTCCCACATCTTCAGGCCAAGCCTTCCAATATACAGGAATCTTTCATTGCGTAATCAATTGTGTTTATTTACTAACCAGTATTTTGGAAATATTATTATTGTATATTTTAGTCCATAACATCTACGTGGAAATTGTAGTTGGAGAATTTTCTGTTATTTTGGCCTAAAAGTTGCAGTTCTCCATATTTTCTGAGTCAGTGAATCAAACACCAATATGCAGGTGTGTAAATTTATTTTATTCAATAGTAAAAAAAATAATAATAATATTAATAATGTTCTCGCCCTTCTCAGATTATTCTTATTGCATTTTGTTTTATGGGTATGTAACACCTTTATAAAAACTAATTGTCTGGCATTAAGTAGCCTACATTAGTTTTATTTTTGAATGTAGAAAATAATTTGTGTAGGAATCGGGGACGATGAGCCAAGTAGACTGTGAAAATAATTACACTTATTATTATTTACTGGTATTTACATAGCGCCAGCATATTCCATAGCGCTTTACAATATTATCAAAGGGGGAGATTTAAAAAAAATTAGACAATTACAAAAACCTTACAGGAACAATAGGTTGAAGAGGGCCCTGCTCAAACGAGCTTACAGTCTGTAGGGTCTATAAACACTTATGCTAGAGTTCAAGGGAAAGGTGATAGAGAAAGGGACCCTCTTGTGAGCTCTATACAAGATTACAAATTTTATGAATATAAAATCTGCCCAAAAACAAAATATATATTTATATATCATTCTGTTGCAATACTGCCATCATATGACAGAATCTGTGAACTACAATGTAAACAGTTTGTTCTGTAATGTATTTGATCTTTTTTTAGTTAAAACCCTGTGAGCATGGTACATTCCTCAAATAGGTGTGTTCACCCTTTGTTAAGTAAATACCTGGTCACATAACTGTGGCCTCCCTAAGGTGTTCTTTGTAAACCCTGCACCTGTGAGAGGTGGGGAGAGACCAGTGTGTGCATGAGTAGTCTGGAGTGTATAAAGGGGCCTCTTCACAGGGCAAAAATCTAACATGAAGCTTGTTGTTTGGAGAGGCAGAGGGCCCTCTTTAACCCTTTTAAGTACGTCAGCTTTTGTCATTATCAAAACATGGTCCTTAAAGGAACAGTATAGTGTCAGGAACACCAATTTGTATTCCTGACAGTATAGTGGTAAAATGTCTATTTAGGTCCCTGGCTCCCTATCTTTTCTTTAGAAAGGTGATTCTACTCACATTTTTTCCAGCGCCAGCTCTGTGCTGGGACCCGCCTTAGTCATTGAGATTGTCAAAGTTGCCGATCTAAGCCAATCCACAGCTTTCGCATAGGAAAGCATTGCTGAGGCTATTGCACATGCATGTCAAAACTCTACACTGCACCCATCCGCTTCTCTTCATAGAGATGCATTGTATAAGCGTGGAGATTCTGAACGCCAATACAGCACATTGTGCAGTACTGAGATAGGAAGCACCTTTAGTGGCCTTCTGAGTGACGTCCACTGGAGGTAAAACCTAGGTTTCTCTGGAAAGGCAGTGTTTATATTAAAAAGCCAGCAGGAACAGGCTAGACACCAGAACAATTACATTAAGCTATAGTTGTTCTGGTGACTATAGTGTCCCTCTAAAGACTTTATGCCATAATGGCATGTCCTGCTTCGGCAGATCCATGCAGTCCTACAGTTGTTAAATAAATGGTTAATTTTAGAAAAGAATCCTTAAACAACAGATTGATGTGACTGTCATTAAGTCCCACACAACTCCAACCCCTGCTCCTGACCTGTGTGCTACCAGAGACATGAAGTTCTAACTGTAAAGAGAATGGATGGTTGGTGCAGAGTTAAATTTGACCTTTTATATTTAAACTTTAAATTTAAACTATCAATTGTGTTTATTCCCTAGATTACAAAGAAGTGGGGTAGATTTACCACACTTTTTAGTGTTTCATAGAAATAAGTAATTTGTATTCATTCTTATTTGCAGTTAGGCTTTTAAGATCTTTAATTTGCAGTCCCCCCCAAGACTTGTTGCTTCTGCTTCATCAACTGCAATGACAGCAGACAAGATCTCGAGCTAAACCTCCAGCTTCGTTAAACGTGATGCCATTAACATGGTATAGATTTTAAGCACCGTTTGAAGCGGTTATGTAATTTTACTCAGAGTATCTTTGCGTTTCTAATGTCAGCTCTAGGGGGAAGTTGGGGATATGGCTCTCTTCATGTTGATTTTAGGGTTACTACTACACAGCATACTCTGTCCTGTAACTCATTAGGAGCCATGCATATCCCTAATGTGCGTTACAGTCCATAGATCTCCTGTGTCTACAAGGGTAAGGGGTAAACCACTATATTCAGCAGAGCTCTAAGGATGCTATACCTTGCATACAATGACATGTTCAGTTTACTATAGTGATAATATACTGTATACTTTGCTATTCTCCTAAAACCCACCAATTTTAAAAGGCCGTTGTTTTGGAGGGCAGGGGTGTTGAAGAATTTATTTTAATATTCTATTAACAATCTGACCTGATCACAAATCTGATGTAAGTTTAGGTTACTGACTTGGCTACAACCTTTAATCTTTATTGAAAAACTGTTAAGGCAACACATTGTTTCTAGATTGTACAATACTAATTTCTAGCAGATTTGTAATTTTGCCACGATTGTCACAGTTTATATTATATTACATTAAGTTACACTTACAGCATCACAGCCACTGGAGCTTTTCCTGCATCCTGTTGTAGTGGATATAGTATTAGATTATTGGTGCTGTCCAACTGTTTTCAAGGGATATCAGAACAATCTAAAGAGTTTCCAGTATGCTAAGGATTCATAAAGAGGAAGTTGTACCTCCTCAATATCTGTAAGTATTTGTACAGACACAGGCAAATCTTAATGTCTCTTGGCTACATAGCACCATGCACACTACAGTACAATGCTTGGACTCTGAGTGTCCTTTCATGGGACAATATGTGAAAACTGTCACAAGTTGGAGAACTTTTCCTAACCCCTGTCCTGAAGGAGTTAATTAAAAATCAAGCAGAGTGGACCATAGGGATTAGGGTCTGCTACAAAATATCACATGTTGCCCTACCAGGCTGTGCTGCAGGTCAACAGATAAAGAAGACTTTAATGCAAGAGAAACTAAGAGAATAATCTATTCTTCAATTCTACACTGCACTATTGTGTGACACACTTATTTAACGGTTAAGGAATTTTCGATGGGCAGGTTCCCTCTGACAGGACCTTCCGTTTATGGATGATTCTATACAGTCTGTCTATTGTTCACATGTTTACGTCTTTAACTCATTTGTTACTCAACAATATTTCTGGTTTGAATCGGAACATAAATAACACTGTTCGCTTCTAGATTGGAAACTATACAGCAGTAAATCCTGTTTTACAATGAATGGTAATACAGTGTCATAGAGCAGAAAACCAACATGGGAACACTGACAGCAAGTTAGAATGTTACTGTATATCGGGAATCTTAAACTTTGCCACCCCCTCTGAGTTGTTCATGGTGCACAACTCCTAGAATTCTCTGGACGTAGTAGATAGACTTGCGCACAAATCACTTTCAGCTGCGCTGAACGACTCAAATGCCTGTTAATCTATTAATTTGGGATTTGCCAACGGATTGTTTTCTTTATAGATTAACAAGTATTTGATTCATTCAGTACACACGTTTAGTAGATGTCCAAAGATTCAATGGACTTGTAGTTCAGCAGCATCGGGATGAATGGGGGGGGAGGGGATAGAAGGGGGTGCCCACTGTAAAGGAAGCTTTGGCAAAAATAATTACTTCTAATCTAAAACATTTCATACGGAAAAAAGTTTATAAAATGTTTAGAAGTTCAAATTGCTCATCGTGGTGATAATAGTATTGTTTGTGTTTATCAGTCTAACCAATAGTGCACAATGCATAAAACACTTAATACATAAAACTGTCTGTAGCGGAGCTGCAATATTAAATTCCACTGTCTTCGCTGGTATAGAAGGTAATCCAAATAAAGCGCTGGAAATGAAGGCAATATCCCAAATCCCCCAATAACCGGACGAAACACAGTTCTGGGAGTCAACTGATAATTTTAACATAAAAATTTATAACTATAACCTTATTCGTGGGATTATAATAAACGACCGTTCGGTAGATAGCTGGGGTCTGAGCGCACACTTTGTGAAAGTACCGCTCAGATCCCAGCTTAAATAGGCGAACGTTGCACGAAATACACTTTTATATCAGATTCTCCTAAAAGTATCGAATACCTATTGGGGAGCAAAATACCGAAAGACCGGTGTTCCCGAACGGCCTGGAAGTCCAGCTGTGTTCGCGCCGTCGAGTAGCCGATTTTAGTTCCAGGCGCTCGACGACCAAACACCGCTGGGCTAACAAAGGATCCAAGATGGCAGACCACCGCATGGTCGGTAGCCGAACGACAGCCACCCAGGAACGCAATTAACCACCGATTGCTACACTGTTGCAATCGGTTAATGGGAGCCACATTTATATACAGAATTACAGCGGCTTTTACAGACAACCTTCCCATGTACAGCCGTATGACCTAAAGTGGCTAGGTTTGCCACACTGTCAAAGTTAGCACTTCATATTTTTACCCAGCAGTCACAGTGTAAAATTTTTTTGCAAATGTGAACTATGTATTTTACACACACACAGTCTTATTTTTGTTTTGTTTTTCTCTCCATCCTGTAGCTATCCTCCGCTTACATTAATTGCCGAGGTCCTGAGCAGTGCTCCAAGACTTACTTTCTATGGCTTCCTGATGGCCCTGGCAAAGCATCCTGGGATTAACCAAACCATTGGTGAGCGGCAATATTTCCAACAGTGCGAAACCTCTTGTTATATGTCACTTAATCACATCATTGTAACTCCAACGCCTTTATTTCCACAGCAGAAAATGACAAAATCCCGGCTCTCACAAACCTTAAACATTTGTTATATTTTCTTTTGATAGTGTATCTGGCACTTTTGTTATCAGTATTGTGCCACTAGGTGGTGACACTGAGCCATTACTTTCACATTATGTTCATTAATACCTGTACTTAGCTTTTACTCTGTCCTACATTTCAAAGCATGGTCATATTAATGAGCAATTAAACTAATTGCTTCAAAAATGAGAGTTAAAACCAGCATGTTTGTATGCAAGTTTACAGATCAAGGTAAATCTGGTTTTATTTCTCCTTGGGATTTTGCTTTGTGCCGTGGAACATAAATTAATCTCTGTTGCAGAAACTCATTTGCATGTAAGGTATCAATGACATATTGCAGAAAATGTCCTACAAAATTTAAAGAAAAACTGTCCTTTTATTAGTTGTCAGGATACTAGTTGATCCAGCACTCAGAACTGTATCACACCTAGGACTAGAGGTAACGTCTTAACGGGCCTTAGAATGGCCGGACTTAACGTACCAGAGAATAGTCGGGGACACAGAATGAGACACAATGATGAGGGAAAGCTAAAAGTCAAGGATACCAGAATACAGGGAAGTCAAACAAAGTCAATAACCAGAAATAAACGATCTCTGATAACCTACTAAAGGAAACCACGACAGGGCAATGAGAAAAAGGAGTTTAAATAAGCCTCCTTTAGATCCAATTGGCCATACCCGGTCTTTGACCCCAGAACGTGCGTGGGCGTCAATACCATGGGCGAATGTAGGGTTAGAAATTGGAATGTATCCCTGGCGGCCTTGCATGTAACAGAGATAGAGCACATTTCAGATATTCAAACAGTGGATTTTTAGGGAAGACTAGTGGGGCTTTTGGCCCAAAAATACTTTATTAACATAGCCGTTTCAAGCTATACAAGAGTAAGCCAGGAGAGTTTATGCAGACTTTTGCCACCTCTCTGACAGAAAATATGGCGGGAAAAATCCTACATTAGTTGTCTCTCCTCAAAAATGGCCGGGAACAGATGGGGGGGAAAAAAAATCTCCCTCATTATGGACAACAGTTTGTAAATAATCTGTGGTGTTTACACTTCAAGTTGCTTTTTATAGAAGTTCCCGCATATATATAGGCCTTGTTTAAATAAAGTTATTTCGTACTTTCTGTGTAATGCAGAACATAGGACCGATTCCAGATTAATATCTAACAGCATTTCTGCAAAAATATTAAAGTTTACTGTGCAAAAGGCAGGAATGAACAGAACATATAAAATTGTAGGCACAGCGGCCATACAAGGACCTGTAAGCAAGCGAGAGCAATCACTTATAGAAGTGGACATACACGTTCAAACAGGCACACATGTAAAGTGGGATTTATACACTGATCAGCCACAACATTAAAACTACCTGCCTAATATCTTGAAGGTCCCCCACGTGCTGCCAAAACAGCTCTGATCAAACAAGAAGCTGCCCCTAAAAAATACCCCATCTCACAACATATAAAAGAACCTGACTGCTTTAAACGTGGATCTCAGATCACTACTTTCCATTAATGCCCATAGAGCTGTACTAAGTACTCACTAGGAGTACTTTTTATTCCCATGGTAATAAGAGCGACAAACTATTAGCCAAAGCCCTCAAATTTCAAAAATCCTACATTGCCAAATTACCAAGAGCAGGAGGCACACACTGCAACACCATAGAAAAGGAGTTTAGTACCTTTTACCACGGCCTCTACAATCTCCCCCACCCCGGTGGCTCAGAATCTGAGATTAGACATTATCTTTCCAAATATCTGACGATTACACGGTCAGACAGCTAAATCCCCGGAGGCCCCCTTTTCTATTGTAGAACTAGAGGAGGTGCTTAAGTCATTACCTTCTGGGAAAAGCCCCAACGTCACTTGTCCTCCCGTCTGTCCAGGAAGGAGAAGGGTGCTATGCCGCCATTGGCTATCTGGCACGCTGTGAATGCTGGCATGTCGGTTTTGAACAGAATCGATGTTAGCCAGCCCAGAACAAAGTTATACTTCCGGCAGCGAAGGCATCAGTTTCTTTATGTGCGGTGTATCAAAGCGAAATGCTGCACATAATCATTATAGGCTCCACGTCACTTCAAATCAATGAAGTGGTTATGGTGTTTGGAGTAACACTTTAATTTCACAGTTCTGTTCCCTGTCCTTTTAGCTGTGAGGGGAAGAGCTATCACACTCTTTAAAGGGGCACTCCAGACAGCAATACAAGTTTAATGCATGTGATAGGTTTTGATCCCATTCATTTGCTGAATTTTTTACATGTTTAAATCTTTATAGTTTTTGCACAAAATTGTTTTTGCAGAATGCTGTACCAGAAGCCTTTTCATCTGGACCATGCAGCTTTCTACCCAAAAAAACTCTTTATCAGTGTATGTACACAGCACAGCCCCTGGCTGCAGACAGTCAGACAATTTACAAACGGGGGGTAGTGATATCCTTACTATATGTCTCCCTGGTGCTCTCCTAATGCAGGTTGATTTTTAGTTCAAATTACTCAGTGCTGCCAGTGTTTGAGCTGTGTACATACATCTGATAAGGAAGTATTTTCTGTCATGAGGGTGTGTGGCTAAGGAGGCGGGCTTTTTGTGCAGCATTTTATGAATGAGAGAAAAAAAAAACCATAAACTATATTGGTTGTGGTTGTAGTGTCCCTTTAATGCTGCCATGGTGTGATCAGGAAAGTTTGTTTTTCACACACTAATCACTGTTAAGATACCTGTGACCCTGTAAGATTATACTTTCCTCTTGCTCAGAATTTTTAAATTCCTTTTCACAGTTTAACCTGAGGTTTTTATGATGTAACCCTGCCACTTAAGCAGAGTAATCATGCGTCTTTCAGCAATTGTCAGCTAAAGAGGCGTTTCATGTTCCTACACAAATTAAGCTATTAACGGGGATAAAGGAAAAACACTTTGATCTTGGCCTGATATTAAAGCTGCAATAACAAGCATTACAGTGTATGAAGGAATATTTTTTTTCAAATCTAAGTTTTAATCCCTTTTCCATACCAGTAAAATTTGGCTTGATGCTCTGCAGCCTGAATCTGTTTTTATCTGCCTGGAGATGTAACTGTCATCTCGTCATGTTCCACACGTTAACTTAAGAGAGTCCAAACATTTTGGCGATGATGTGTTAAGCACTTAATATATTGTCACCTGTGTTCTGAAAGCAGGATTTCATAGCCTTGATCAAGCAAGATTTGCTCTTCCTGCATTTAACTGATACTAAAATCATACCTGTACTCTTGTCTCTCTGCTTCTTCACACTATGGGACCTTTAAAGACTTCATTTCAGCAATCACATTGAGATGTTAAGTGCAAGAATCGCTGCTTTGTTACCTGTCAAAAATGGTCCTAATTATTAGCATTCTTGGGGCCATACAGATCATGACCATCGATACCAAATATTCTTGTTTGACTGCATCCTTATTGTTTGCCTTGTTTATTAGAGGAAATCATTAAGACCCCTTTCCATTAACAAGACACTGCTAATACTAAAATCGGAGGCTGTTAGATTTGGTCAGTGCAGAATGTCCTGTCTTTATGCATTTAGTCCCCAATAAGCAACAATCTGAAAGCAGACAGAAGGAAAAAGTGACGTTTGTAAAGCTGCTTTTACAAGGGAAACCTTCTGCTAAGAATTGACAAATACTTTAACAAAAAAAGAGAAAGACAGAGAATCACCTATTAATTACTTGAGCATCTGAGAAGAACAGTGCAGTCTGTAGTAATTTAGGGTCTGTTTTCCAACAAAAAGTGTGATTAAAAAAAATACAAGGTTAAGGGGATACTATGTTTCCAGGAATACAAAGCTGTATTCCTTGCACTCTTTCCCCCAGCCTCCCTTTATTTACTTCTCTTACTTTATCCCAACGCCGATGTCCCTTGGCGCTGGGTAGACGCTTCACCCCCTTCAACGAGCATGCATGGCAAGTGCCGCATGCGCATTAGATCTCCCCATAGGAAAGCATTGTATCAATGCTTGAATCAATGCTTTCCTATGGGGAAAAATTTGATGCTGGTCATGCAGAGCGTGAGAACGTCCAGCGTCAGATACCTGACCAAAGGTCCGTTTCAAATCAGGAAGCCCTCTAGTTTCTCTGGAGCTGCAATGCTAACATTGCAGCACTATGTGCAAAAAGGACACTGCACCCAGACCACTTCAATGAGCTAAAGTAGTCTGGGTGCCTACAGTGTCTCCTCAGACATGAGGTATTTGTGATAATAAACTGATTTTTGCAGGAAATAGAGCCCTTAGCAAACACTATAGTAGGTTGTTTATAGTAGGCTGTGTCTGTGATGTGGCAACAGAGTTGGTTACTCCAAACACCAAGGCCACTATAAGGAGTCTATGTCTGCTCTGTTTCAGTATGAAATGCTGCCTATCCAGAATAATGTAGGCATATACATGGGGCTCCCATCACAATGTTTACACGAGTACAGAGCTTCCATTCGGTATGGACCAGTTTCTAACAACCTTTAGACACAGAAATCTCCCAATTCTCCTTGACCATCTCCTGGCTCTCTGAACTTATTTTCTGGAACTGTAACGCTTCTGCAAAATGCAGCATCTTATTAAAAAAAAAAAAAAAGGAAATTGTGTAAAATGTTTTAAATTACTGATGATATTTAGTGGTAGATCAATAGTAGGGGTCTTTCAGTATACCCGTTATCAATTAACCAATTTTTCTTATAGGTGCTTTACCCAATAAATTGGATTTGCTAGTTGATGAGATGATGGATAAAGAGCTAGACAAAATGTGAGTATAATCAAGGAATTCAATGGCTTCTGAGTACTTAACGAGAGGATAATTAAGAGATTGTTTTCAAACTTTTTTTTTTTTTTTTACCACAGAGTCGCCCAACTCTCTGCCAGCTCCATCACCCAACCCCCAAATACCTGCACCATCCCATCCCGAGATTTAGCTCGTGTTGCCTCCCCACGGAAGACCTTGCCAGCCCGCAGGCGACCAGATCTGGAGAGCGATGGCTCCACCGAAGAGACTGATTCATCTGAGAACTAAACACATGCAGTGGTGATCAACAAAATTAAAATTTACGTCTGTACTTAATCTAGAGATAATAGGGTCTTTTCACTAAACTTCTGCAGTATTCCTCTAATTAAATGTTTTACCTGCAATTCTAGCATAGGCAGATTATTTCCTAGTGAGTGGTGATCCACAGCCTGATGTGTCTAGTGTACACCAGGAAACTCAGACTCTGACTCCATTTAAATATTGCTGAAATACAACTCATGAGTTGCTGCCCATCTACTGTGACCAAAGGATTCTGGGGTTTGTAGGCCATCAATATTTAGGGTGCAGAGTTGGAGATATGGTCTACAGATTGGTGCACGACTGCTCTGCCACATCACTGGTTGGAATACTGGAGAGCAGGACTTGGCAGTTAAGAATTTGTAGAACTAAGTGTTATTAGTTCATCTCTAGAGTAGCTCAGCTGCACCAAGTATGTATTGATCACAATATGGCAGGATATGCAATTGGCTGTGGTTAGGAATAAGTTCATGTAAGTTTCCTTTGCTTATATTTGTTTATAGACTTTTACAGATGTAATTTATAGATTTATTTTTATTTAGTAAAGTGAATGCAATGTTTTTGTAAATTCCCTAATTTATTGCCACATTAAATAATTTATTGCCAGCTTCAAAATGTGTCTGGTTCTTGAGAACATTGTAATTAATAGATTAGTCATAGAAAATGTTTAAAAATGTCTGCTTGTGTTATCCATTTTGCCCTCTGCTGGTTAGACGGAAGAATGCAGTATTGGCTTAGGTGAGGTTGTTTGTATTTTTGAAATTTATTCATAATTGCAGGTTTTTTATTTTATTTATTTACTCATCTTTGGGGCAGAAGTAAGTACTGTAACTGAGGAATACACATATGGCTTTAAAGGGATTCCATAGTGTAAGGAGAAATACAAAGTTGTTTTCCTTACACTGTAGTTCTCTCTGCGCCCCTCCATCGTCAGGCGACAATAAGTCTGTTAGCTACCAGAAAGTGCCTCTAAGTGGCTGTCTGATTGACAGCCACTAGAGGTAGTCTTAGTCCTGCAATGTAATTATTGCAGTTTCTCTAAAAACTGCAAGGATTTACATTGCAGGACGATGGGGGACAGGGACACTGCACCCAGACCACTTCAATGAGCTGAAGTAGTCTGGGTGTCTAGAGTGTCCCTTTACGGAAAGTTCCATGTCTGCTATTTTGGTCTAAAATTAGGAATTTTCTCCTTAAATGTTGAGTACATTTACCTGTAATTCAAGACTCACCTACCGAACGACGGTTTGGATACATATTGAAAGCATTGGGACTAAGAATAGAGTAAAAACATATAAATTAGGTACGTGTTTGAAGTTGTAGCCCAGATTTACAAGAGAGAATGTAACTATCAGTAAGCCCAGAATGGGATCACACTCCAATTTAGCGAGCCCTAATCTTTACACCAAAGTCGGCAATAACGTTGCTTTTTTGGATGAACCTGCACAATTCAGCACTTATCAGTGATTAAACACTTGTCATTATGTGATAAAGGGGTTAAATCCATTAAAAGGGACATACTAAGCACCAAAACAACTTTCAACTTTATATTAATGAAGTGGTTTTGGTGTATGCATCATGCCCCTGCATTGTCACTGCTCAATTCTCCATTGTTGAGGAGTTAATTCACTTTGTATGTGCAGCACAAGCCACACCTCCACACAAGGTTTTATTTTTACAGCACAGTGTGATTACTTTAAAAGTTTTCATTTCCTGCTCTGTTAATTAAATTCACAATACACAAAAGGAGGCTGCTACAGTCTCCAGCATTCTAAATTAAAAAAAAAAAATTATTTATTTTTCAGGAAGTGCTTAGGAAGGCCGTGTGAGTTAAAGCCTGGGGTGATTTAAATCTTAAATGGCAGAGAATTGAGCAGTGAGACTACAGGGGCATGATCTCTACACCCAAACTACTTCATTAAAGGGACACTACTCACCAGAACAACTACACTAAGGTGTAGTTGTTATGGTGATTACATAGTATGTCCCTGCAGTGTGTTTAATGTAAACACTGCTCAGACAGCCACTAGAGGCACTTCCTGGGGCAGTGCTGCACACTGCAGCACTGATGTTTAGTGTCTCCACGCTCTGTATGGAGACGCTGAACATTCCCCATAGAAATGCATTGATTCAATACATTATGAGGAGATGCTGATTGACAAGGATGGCGTTTGATTTTGCCTCCACCACCTTGACTGAGATCATCCAAATTAATTTCAGCCAATCCAATGTTTTTCTATGGGAAAGCCAGGTCAGCACACCAGCCAGTGTTTGCACATGTAAATGTATATATACACAAACTACAACGTGGATAAAAAAAATGTATATGTATAATCGTGCATTTAAACAAATAAAAGCTTGAAGAGAAACTATGGTGAAATATTTAAAACCGAGGCACTTAAAGGCACACTCCAGGCACCCAGACCACTTCTGTCCATTGGAGTGGTCTGGGTGCCAACTCACACTACCCTTACCCCTGCAAGTGTAATTATTGCAGTTTTTTATAAACTGCAATAATTACCTTGCAGGGTTAACTCCTCCTCTAGTGGCTGTCTACTAGACAGCCACTAGAGGGCACTTCCGTGTCTCTAGCACAGATTATCTGTGCTAGAGCATCGCTGGACGTCCTCATGCTGTGTGAGGAGCTCCAGCGTCGCTCAATTCCCCATAGGAAAGCATTGAAAAGCATTTTCAATGCTTTCCTATGGGGAGCTCTAATGCGCATGCAAGGCATTGCTGTACATGCGCATTAGGTCTCTCCGGCTGGCGGGCGGGATCAGTCTCGCCCACCAGTAGACGTAATGCAGAGGAGGAGGAGCGGCGGAAGAAGCAGCGACGTGGGACAAGTCTCTGGTAAGTGTCTGAAGGGCTTTTCACCCCTTTAGCAACCGGGGATGGGAGGTGGAAGGGAGAGGGGACCTGCAGTGCCAGGAAAACTGACTGGAATTTCCCTTTAACGAGATTACATTAACTGCATGCTCCCAGTAACTTCTTGCAGCAGTCTGCCAATAGATGCCGAGGGGCGCATCACTAGAGTGCACTCTACCCATGAATACATAGTTTGTTAAATCCAAAGTCTTCCACCTACATATTAAAAATAAAGGTTCCTTCTTTAAAACGTGCCTTCTGAATATAAATTCTGTGTAATGTTGCAATACAACTTGCAAAAAGTATGCCCGAGTAAAAACGGCAGTGTTTCTGCTACATATTTAGAGCATTTTAAAAAGTCATTAGGTGAATGCTTGGGAAAATCGAATGCCCTTTCTCACTTCATATGATTTTAGGAATCCGCATATTGTTGGTACAAGGTAGGCAGGCAGGCATAGGGTGCTATTGTTAAAGCAACCTTCACTAATAAAAGAAGACTATGATATTGTCCAATGGAAGTGGTCTTCTTAAACCAGACTCGTAGCATTGTGTTCTATGGTGCTGCAGTTCACAATAGTGGGATAAGGTTTATAAGTTTCCAAGCTGTCTCAATGCTACAGACAATTGGATAAAATCACTAAACAAAAAACAGCTTTAAAGCATATATTGTTCCAAATAAAAAATGAATAAAAATATGCAACATATCTCCTCAATCTCCCCCTCCCCCTCCATATCAAAACCATGTTCTCAACGTTTGAACAAATCTTGAGATTAATTTGTGTGAACATGCTGTAATCCAGGAAGCTGTCAATAAGATTCCTCATATTAAAGGGACGCTATAGGCACCAAGACAACTTTAGCTGAATGAAGCAGTTTTGGTGCATAGATCATACCCTTACAGTCTCACTGCTCAATCCTCTGCCATTTAGGATTTATATCACTTTTGTTTCTGTTTATGCAGCCTTAGCCACACCTCCCCTGGCTGTGACAGACACAGCCCGCATGAAAACATCATAGTTTCATTTTAACCCCTTCAGGACCGAGGATGGTTCAGCACAGTCATCGGTATTTTTGCGTTGCCGACCGGTGATGGTCCTGAACCGTCCTGACGGTCCAATGTACTTGCCCGATCGGTGTTGCTCCCATTGTGGGGAGACTGCCTGCAGCCCAGACAGTCTCCCCATGGCGGATTAGGACCCCTGTGGCCATGTGATCGCTCAACAGAGCGATCACATGGTCAGAATAGGTGTCCATGTGTGCTGACAGGCAGTCTCCCTGCTAGTGTAAAATAAAAATAAATATACATGTTAAAAAAAAAAAAAAATTATATATATATATATATATATATATATATATAATATATACACATTATATAAATATAAAATATCTATATCATACATAATGTCATACTAAGTGTATTTTTATATTAATATGTACATATATTAATATAAAAATACACTTATAATTTAATTACACACGTATATATAACTAATATTTATATACAATATATATAGTACAACTAATAAATTTAAGTTAAATAAAAACGTAAAAATAATCAAATTTAAAAATATATATCTATATGAAATTTTATTCTAACTGTATTTTGATAGTAATATATATTTATATCAAAATACACTTAGAATGAAATTGTATATATATCTATGTATATATAAATAAAAATACGAAATATACATATGTCCATATACAAAATTACATATATAATTATATAAATATACACATAGACTTCAAATATAAAAATATGCATATATATTTAAGATTCTACGTGCGTATTTATGTAATATTTTTACATAATTAAGTAATTTTATTGATTGCAATTTAAGGGACCTGCCTGCCAACCCTGGCCAAAAGTCGAGAGAATTTAATTTGCTAGCACTGTATTTTACCCTGTAACCTTCTATGACACCCTAAAACCTGTACAGGGGGGGGGGGGTACTGTTTTACTCGGGAGACTTCGCTGAACACAAATATTAGTGATTCAAAACAGTAAAACATATCACAGCGATGATATTGTCAGTGAAAGGGACTTTATTTTTGTATTTTTTACACACAAACAGCACTTTTACTGATGATATAATTGTTGGGAGACTTTGCTGAACACAAATATTAGTGTTTCAAAACAGGAAAATGTATCACGAGTATAACAGTACAGTGTGTGTGGGGTGCAGTGTTTGTATGGGGAGCACTGTATGTATGTGGGGGCAGTGTGTTTGGTGGGGCAGTATGTATGGGGGTAGTGTGTATGGGGGGCTGTGGGGACAGTGTAAAACAATTTTTTTTTTTTAATTAATAAAATATTTATAATCCCCCCCTCCCTTCCTACCTTTGCCCAGGGAGGGGGGATATCGATTGTAATCCCTGGTGGTCCGGTAGGGAATCCCTGGTGGTCCATTGGTGAGAGTGAACTCTAGCCTGCACCTCCTGAGGCTAGAGTTCACTCTCGCGAGAACGGAGCGTTACCGTGGTAACCGCGGCAACACTGCGTTCTCGCAAGAGGAGACCCGGCGGAGCTGAAGGCTAGAGCTCCTCCCGGGTCTCCTCTCTACCGGCTGCCAAGTAATATGCCTGCGGACCGGTGAGGGAGACTGATCCATGAAGGCACTTAGCCAATTGCCCTGTTGCCCCACTGATCTGTGTAGGACGTCATCGATCGCTGCTTCTCAGTAGGTACAGTTGTGCTCAAAGGTTTGCATACCATGGAAGAAATTGTGAAATTTTGGC